ACCTTTTCCTTGTATCTTGAAAATGCCTAATGCTGGAAACAAGGTGTGGTGACACACTTCTTTAATCTCAGCCCTTGGGAGGCAGCAGGATCTGAGTTCAAAACTCCTGGTCTACATACTGAGTTCTAGGCTAGCCAGAGACAGTGAGAGCCTGTCTCCAAAAAAGAAAAGAAAAGAAAAGAAAAACCTGTATTAGTGTGGAGCTCAGTGGTAAAATGCTATTTGATGAGCAAGAGGCCTCCTCTACCTCCCTGGTGCTGCTACTACTGGGATTAAAGGCAAGTATCACCAGGCCCTGGCTAATGCAACTTTCAAAGTCTAACTCCAGGTAAGGGCAAAATAGTTTTGTCTTTCAGGATTAGCCCCTGCCAGCTCTGCCCATCTGACCACACACACCAGAAGATGACGGCTAAAGGTCAGCCCCAGCAGCCTGGTAAAACCATAGGGCTCAGAAGATGGTTCCCAGTTTCCTGCATATGCACCCCCTCCACCCCCGCTGCTGCCAAATCTCCAGCATTTGCAGGATCCAGGGCTCGTCATTTTCCTCTTGAATCAAATCTGATCTTACACAATGTTCCTTCCCAGTGACACTACAGGACAGTCTGCATGGGGCAGAGAAGGATCTATGGAAAACATGCTCCGGGACTTGCTCAAAGTGGAAAGGGACAGGCTTCAGAGCCAGAGTGTCACAGGGCGTTGGTGCCATTAAAGAAAGGCAAATTATGAGTGACTGTTACCTGAGCCTTAAAATGCGCAAGGATGCCATAGAGGAGGCAGGCTGCTGTGGTGAGGAGGGGTGCAGGTTAAGTGGAGGGCAGAGGGAAGCTCTGCAGTTGCTGTCAAAGCCTCCAACCTAGCCATGCTCCTTCCACCTAGTGTACTTATAATGCCAGAATTCCCTTCCTGCCACCAGGGGTCAATGAGGAGTTAATGGTGTTTGTCTCAGAGTACACTTTTTTTTTTTTAAGGCAGGGTTTCATGTAATTTAGACTGGCCTTGAACCTACCATGTAGCCAAATATGCATGCCTTTGCACTCCTGATTCTCCTGCCTCTGCCTCTCAAGTGTTGTGGTTAGACATGTACCACAGCATACTTGTCCTGCAAATAATTTTCAGGGGCCGGGCGGTGGTGGCGCACACCTTTAATCCCAGCACTCGGGAGGCAGAGGCAGGCGGATCTCTGTGAGTTTCAGGCCAGCCTGGTCTACAGGGCTAGTTCCAGGACAGCCTCCAAGACAATACAGAGAAACCCTGTCTCGAAAAACCAAATAATAATAATAATAATTTTCAGGGATCTTTGTTGCCATTTATATTTAGTAGAAAGAAGAATTGCTAAACAAACAAACGGGCTGGAAAGATGGTTCTATTAAGAGCACTGGCTGCTTTTCCAGAGGACCTGAGTTCGATTCCCAGCACCCAACATGGCAGTTCACGACTATTTGTAACTCTAGTTCCAGGGGATCTGACACTCTCACACAGTACTAATAAACAAATACTTTTAAAATTAGTTTAAAATATATAAAAATAAAACAACAAACCTTTTAATCTTAAAAAAAAAAAAGAGCCAGGTATGACTCGCCTTGAATCCCAGCACTCTGGAGGCATAGGCAGTTGGATCTCTGTGAATTGGAGGCCAGCCTGGTCTATATGAATGAACTCCAGGACAGCCTGGTCTACATAAAGAGACCCCATCTCAAATAAAACAAGCAAAAATTAACAACAATAAAAAAGAAAAGAGAACTTCTGATCTCCCACTAAAGGAACAGAAAACTAGACTGTGGCTAGCACTAGGAGTGTTATTTGGACCAAGGGCCTTTATTGGAACCATTTGGCCTTGAAATCTTTATCTGTAGATAACAAACTTGGCTGGGAACATTGCAGTTACATTGACAGCTGCACACTTGCTGTGTTCCCCAGGTAGAAACCTGCTTGCGGCCCCACACTTATGAAGCTGGAAGCCAGTTAAGATGGAGGACAAACGTCTGCACTCCTCATGCTTTACAGGGTGTCACCATTCCTTAAGGTTATTCTGATTGTACCAGGTCCTCTTCTTTAAAGATTTATTTATTAATTACATATACACCCGATTGAATTGTAGACGGTTGTCAGCCACCATGTGGTTGCTGGGAATTGAACTCAAGACCTCTGGAAGAGCAGTCAGTGCTCTTAACCTCTGAGCCATCTCTCCAGCCCACCAGGTCCTTTTCTTTAAAAAAAAAAAAAAAAAAAAAAGATTTATTATATATGCAGTGCTCTGTGCTCTGCCTGCACCTATGCCTGCAGGCCAGAAGAGGGCACCAGATCTGGTTACAGGTGGTTGTGAGCCACCAGTGGTTGCGGGAATCGAACTCAGGTCCTCTGGAAGAACAGCTAGTGCTCTTAACTGCTGTACCATCTCTCCAGGCCCACCAAGCCCTTTTCTTTTCTTTTCTTTTCTTTTTTTTTTTTTGGTTTTTCAAGACAGGATTTCTCTGTATTGTTTTGGAGGCTGTCCTGGAACTCGCTCTGTTCCAGGCTGGCCACGGACTCACAGAGATCCACCTGCCTCTGCCTCCCAAACTGGCCAGGCTTTTCCTGGTCTGGAGAGAACTACTTGTGAAGAAGGAACTGAGGGAAGGCCTGAACTAAACACCAATCCGTCCTTTAGAGACTGGAGCTCAAGGCAAGGGCCACTCTTGCCTTGTTACTTTGTGACCTGGACAAATACTGAGTCTGTTTCCTCGTATGGTGTTGGATCCTCTGAGGACTCACATCCGCACGATTGGTCTGGAGATGGGAGGAAACAACTGGAGGCCTTAGCTTGGGGTTGGGGGGACACAGCTTTTCTTTAAAGCCTTACTGCAAGCGGACTCTCCTGGTGGCCTAGAGTTCTTTTGTACTTGCCTTTTATTTTGGGTTTGTTTCTGTTCGTTCCTTTTGTTTTAGAAAAACCTTGGAGCACCTTTAAAGGGTCCTGGACACTGAACGTTCATTCTCTGACCCCAAGGGCCTGGGCAGGCCGACCTGAGAGTGGAACCCTGTCCTCAAATGGTCCCCTATGCAGATGTGCAGGCTGCTGTCTTCTCTCTCCACCCTCCTCACTGTCCTCCACGCCCTCAGCAGTCACCTCAGAAACTGGCACCTGGCTTTGTCTAGGGCTTAGCTTCCTTACAGCACAGGCTGTTCATTTTCCCATAATCCTTCCTGCTCTCCAAGGCCACATCTCTGCTGGCCTTCCTCTGTTACTGCCTTGTGGCACTGAGTGCTTTGTCTGTGTGCCACAGCTCCAAAGGTCTTTCCTCTAAAGCTCCCTGGCCAGGCCTGGAAGGCAGAGCATCCCGAACTCCTGACCCACTGACATCCTCAGCAGGGCCTACGGGGGTCACCTCTACTTTCTCAGTCACCGGCGCCCATGGCCTCATCTCTCCCTGCCCTCCTTGGGTCCCACACTTGCTCACATCAACAACTGTCATCCAACGCATTCAGATCACCTTTCTCCTCCTGACCATCCCCTCCCTGATGCATCCAACGTCCTTTTCCTGAGCAGACCACACACTGGAGGAAACTGTCTCCACAAAGGCCACCCACTTCAGCATTGCCACCCTTGGGGCACACCCTAATCTTTGCCCTCCCTTAACTACACTTCCTCTATTCCTCCTCTGAAGGCAGAAACTTTGAACCCATTTAAATTTATTTTTCCTTTTTGTTTTCTGAGACAAGGTTTCTCTGTGTATATCTTTGGCTGTCCAGGCTGGCTTCGAACTCAGAGATCTGCCTACCTCTGTCTCCTGAGTGCTAGGATCAAAGGCATGTGCCACTGTCACCCAGCCCATTTAACCATCTTCATCTTCTTCATTGAAAGGGACATGCTGGGGGTGAGCATGACTTTAATCCCAGCACTGAGGAGGCAGAGACAGGTGAATTTCTGTGAGATCCGTACTAGCTTGGTCTACACAGCCAGTTGCAGGGCTACATATTGAGAGGCTGTCTCAAAAAATAAACATAAAAGGAGGAGGACATATTGGAGTCATGACCAGCTGTCTAGACTCCTTGACTCCATTTCCCTACCTCCTGATCCATTGCCCTACAGCCATGACCTGTGTGCTGGCTGGCGGGCACCACCTAGTGTTGCCGGAGGCTCAGCTGCTCCTGTCCTCCCTGTGACCTTTTTTGTCATCCCTCCCACGACTTCCGAGGATGGAGCTTCTTTCTGTAAAGTATCTTAAATGCCCTTTGCTCTCTACCCTTCAACCCACTTCGAAAACTGTCTTACAAATCGAGTCACCAGGTTCATCCAACTGCCGGTTAGGCGTGTTCACCCAGATGTTGCAGTGTGCTTAAGGTCTGTTTTTTTGTTTTGGCTTGAGATAGGGTCTCTCTATCCCTGGCTGGCTGTAACTCATGAAGACTAGGTTGGCCTAGACCTCACAGAGATCCGCCCACGCCCGGCCTTTACGTGTATGTGTGTGTGTGGGGGTTCTGTTTCCAATCTCGCAGGTGACAGAACCTAGGACTTCTTGGGTGCTAGGCAAGTGCGCTGTCATTTAGCAACACCCATGTCCTAACATTGCTCAGTGTCTGCAAGCCCAAACTTTATTAATTTCCTTTGAACCCACATTCCGTGACTCGTCTTGCAGCTCCCATCTTGTCCCAAGCCTAGCAGAACCCAGGATATATTTGTGGGCTGGACAGTGTTTTTGGAACCAGCACGGAGGCGAGGCTCCCGGCGCTCCGGCTCCACAGGCCGCTGGCCTGGGGGTGCGGAACAGAAAGACAAACCGCACGCGAGACTCTACCACAAGCAGCCCTACGCCGTGCGCGCGAACCCGCCAACGTGGATAGCTCGAGCCCCGCCCCGTCGCGCGGCGCTCCCAGCAGCCAATGGGAACGGTTGGTAGACCGTCGCTCAAACCAGTCCCGTAGGCAGTGGGCGGGCCCTGTGGGCCACCGCCCACTCACGCGCCGCCTCATGTGCCCTGGGCCAATGGGCGCGGCTTGCGTAGTCAGGAGGCGGGTCAGCGCGGCCCACAGCGCGGGCGCCGGGCTTCTTCCCACGTCGCGGGCTCTCGGCGCTGGTGTGTCAGCCGCGTCCCAACTGACAGGACGGATCATGGGGGCTCTGGCCGCCAGGCGCTGCGTCGAGTGGCTGCTGGGCCTCTACTTTGTCTCGCACATCCCGGTCACGCTGTTCATCGACCTGCAGGTGGTGCTGCCGCCCGAACTGTACCCGCAGGAGGTGAGGGTTCAGGGGTCCCCACGTGGCCGTCGCGGTTCCCGTCCGCTCGGTGTCTGACTTGGGTCTCACAAGCCGTAGACCAACGCTTTGTTCCTCTCAACCAAGTGGTAGGGCGCATGCATAGCACTCAGAAGGTCCTGGGTTCGAACTACATTTATTCGCCAAACCTTTGTTTTCTGGGTGTGTTTCGCTCCCACTGTTCCATCTTAGGCGGGTGACTAAGGGAAGTTGCCTGGGTGGACCGGTGTCTGTCACCTGTAGTACTTTGTTGAACAAAGTTTTGTTTGGATGGGCTTTAAAAGTCCAACGTAACCCCCAGAGGAAAGGCCCCGAGTAGAATCAAGCCTGTCTGAAGACGTTAGCCCTTGGTTACTGCTGGCTGTGTAGTATTCATACATCACTCCTTCGGGATCTGAATCGGCATCAGGAGCAGTGAGGAAATACCGCCTTTTCAAGTACGCTGTTTGAATTGGGTTGGACGTGAGCTGAATTCTTTGATCCAGACTTGCACTGCGCTTTATCCGAGTCTATAACCTTCCAGGGAATTTCTGCATGCTTCAAACTACGGGTGGAAATGTAGGCAGGACTGACTTGTCCACCTAAGATTTGATCTGCTAGGCGGTGGTGGCGCACATCTTTAATCCCAGCACTCGGGAAGCAGAGGCAGGCCAATCTCTGTGAGTTCGAGGACAGCCAGGGCTTCTCAAAGAAACGCTGCCTCGAATAAAATGAAACAGAAAGGTTTGATTTTTGCCTCTGAAATCCATGAATTTTCAATGGTGTCTACAAAACTGCATGTACCTTGTGTCCTCTGGAGTCTATATAGCTTCCATCACTGGAAGAGTGCTGCCCACCCAAGAAGGCTGGGAGTGGCAAAATCAGCAATGTCACCCCCAGCCCCTTACGTCTCTTTTTGGTTTGTTTGTGGAACCACATAGCTAGAAAGACCAGAAAGACCTTTGCCCTTCTTTTCCATGGGAAAACCGTAGGTATTATGTGGCAAGAGCACTTGGCCTTTCCAAGAACTGGCTGAGTATCTTGGCATGTTTAGGGCTCTATGGCTCCAAGTTTTTTTCCTTAAGATAACAGTTCATTGAGTACATTGCAAGAGGGCATTAACTAGGGTACCCCTGCAGCCACAGCTTTGAAATAATAGGTTGGATTGTCAATTAAATTGCAGGAGTAAGTTGTAGCTCCTTGTTAAGAACATTTGCCTGGCATGCATGAGGGAAGTGAGAATTTAAAATGGCAGGTCCCAGGACTGTAGGGATAGAAGCTCCTTGCCTCTTGCAGCTTTGTGGTGATGCCAATGTCTTGAGGCTTGTTTTGCCGAGCTGAGGATCATGCTTAAGACTTCAGACTTGCCATGTAGTCTACCTTGTATCCCTGACCTTTAGTTGTGGCCCTTTCACGTCAGTCTCTGTAGGTCATCACATCGCCACTCCATCTGTATTTACATCTCCCTCTGTCTATTTTAAGGTCACTTGTAATACATTTAAGGCCTACCATGTAACCCAGGAAAAGGTCCCTTTGAATGAATTTCTGGTCCTGTTGGACATGGATAAGGACATGAATGTTAGTATTCGGGCATCTGTACTGGCATGTCCTTGGGGTTCTGACAGGACATGACCTCAGCGGCAGCCACTAAGAGCACCACCTGTGCGCATTCACTATGCTCCCTTCAAAAGGGGCCCTGCTCACCTCCCATCTTTTTTTTTCCACCTTTTTTCTCTTCCACTAGTCTTGTCCCAGGGATGGGTCTGTCTGCCCTCCTCTCTGGCCCTTCTCTCTCCTCTTCCAATAAACCTCCTATGTGAGTACTGGTGTATGAAACACTTTTCTTTGCAGCATTTTAAAAATTACAACAATACCTTGAGTACTGTCAGTCTGCTGCCACAGAAGGGCCTGCAAACCTAGAGGCCATTGAAACTGCACTAGCTACCATCTAGCCTGAAGAAAGGGAGCCCCTATTGCCATTTCTTCCGGGTTTGGTAGCAGTGGAGGTAAAACCCAGGGCTTTGCTTACTGAACTGCCCTCAGCCATTGTTTTTATTTTTTTTGTTTGTTTGTTTTTGAAAAGAGGTCTTGACAGAGGTGGTGACAACATGCCTTTAATCCCAGCATTCAGGGAGGTTCAAGACCAGCCTGGTCTATAGATTGACAGGACAGCCAGGGCTACACAAAGAAACAAACAAGAAATATTGGCGGGGCATGTGGGGGGTGAGGTTGTCTTGTGCTAACCCAGGCTAGCCTCAGACCCAAAGCATTTGCCATCTCAGCTGTACAGGGTTCACAGGCATGAACTGTTCCACCCAGCTTGAGTGATGGGCTTTTTGAGATAGGGTCTCGATACTCTCAAGAGCTGCCTTTACTTCCATGACAGCTCCTAGTTTCTTTCCTAACTGCTAGTCTCCATCCTGCATACCACTCCTCCAGACAACTAAAATGTAACCAGCATTATACAGACCACCAGTTAAACATTTTGTTTTTCAAAACAGGGTCTCACTGTAGCTCTAGTTATTCTATAACTTAGTATCTAGACCTGGCCAGTTTCACAGCCGGGCGTTGGTGGTGCATGCCTTTAATCCCAGCACTCGGGAGGCAAAGGCAGGTGGATCTCTGTGAGTTCGAGGCCAGCCTGGTCTACAGAGCGAGTTCCAGCAGGACAGCCTCCAAAACAATACAGAGAAACCCTGTCTCGAAAAAACCAAAAAAAAAAAAAAAAATCCAGTTTCACAGTTCCCAATCAAAAAGCTGTGCATGCTGATGCTCTGACCCTAGCACAGTCACATTTCTGGGCACTTGCTTAGAAGTTCTCATGGTAGTGAGGCCTCTGTTTCTCAGCAGCCAACTGTTACTTGGGTATTTTGTTTTTGAGACAGGTCTGTAGCCCAGACCTAGCCTCCAAGTCGGCTAGCCTTGAATTCCTGATGCTCCTGCCTCCACTTCCCAAATGCTAGGATTACCATGTGTCACTACACCCACAGCCTTTATCTTTTGATTAGAAATTAACACACACAAAAAAAAAATCTCCCTAGATTTTCCATTATAACACCCCTGGAGTTGCCTTTATTTATCATATCCTGACACTTACTTGGCTTTGAAAGTGAATTCGTGTTATTTCCAGGCCTTTTTTTTTTTTTTTTTTCTTCTGGTTTTTCAAGACAGAGTTTCTGTGTGTGACTTTGGAGGCTGTCCTGGAACTCACTCTGTAGACCAGGCTGGCCACAAACTCACAGAGATCTGTCTGTCTCTGCCTCCTGAGTGCTGGGACTAAAGGCATGTGACACCGCCACTTGGCTATTTTTTGTCAGTTTAATTGGTTTCATTTTTGAGACAAGATCTCTTATAGCCCACGTTAGCCCTAGACCAAGTATGTAGCTGAGGATTACCTTGCTTTAGGATGCTGAGTTTGACAAGCCTTTCTTAGCAGCACCCAGGTCCCAAGGCTTCTGGCTCCTGTAAAGTAGAGTGGGTAGCTGCAGGTTCTGGCCTCCTGCTGCCTGTAACCAGTCAGCATGGACCTGCATACTTCGATTTGTTAAGTTGATTACAAGTGTGAGGCTGGAGCTAGACCCAGACTGCTGATTCAGGCCTCACTAGAACACTGATGCTGTGTATGTACTCTGGGGTAATTCCACCAATACCCAGCTGGTCTTCTGAAGAAAAAATTGAAGATAGTGAATGAAAAATGTATTTGTAATGTTAGGATTGAAATGTCTATAATGTTTCCACAAAGGTCAGATTTAATTTCCCTTCTACCCTCAACCCGCCCAAATTCAACTGATTTCTGCATTGGAGGACTCTAGATGTATAGTTGTGAAAGGGAGAATGGCAAGATGGGTTTTTCATTTCCTTATCAACAAGTGTTAGCAGAATGCCATTTTCACTCAGTAAACATCCCAAGAAGCTCCTAAGTGGAAGTTACTGTAACTCTCCAGTTTGTGCTGTCTTGGAATTAGAAATAAGTGCACAGTAGCACGAAGACTAGAAATAAGTGCACAGTAGCACGAAGAGCCTGGGGAAACTTACTGTCCAAGAAGGTAACATTTGAATTATGACTAGTAAGTTTTTATTAATGACCATCTAGGCCAGTGTTTCTCAACCTATGAATCATGGCCCCTTTGGGGGGTCAAACAGCTCTTTCACAGAGATTGAGTACCAGATATACTGCATATCAGATATTTACATTATGATTTGGAACAGCAGCAAAATTACAATATGAAGTAGCAACGAAATTTTATGGTTGGGTATCACCACAACACGAGAGACTGTATTAAAGTGTTACAGCATTAGGAAGGTTAAGAACCACTGGTCTAGATGTCATATGAGCCAGCTGGGTATGTCACTGCTGCCACCAGGGCTGCACAGTGAGGGACTCTTAGCTAGAGAGCTTGGTGCACTGGAGCCACTGAACCTGTAGGCCACGTGCCAGGACTCACCAGGATCCCGTCTTTTTGCAGTTCAACAACCTGTTGCAGTGGTACGCTAAGGAGTTCAAAGACCCTCTGATGCAGGACCCCCCAGTGTGGTTCAAGTCTTTCCTATTTTGTGAGCTTGTGTTCCAGCTGCCTTTCTTTCCTGTTGCAGCATATGCCTTCTTCAAAGGTTGGTAGTGTGGGAAATCTTGGTTTTGCACAGAAATCTCTTGGAGGAGCAAACCCCTGTAGCTTGAAGGATCTGGTATCCACTAGCAGATGTCACAGAGGAACATTAAATGTGGCTCAGCTGATGTCCTGTAAGCTGGGCTTCCTCAGTAATCTAGAAATCCCTCATGATGTGAAACCTGGGGCCAAGGACAAGCTTGTTTCTTTTAACCCACCACACACACATACAATTTCTTTTATTTGTGGCCTTATGAGAGTATATTTATTGCCTTATAAGCTGGAAGCATCAAGCCAATCCCTGAAGAGCTTAACTTCTCACTTAAAACTTATTCCTGGGACTGGAGATGGTGCAGTAGTTAAGAACATTGGTTGCTCTTCTAAAGGACCTGGGTTTGGTTTTCAGCACCCACATGGCAGCTTATAACCAGCTGTAACTCCAGTTCCACAAGGTCTAACACCCTCATTTGGCCTCAGGGGACACTGCACACAACATGATTGCAGGCAAAATACTCAAAAGAATGTTTTTAAAAATTCGGCCGGGAAGCCGGGCGTTGGTGGCGCACGGCTTTAATCCCAGCACTTGGGAGGCAGAGGCAGGCGGATCTCTGTGAGTTCGAGGCCAGCCTGGTCTACAGAGCGAGTTCCAGGACAGCCTCCAAAGCCACAGAGAAACCCTGTCTCGAAAAACCAAAAAAAAAAAAAAATCGGCCGGGCGTTGGTGGCGCACGCCTTTAATCCCAGCACTCCAGAGGCAGGCAGATCTGTGAGTTCGAGGCCGGGCTGGACTGACAGCCTCCAAAACAATACAGAGACACCCTGTCTCATAAAACAAAATAAATAAAATTTAAAAAATAAAAATTCAAAGAAAAATGTCTACATGCCATCATATAGTTAGTGCCCATCCTTGGAAACTAAGCTCATAGAGAAGGAAAGCTATTTCCCACTGAGATCCTATAGGCACGGGATCCAGCTGCCCTCTTACCCGTGTGGATCCTTATGGGTGCCGGGACAGGGTCTCCTCCTACTCCTGTTTCCTAAGCTAAATGCCAATTCTCACCGTCAGTGAGCTGGTGCAACATCCAGTTTTTCATGTGTGCAGTCTGACTTTCCACCAAGATGAGGCAAAACCATCAAGTTGAGAGGAGCAGACAAGCAGGGGTGGGGTAGAGCATGTCCCAGATACCCTGGGAGTCACCAGAGCTAAGTTTTAACCTAATTGTCCTTTTTTCTTCCTCTGCTTCAGGAAATTGCCGATGGATCCGTATCCCTGCAATCATGTATGCAGTTCACACCATAACAACTTTAATTCCAATCCTCTATACATTTCTACTTCAAGATTTCTCCAAAACTGTTGCTTTCAAAGGACTTGGACCTGAAAATTTCCGAGAACGACTGACACTCATAGGTGTCTATGTCCCCTATTTAATAATCCCCCTTATACTTCTCCTGTTCATGTTGCGGAACCCTTACTATAAGTATGAGGAGAAAAGAAAGAAAAAATAGGGGCCAGACACTAGCCCAGCTGGGGAGATCCCACAGTACAGTTGCCTTTTAGACAATACTAGAAAAACTGCTCTGAACCCATGTCTCAGCTGCATTTGAAACATACCAACAGCAGTGCACAAGAACAAGATAGTGGCAAGACATGCCAAGCCCTCACCTTCCAAGGGCTGAACAGACCATCAGGAGGGGTGGGGACCAGCGAAATGGTGCCAAAGTTCTGCTCTAGCATTGCTAAAAATGGGCAGACAAAAAGCTGGTCAGCTCCTGAGATAGAACACAACACCTGACTAAATCCTGACTTGACCTCCAGCTGATCAATAGTCAACAAATGAGCAGTGGGTGTTTCTGGTGGCTTTAATATCACAGATTTTGTCTCTTTAAACATCCATGAAAAACTACCATGGTTTCCTGCCTATACGTCCGCCCACCTCTGGAAGAAAAAGATATTGTAGCCTCGAGAGCCTAAGGCAGAAATGGGTTACATGGAAGGTAACCATTTACAGGTCACCCCATCTTCCAGTTATTCTACTAGTACTTGTACTTCACAACTCCGGCGTCTCACACCACTGGGCTCCCTGATAGATAGAGGAAGCTTTGTCCTTCCTCTCTGTCTGATCCTTTCTATCCTGTTCAGTGGGGTAATAGTGTGACTGTCCCGGTGTGTCTGCTGTTCCACTGGCTCTCCTTAAAGAAACAAGGTTGGTGGGTGTTTTTGCTTGCAAGCCATGTTGCTCTGGTTACTACGGTTTGACTTGTATGTATGGTCCAAATAAAGGTAGCTGCTGATCACTGCCTGGTTTGTTGTGTGGATGGGTTAAAATACTTGAGTTCTCAGAGGGGCTAGGCACACAGCACCAGAAAAGAAAGACCACACCATTTGCAAATGGTATTTATTGCTTTTCATCGAGAGCTTTTTGAATTTACAAAAAAAAAAAAAAAGTGGGTCAAAGTTTTTACAGGCTGCTTAGTTTGTGCTGAGAATGCAAGAGGTGAGGCTTGTGCTGCCCTGCCACTAGTGGCTGGGTACTGTTTACAGCTGCCTCAGAGGTGCCCCAGATGGGAATACTGCCTCCTTACACACTGCCATTACATACTTGGTCATCAGTCAAGTCACTGGAATGGTACAGAGGTTTTGTTTGTTTGTGGTGTTTTTTTTTACCTTCCCGCTATAAATATGAAAATTTCAGTTCACTTCTGAAAAATAAATTGGTCAATAAATTCATTTTGTTCTGCTTCTACTTTACACAAAGCTTCATATTCAACTCGATACCTGAAAAACAAAATTGTTAGAATCCCTGAAAAGAATGAAATAAAAACAGGACAATTCTTTGAGAGTATAGAGCTTTAAACAGTTGCAAGAAATGGTGAGCTGAGAATGAAGTCAGAGCAAGAGTAAAATGAGCAAAGTCCTACTCAGAGCCACCCAGGAGAAACCTCTGCCCCTAGGGAAGGTATAGAGGTAGTCTCAGCCCTTGTTAAAGGAACCAGTGCTCAGATTATGGAAAGCCATCTGGAATTAACCAATTAATCCCCACTTCTTATCAAATGTAATTTTTAGAAAATATTTTATTTATTATATATACAGTCTTCTGTCTGCATGCTAGAAGAGAGCACTAGATCTCATTACAGATGGTTGTGAGCCACCATGTGGTTCCCAGAATTGAACTCAGGACCTCTGGAAGAACAGTCAGTGCTCTTAACCACTGAGCCATCTCTCCAGCCCCCTCAAATGTAATTTTTAAAAAGCTTCAGGATACCCAGTGAGATGCTCTACCTGGGAAATGATGTGGAAAGACAAGGTGGTCCAGAAGGAAAACGAGACTGCAGTTGAGCACTGGCTGGTGTGGCTGCTTACCTTTCCAACTGCATTTTCTTTTCTGCTATTAGCGCTTGCAGTTGCTGCTGTTGGGCTTCTCTCTGCTTTGCTATGGATTTGAGCAAGTTCCGAGCACCGATGGCCTAAGAAACAGCATTGCCAAAGAAGGCATGGTTTTAAACTGGAAGAGGGAAAGGCCACTTGGGAGGGGAAAAGAGAGGAGCCCCATGGTTTTAATGGCTAGGACTATTAACACACTGATCCCAAAGCGCCTGGTGAAAAATAACAGGAGCAAGTGTATGCAGTGGCCTACTGGAGGGCATTACTTACACCTTTTACCAAGTCATCTGTGCCTGGCAATCTTTCATGTCTTTGTTTGTTTTTTTGGTTTTTACGAGACAGGGTTTCTCTGTATTGTTTTGGAGGCTGTCGGTCCAGCCCAGCCTCGAACTCACAGAGATCCGCCTGCCTCTGCCTCCCGAGTGCTGGGATTAAAGGCGTGCCCCACCACCACCTGGCTTCAAGTCTTTGTTTTTTTTTAAACACCCACCAACCAGTACTGCCAAAGGTCAAAAGGAGTAATGGCAAGTGTGGACTGAAGAGAGGACTCAGTGGTTAAGAACACTGATTGCTCTTGGAGAGGAGCCAAATCCCGTTCTGCAGGCACCCACATGGCAGTTAAACAGTGTCTATAGCTTCAGTTCCAGGGGATTCAATAACCTCTCTGACCTCCGTGGGCACGGACACCAGGCACACACACACAGTACCCATACATATGTAGGCAAAATAGTCATGCACATAAATCTAGAAATCTGAGGACTGGAGAGATGGCTCAGTCATTAAAAGCATTAGCTGTGTTTCCAGAGGATGTAGGTTCCATTACCAGCACTCACACAGCAACTCACACCCAAACATTTCTAATTCTAGTTCCAGAGAATCTGATACCTTCTGGCCTCTAGACACGCACATGTATGTGCACAGACATTCATGCAGACAAGCATTCACATGAAATAAGTCTTAAAAAAAAAATACTGGCATATAAACTCAACATGTTAACTAGGCCAGCATCTGTTATTAAATTCCTGTGTTAAATAAATGAGCTTACCATCCCTACAATAAAAACAAGGCCTGCAGGGTTCCCGGCCACGGCCAACAGCTGATCTTACCTTCATCTTCTCATTCTCTGCTTCTTTCGCAAGCTGATCAACAAGCTCAATTAGACCACCAACTATTTTCTGAAACTGGCCAATTTCTTCGGGGGTGGGGGTGGGGGGGAGAACAAAACATTCTCATTAGCATTCCTTTGAAGTAGGGAGGGCAGAGCTAACTGCCTCTTCTAATCTGTTACAGCAGCCTGCTGCATACTAACCTAAGCCTACCACCATTGGTCTCCCCTAGAAAAGAGGGACCAGTACAGAGCTAGACTTTGAGCATAAGCTGCAGGGTGGACTCAACCCTACCTCTCTCAGGACTCTCAGGACACAAGTGCAGCCTCTGGACTGGCCAAAGACTCAACACTGAGTTTCAATAAAAGGTGGTGTGAAAATCCCTGCCTGGAACCATAGCTGGCAGAAAGCTCACATCAATCATTTAGGTGCCCCATTTCCCATTTACTTTTTCCAGTGCTCTTGGTATGCTGGAACCCTGTTTTATTTTATGAAAATAAAATAAGGCCAAAGAAGTGGGCCACAGCATACAGCAACCACTAAACTGGGAACAGACACCAAACAACCTGTCATGAAACTATGGCCCAGAAATCTCTTGCTTCAGCTGAGTGTGCGACACAAGCTGGAACCCCAGCACTAGGGAGGCTAAGTTAGGAGAATCATGAGTTTGAGGCCAACATATACATAGTGAGACCCTCAAAAAAAGGGGAAGAAAATTCCCTTGCTCCAGCTTAATTTGGCTTTTTCCACTGGCACTGGGCTGGCTTAGCAGCTAGGAAAGAAGGCCTCCTGAAGATTTGTAGCCCAAAGGTCACCACTGTGCTGAGCTGTTCCTGGAGACCTTAGTTACCACCTCTGACTCAAAGTAACACAGATCCTGCCACCAAGACTATTCTACCAAGAAATCAAATCAGAATGTATAATTCCATTTCCCACCTCCAAGTCATAATTCTCAATCATGGATTTTAAGATTATTCATCTAAAAACAGTCCCCTCTCCCTAGTCCAATGTGTTGCTTGAGACTAAATGTGGAACTCCATGGCAACATAAGAGGGCAAGTAGAGAAGGTTGGGTACACATGGGGATCCAGAGGCCAGGCTCAAGTCAGGTAGCAGCAACTTCATTCTGGCAGACCTAAGAGCGATAGTCAAGGGGGGGGGCAATGAATTTGCTCAAAGCAGAGTGTCACGGTGTCTTCAAATGATACTCACTGTCCACAAAATCCTTACACTCTTCCTTGAGCTCTATGGTCTGCTGTGTAACCTCTGGGTCCAACACCCGAAGCTTGTTCAGCTCATCAAAGTGCAGCCCTGCTTCCCCCAAGATGTCCTTGGCCATAGCTGCAAAGAAAGCAGCCCCAACCTGAATTTCATCCCAGACATCCCAGACAATCAGGCTCTACCTCAGCCACTCAAGTCCCCAGATACTAATGTCAAGCCCTCCTCAAATTCCCTGTTCCCTCTACCTCCCCTCTCAGCCTCACCTGTTTCCCTTCCAGGTTCCCTAGAGAAGTTCTGCTTTGAAGGGGTGACAGTGGCAGTCAGGAGGTATGTCATAGGAGCAAGGGTCAGGAAAGAATAAAGTCCAATTGCTTGTCACAGGCATCGTTCATTCAACATACATTTCTTGAGTGCCTACTACATGCCAACACTGCTAGATGCTGGGGTGGAAAGATGAATGCAACATGGTGCCTGCCCTGGAGCAGCTTAGCTGGAGGAAAACAGACATGTAAACCTGAAAAACTAGATTGCATTAAGTGATTTTACAGAAATATCACTAAGTCAACAGGAAAAAAAAATGAAAACAGCATTCACTTGGGTGCATCTGGCCTAAGTTATGAGCCATAGTTAGAAATCCCCATTTATAGCCGGGCGTTGGTGGCGCACGCCTTTAATCCCAGCACTCGGGAGGCAGAGGCAGGTGGATCTCTGTGAGTTCGAGGCCAGCCTGGTCTACAGAGTGAGTTTCAGGACAGCCTCCAAAACAATACAGAGAAACCCTGTCTTGAAAAACCAAAAAAAAAAAGAAAAAAGAAATCCCCATTTATGCATCTCAAAAGACTTTTCAAATGCATGCATCGAAATCACACAGGCATGCACGCACGCACACATAAAAAAAAAAAGAAAGACAAAATCTGGGTGAATTAAAAAATTAGAGTTAAAAAGCCAGCTATGGTCATGCATGACTCTAATTCTAGCACCTGTGCCAGAGGACCACTGACACAAGTTTAGGAGCAACCTGGGTTACATATTGAATTCCAGGCTATCCTGTGCTACATAAGACCCTGTCTCCAAAACAAAGCAAAAAAAACAAACAAACAAACAAACAAAACCAACCCAATTGTCTTTTTGTGTTCTATTTGGACCAACAGTTTGAGTAATTAAGAGCTACCAGGGATTAACTGGACTAGGTGCTATTGAAAAGTTCGTGTAGTATGAGGGTGCACACATCCGAGTTTGCATGCATTTTTTCAAAAAACTGTGGAATCCCTGCTCCAAGAACAGGGTGAACACAATGTCTCTGGACAGACAGTAAGTAAACAACCACAAACTGAGAATATATATATATGTGTGTATGTATATATATATATATATATATATATATAGAACAGTGCTCTGCGAAGCCACTGCAGGAGAACATAACTCAATGGGCAGAGGGAGGTTAACAAAAGCCTTCAGAAAAAATAATATGAGACCTAAACATGTCCAAAATAATCTAAGAGAAGGGAGAGAAGTATCTTGGACAGAGGGAAAAGCACATAGGAAGACCCTGAGGCTAGAATTTGGCACAAAGGCTGTTGTGATCAAAACATGGAGCAACAAGGCCAGACTGGCTAGAACAGGATGGTTCAATATGGGGAAGGCCCCAGTAATGAACTCGGATTTTTTTTTAATGGTAACAGCTAGTAGTGGATCCCAGCAGTGCTCCAAATCGATTAGATCTGGAATGATCACTCACTGCCTTGGCTAACCGGAGGACGGTAGCACAGAGGCACACCTACCAGAATGATGGTTCACTGTGAGCCTAGCATCTAGGCAGGTTGCCTGCAAGTCAGCGGCACTCTGTTAATGTTGTGGAATGAAAGAACGTGGAAACAGTAGGCTGTAACAGAAGAAAAGACTGAAGCTGAAGACGAGAGCACAGATGACATGTTTCCTGAGTCGACAGAATTTAGTAACAGACTGTCGAATGCAGCAGTTTGGAGATGAGTGAAGAAAAGAGCCAAACATGATTGCCATGAGTCTGGTTTGGACCGCGTGCATGGCTGGAAAGGACAGTTTAACGAGATGCGTAAGAAAGACAGCTAAAGGAAATGCTTCACAGTGGACTAACAGATCCCCACCTCACCCGCAGCTTCTACCACAAACACGTCCCAGGGACCTGGGATTGAATTTCCTAAACATGAGGACGGTGACTGGCTCTCCCCGCCCTGGCTCTCCCAGATCCCCAGGCACTAAAAACAGTTGCGGCTGTGGAGTGTGGAGAAGGCGCTGGCACAGTCAGGAACGACCGGGCAAAGGACGGGGCTGTCTTTACTACGTTATCCTCCCGAAATGTCCGAGCCTCGGCTTCCCGGAGAGATCGTGGGGAGCCACGCTCTCGGGCTGAGCTGGGTGTAAACTGGCTCCCTAAAAATTTCGAGGGTGGGAAACCGCCGCTGTCGGCCTGGGCCTGCCAGTCCTCACCGCGGGACCACGTCGGCCTTGTCTAGCCCCAAGTCCACCTCGTCCCCCGACCTCAAATCACAACATACCTGCCGACCCGTCTTGGCGGCGCGCTGCAGCCCAGATGGCTGTCGGTGGAAAGTTCTCTCCGGTAACCGCGACCGGCCGCTGCCACGGATACAGGACCTATGGGTCCCACGTCACCCCGACACCAGAACCACCAGCATCCGCCCACCCCGCAGTGCCTGCTGGGAAATAGAGGCAACCCGAGAAGAGCGGAAACTGACCCCGAATCCCAGAAGCCTTTGCGCCGGAGGACGTCGGAAATAGATTTCCTCTCACACCCGGAAGCGGAAGAAGGCCTAGCCTCAGCCGGATTCCCGACTCCACCACCTGCTCGCGCGCTGTGCATGTCGGGTCTTGTAGTGTATTTCTCGAGTCGTAGGGCTGGGTTGTAGCTCTAGAGTCTGCAGGCGCAGGATGTGAGCTCACAGCTGAGATTGCAGGCAGCCACAGGCCAGAGGCGGCACAGAGTCCTCTCGCCACTCGCCTGAGAGTAGAAGCGCCCCTGCGGACGGTGAGAGCCGACGTGTTTAGTGCGGAGGGGAAGGACAGGCTCTGCCGGTTCCTGGGCAAAAGGCACGGGACGGCGCGTGGGGATGGAGTTCAGGTCCTCTCCTGGGGGTGGGTGGCACCACGGATCTCAGTTTCTCAGAAGTGGAGGGGTGTGGAGGGAGAGCAGCCTGCACTGCCAGGAGAGAGGTGGGATAGCTCCGCATTTCCACAGGGAATCCTTTGGATGAAGCCTAAGCGTCGCTCTCACGATTTCTGATCTTTTTAGCCAAAACCAGCCTTTCTCATCCTTTCGCTGTCTATCATGTCCTTCCTTTAGGACCCCAAGTCTTTACACTACCGCGATCGTTTGCCCTTTGTTCTATTTGGCTTCTCATGAGGTTCCCTTAGAGACACGTGTAGGTCCCTAACCCCAGGACTACCCCAGTATCCATTGGCGAAGAAGTCCAGAGGGAAGAGTCCTGACGCTATCCGTGGAAACTTCATCCTCTCAGAAATTTCTTTCTAGGGCGTCACCTGCCGCTGGACTCTTGGAACTCATTGGTCTGGGTGGAACCTGATCTGACGTCACCCAGGACTCAAAGTGGCTCCTTTGTAAGAAAAGCATAGATTAGCTCCGGATTTGACTTCCTTAGCTGGCAAGCCTAGTCATTGAGTTTCTTTGATTTGGTAGAATGTGTATATGTGCTTCCTTTGATTACAGAGAAATAGGGTTTGGACCAAAAAATATGTGAGGAACTTGCTAAAATTTGTTAAGGGGTTGATTTTTTTCTCCCTTTGGGGTAGGGCATATTGCTCACCATTCTAACTTTTTTTTTTCTTGAGACAGGATTTCTCTGTGTAGGTTGGAGGTTGTCCTGGCACTCACTCTGTAGACCAGGCTGGCCTCGAACTCACAGAGGTCTGCCTGCCTCTGCCTCCCAAGTGCTGGGACTAAAGGCGTGCGCCACCTCCTCTGCCACCATCGCCCAGTCCCACTCTGGTGTCCCAGTGTCACTTACTGTCAGTCTCCTGGGGCTCGTTTCATTCATATTCCATCACTGAAGCAAGTAAGTGCTACTTCACACAGCACCACCATCCTGGGGGCATACCTAAATCTTTTCAGGAACAGTTTTAGTCTAACAAGCAGATATATATTGAATATTTGAAAGTGTGCCTTCTTGTTTGAGGAACCACATTCTGGGTTTCACCTGTCAGGTGATCTCCCACTTCCTCTCAGGCACCTTTGCAGTCCTACACAGCATCAGATTTGTCCTTGGAAACTATAAATAAATCAGATCGTATAGCCCCCCCACCCCCTGGTTTAAAGCCTTCCAGTCAGTTCCCAAAGTGTATTGCAATTCACACATCAGACCACTTTCCGCCTTTTCCTGTATGCCAGCCACCATGTCACTGCTGTTCCTAAAACTTGTTCCTTCTTAGCAATCTGTGTGCCTGGTGCCCACAAAGATCAGACGAAGCCATCAGAGCTCCTAGTTATATGTCGCCGTGAGCTATGAATTGAATGTAGGTCTTCTGGGAGGCAGCCAGTGCTCTTAACTGCTGATCCATCTTTCCAGCCCCAGAAAATTGGTTTCATTTTTTTCAAAATATAAATGTACATGTGTGTGCCTGAGTGTACATACGTACACCATGTGCATGCAGCCAGGCAGAAAGGCCAGAAGAGGGTGTCAGATCCTCTGGAACAGGAGTTACAGATTATTGTAAGCCAATTGATGTGGGTGCTGGGAACTGTGCATGGGTCTTCTGCAGGCAGAGTACATGTTCTTACCACAGAGCCATCTCTTCAGTCTCTAATCTTTATTTCAAACAGGGACTTTGCACTTGCTGTCTAGAATATACTTTCAGACCTTAGCTGAAATGTCCTCTTCCCTTGTTCTCAAGCCTCAACCTGATAACTCCCATGTCATTTTTTTTGGGAGGGGGGTTCCAGACAGGGTTTCTCTGTATTGTTTTGGAGGCTGTCCTGGAACTTGCTCTGTAGACCAGACTGGCCTGGAACTCACAGAGATCCGTCTGCCTCTGCCTCCCAAGTGCGTGTACCACCAACGCCTGGCCCATGTCATTCTTATATTCTCAGTTACTTTGATTGCCTGTCTGCTTCTTTGTTTCCTTGTTGATTGTCTTCTAGTTTGTGTTTTTGTTTGAGGAAGGTTTCTCTACTTAGCCTTGGCTGCCCTGGAACGCACTACATGCACCAGGCTAGCCTGGAATTTCCAAGTACTAGGATTAAAGGCATGTGCCATTATGCCTAGCTAGTCTGTCTTCTTCCACTAGAGTGGAAGTTCCACGAGGAAAGACCTCTTCTGTATTTGTCCTTTTCTATTTCTAGTGCCTGACACACAGTAGGAGCATAATAAACGATAACTTACTACTCTTTTAATTCTTGTTGGGCTGGGCATGTAGTGTTCTTTGAACTCCTTGAAGCAAGGACAGTGTCTTTATATGGTTCCTACTTCTTAATAACAGGTACCAAATAGTTTTATTGTCAAGTGAATTAAATGAGATAAAATATATACCCAATGTGTAAAATATTCCCTGCCACATACTAAGCATGCAGTGAATTTAGCTATGATACTTTTTCATTGGTAAATGGATATTATTGATACTATTTTTAAATTTTTAGATATTTTTTTTATTTTATGTGTGTGGGTGTTTTGCCTACATGTTATCTGTATACCATATGTGCAGTGCCCACAGAGGCCATAACACAACATCAGATCCCCTGTAACTGGTGTTACAAATGTAACTGCTATGTGGGCCTGGGAATTGAACCCATGTCCTCTAGTAGACCAGCTGGTGCTCATAACAACTGAAACATCTCTTCAGTAGGTGACTTTTTATTATTGCTATATTCATTTTGTTTTCTAAAGACAGAAATCCTGCTATTTGGCCCAGGTTGACTTCTGTCTCATTCTGTAATACAGGCAGGGCTTGGACTTGAAGTCTTCTTGAGTGCTTGCTGGTGTTACAGGTGTGTACCACCATACCTAATAGTATCTAATAATATTGGGGGGGGTGTTTGTTTTTGAAGCAGAGTCTCTTGTATCCCAGGTGGGTCCCAAACTCTTTTTTTTTCCAGACAGGGTTTCTCTGTATTGCTTTGGAGGCTGTCCTGGAACTTGCCCTGTAGACCAGGCTGGTCTTGAACTCACAGAGATGGGTTCCAAACTCTTTAGGTAGCTGAGGAACAGCTGGTCTTTCTGCCTCCACTGGCCTATGTTTGGATTACAAGCATGGGCTGTCATATTTAGTTTACATGCTGCTGGGAATCAAGTCCAGAGCTCATACGTGCTAGACAAGCATCCTACATTAAACTACAACTTAGTCTTTCCTTTTTCCCCTGAGACTGGGTCTCTGTAGTTCAGACTGCCTCAGCCTTCCAAGTACTGGATTGTAGGTGTGAGCCACCATCCTTGGCCTGGTTAGTGATAGTTTGGATAAGCTAAACCATTACAGCCAGGGGTGGTGACAAACATGTTTAATCCCAGCACTATGGAGGCAGAGGCAAGTGGAGCTCTGTGAGTTTGAGTACAGTCTAGTTTACACATCAAGATCTGGAATCAGGGCTATATAATAGAGGGGACCTTGTTTCAAAAAAAGCCATCATCACCATCATTATAATACAATTATCTCTCCATGTCTGTGTGGCATTGACTCTAGGTTCTTTGAAAATACCAAAATCTGCTGGGCGGTGGTGGCGCACGCCTTTAATCCCAGCACTCAGGAGGCAGAAGCAGGCGGATCGCTGTGAGATCGAGGCCGGGCTGGACCGACAGCCTCTAAAACAATACAAAGAAACCCTGTCTCGTGAAACCAAAAAAAAAAAAAAGAAAATACCAAAATCTGAGGATGTTTGAGTCCCTTACATTAAGTGTTGTCGTATATAATCCATGCACATCCTCCTGAATTTCTTCTATCATCTCTGGGTTATTTTAAATACCTAATACTATGTGTTTATATAAAATATGATACACATAGTTGTATCTATATGTATGCAAATAGTTGTTACACTGTGCTATTTAGGGAATGGTAACCACAATAAATCTGTACCCATTCAGGAAAAATTAATTTTGTTTTTGATACAAGGTCTCTCTCTGTGTAGTCCTGACTGTCCTGGAGCTCCCTCTGTAGACCAGGCTGGCCTGGAACTCACAGAGAGCCTCTTGCCTCTGCTTCCTCATGGGCCACCATGCCCATCTCTGACTCAATTTTTTTTTTTTAATTCAGAGTTTACAGGTTTAGAACTTAGAGTGAAATCATTTCTCTTGTCTCCAAGCCGTTAGTGTTTTACTTTCCACGGCCCTTAATCATTTTTAAGGTCATCATGATGTTTGTTCTGCCCATTCTTGGTAGGAAGGAAAAGAAGAGAGATAGTGCTCTCAGGAAAAAGCAACAAAATAGCCATCCTGTGTTCTGCCTTGAAAAATGGTTACAATTACAGGAACTTGGGTCAAAGCTGATACCAAGAAAGGGAAGGGTCTGGAAACCCCATAGGAGCTCAGGTGACCCCCGTCAAGCTCCCTGGCTGGCTGCCTCCAAAGCTGGCCTTCTCCAATCGCTTAAAACCACACTCGTGTTCCTTCCTGGATCAGGCTTCCTTTGGCTGGTGCTAATGTGAGTCCTGGAGCAGGCTACTCCTGAGACCGGAAATGCATCCTGTCCCTCTGGCTCCTGGGAAACTCCTAGGCTGGCTAGATTCCCAGTCGGTTAGTCTGGAAAGTCTGGAATCTCAGGAATCTTGGGAAAACATTTTCTAGAGTCAGATGGTGGATCCCAAGGTGACCTATTCATGTTCTTAGTTCTAAGGATTTCTTTTGCAACCCAAAGCAGAACTGAGCCTGGAGTTTATGTTTCCAGACCTGACTCCTGGTACTGTGAGAAGAGCATAGGGGTCATTCTTGTTGTCACCCAGTATCCTAGTTTGCTTTCTATTGCTGTGATAAAACGCCGTGACCAAAAGCAACTGAGGAGGAAAGAGTTTATTTGGCTTACACATCCCAGGTCATGGTTCTTAACTAGGGAAGTCGGGAAAGGAGCTGAGGATAGGAACTGAAGCAGAGCCCATAGAGGAATGTTGTTTGCTTACTGACCAGCCTGCTTTCTTATACCACCCAGAACCACTTGCCCATGGATAACACTGCCCAGCCCCCATCAATCGTTAATCAGGAAAATGTTCCCCGCAGACTTGCCTCCAGGCCAATGTAATAGAGGCATTTTCTCAGTTAAGGTTCTCTTCCCAGATGACTTTAGCTTGTGTCATGTTAACAAAAAACTAACCAGCACACCCAGGAATTTAGCCTCTACTTGGGAATATATGGCTTATCTAGGAAGTAAACTGTCAGAGTTCCTGTGCTGTCCCCTCCTCCCTTGTGATCTCCACTCGGCTGACTTCCGTGTTCTCTCCCTTTTGCTTACAGCACTGAGAGTATGAGGCCCTGGCCTCTGTGGGCCACTCATTCGTGACCACTTCCACCACGGCAGAGCCTTCCAAGCCTACCTCCTGCCGTGTGGTGATCTACCTGCAGCGGGAGATGTCAGGGGACACCTGTCTGTGCCCAGCCTCGGGGACCAAGCCCAAGATAAGTGGCTTCAAGGGAGGCGGCCTGGGCAACAAGTATGTGCAGCTCAATGTGGGTGGCTCCCTGTACTACACTACAGTGCGGGCCCTCACCCGGCATGACACTATGCTCAAGGCCATGTTCAGTGGGCGCATGGAGGTGCTGACTGACAAAGAAGGTGAGCCATGATATCTGAGCACACTGGGCACGGGAAGAGAGGAAGGGAGCATCCTTCGATGACTTCAGGGCAAGACAGGAGCTCAACAGATCTAGAATCTGTAACTTTTCCTCTACACTTCTTACAAGTCTTAATAGGGCTTCAGAATTCCTTGAAATTGTACATAGGATGATATATGTTTATGTGTCATCCAGAGGAAAAAGTCTATACTTAAAAAATATTCAGGCTGGGTGTGGCAGCACACATCTGTAACCGTAGCACTTGGAGGTGGGGACAGGAGGATCAGAAATTTGAAGCCAACCTCCATTACATAGTAAGTTTGAGGCCAGCCTAGGCTACAAACTTTATCTCAATCTAGAAATGTCGGCACAGGCTTGTAATTCCAACACTCGGTTTGAGGCAGGCTAATCTCAGTTCTGAGGCTAATCAAGACTCTGTTTCAAAAGCTGACATATGGGCCAGGCATGTTGGCATACGCCTCTTAATCCCAGGACTCAAGAGGTAGAGGAAGGTGGATCTCTGTGAGTTCGAGGCTAGTCTGGTCTACAAAGTGTTTTCCAGGATAGCCAGGGCTACATAAAGAGAAACCCTGCGTGAAAAACAAAATAAAACACCAAAAAGGCTGACATGTGTATGTGTGTCCAAATAAGTAAGATTGTCATAACACAATAGAGCCTGGGCAGTGGGCAAAGAGTAAGCAGAGACTGGTGGTTTCTGTATTGCCAGGGTGACCTGAGTTTCCCCAAGCTTAGACATTCAATCCTGCACAGAGCCCTGAAGACCTAAATCTTCTCAGGGGCAGAAAGTTCCTGGACTCAGGATAGGGAAGAGCAGCACAGACCCGAAGCCGATTCTCTCTGCCACCCCTGGCCTGGGCTCTGCACTCTCGTGGAGCTCCTTTCCCTGCTGCCTGCTGCCTGCTTGCCTCTCTCAGGTGGCCTCTGCCTGCTGCCTCTCTCAGGTGGCCTCTGCCTGCATGGGACACAGCTGGAGGCTAACAGTAATCCTGTGGGATCCCTCTAAATCCCTAGGCTGGATCCTCATAGACAGATGTGGAAAGCACTTTGGCACCATCTTGAATTACCTCCGAGATGACACCATCACCCTCCCTCAAAACCGGCAAGAAATCCAGGAATTGATGGCTGAAGCAAAATATTACCTCATTCAGGGTCTAGTGAACATGTGCCAGACTGCCCTGCAGGTATGGGAAGAATTGGTGGCCTAATGAGGTTGGGAATTGTCCCTCTGGGGACATTAGGTTTGGTTCCTGGAAAGCTGTGTTGGAAATAAGGATGATGAGTTCAAACCCAGTTAGAACAATGGGGTGCTGCCCAGGCCCAAGCAAACTGCTGCTAGGTATTCACGTTTGGTAGCACAAGCAGGCTGTGCCACTAGTTCATTCACTTAGATATGGGAGCTTCAGATTTTCTGGCATTGGGGATCTTACTGACTGGCAATATCTATTGCCAAAAACGTCATGATCCGTCTGGTACATCCTTACCAGGCAAGGTGGTGACTGTCTCAAAGCCTGGAAAGGTACCTGGCTAGAACAAGATCCTAAAGGCCGTTTTCTGCTCTGTGTGTCACCCAGGACAAGAAAGACTCCTACGAGCCCGTGTGCAACATCCCCATCATCACGTCTCTGAGAGAAGAGGACAGGCTCATCGAATCCTCCACAAAGGTACTGGGCACTCTTAGGGCCTCGGTCTGGGGACACCAGGCTCCTGGCCTAACCCTCACTCCGTCTTCTCTCACAGCCTGTGGTGAAGCTGCTATACAACAGGAGCAATAACAAGTATTCATACACCAGGTATGATAGGCATCTCTGCTAGAGTGCTGGGGGGGGGGGGGCAGACACAGCTGAAGGCTGAGCAACCAGAGCAGGCTCTGGGTACTAGGCCCAAGGGACCTCACAGGTTTCTGACACACATAACATGGGGCTGGGTTTTGAAACCACCTTTGCTAAGGGCAATGAACAGGGATGGAAGGGAACTCAAAACAGAGGCATTTGGGATTTGTTATATAATCCTGGTTGGGATGTAGATGATAAAATGTGAAACATACCTGTAATGTATCATATCAGGAACATGCTAGGAATTTCAATCCCCATTGCCTTAGTGGGTGAAAAGAGGTGCTAGGAAATCATGAGCTGAGTCCTCCTGAAGCTGGCACTCCTCACTGTGTCCTTATAACAGACTATGGTTAGGTAGACCCAGGTAGCTGCAGGCATGGGTCTAGACTCTCCTGGTCCCCTGTAAACACTGCATCAGCCCTCAGCAAAAGAATGGTGTACTGAAATAACAGTGAGGGACCCTTTCCTCCATGCTTAGGAGGGGCCACTTCTTTCTCTCAGTGAACTGAGGGCCAGTTCCACCCCTTCCCTCACAAACCCCAAGTCCTACAGGTTCCTCTCTGACTCTGTCCCTCTCTGCTTTGTCTTCATTTTAGCATGATGGGGCGGAAGGCAGGGGTGGGGGAGCAGCATGGAGAACCCAGAATGTTCCAGCAGCCATGTCGTGTTGGAACCTCATTCCAGGCCTTCTGGCCCTTTGGTTTTTTCAGCAACTCTGATGATCACCTGCTGAAAAACATTGAGCTGTTTGATAAGCTGTCCCTGCGCTTCAATGGCCGTGTGCTCTTCATCAAGGACGTCATTGGTGATGAAATCTGCTGCTGGTCTTTCTATGGCCAGGGTCGTAAGCTGGCAGAGGTGTGCTGCACCTCCATCGTGTATGCCACAGAAAAGAAGCAGACAAAGGTATGGCCTTTCCTCTGATAGGGAACAGATCACACAGGACTGAGAACTGGTGTTGCTCCAGTGTACCCTTCCCCAGTAACGAAAGGGCCACATGTACTTTCCAAAACATAGTATGATGGTGCCAGGTAGGACAGAGTCAGAACAAAGAGTTGAGGGATGGTCAGAAACTGTTACAGATGCTGAAAAAGAAGCCCACTGACCAGCAATTTTGTGGTGCCATGGAAGGACCAGGTCTTTGAAGTTGTCACAATTCAGGTTGCAGTTCTAGTCCCACCACCTCTCAGTTGTCTGACAACTCTGTGGAGCCATTGGTGTTTTCCTGCTTGCAGACATGGGAATGAGTCTGAGTGTGGCCAGTGCATGGCAAGGTACCAAAGCAGCATGGTGTAGCTTTCCACGTCAACATGCTAACAGCCAGGCTGGTTGGCTGGCTTCCTGAGCCCATGGTATGACATCACAGGCCAGATGAGCACAAGGCACCTTTTATTTTTACTTTTTCTTTTTGAAACAGGGTGACTGAAGCCCAGGCTGGAGCTTGCTACATAACCTAGGTTAGCCACAAACACATGACATTCCTCCTGCCTCAACCCACTAGGACTAGGGTTACAGGTATAGTTCACTATAATCAGCTGTGTGAATTACTTGGTAGGGGACAATTTATGTAGACTTAGCTCCTCCCTTCCTGCAGAGGTCAGCAGGTGTCCTCCCTAAAGCATATACTTAGAGACGGCAGGGTTTTAATATGTAGAAAAGGGGAATAAAGGGTGCAGGCATCCAGACCCAAGAGCCTTAGCCCCAGACTGCCACATTGCCTCAGGCTGAGTGATCTGCTGAGGGCTCTCAGAGGGATAGCTTATATGAGGTGGCAGTCCTTGGCAGTGGTGGGTGGGGACAAAGATGACATGGAGTTAGCCAAGAGGCTATGACAGTGGAGTCAGGATTCAGGACCTGAGTAACAGCAGCGGTGGCAGTACCTGTCTTCTCCCTCGGTGCTCTCTTCCTTCTGTGTGCTCCCCTAACCCTCCGCACCCCAACTCTAAGGCAGGCCCAGCAGGAGCCATTCTCTCCACTTGAGATGAAGGCACAGCAGCTCAGTGTGACAGATTTGCTGCAATTTTGGGGTCCTGGTCTCTTCCCTCCACATTGACCCTAGGGGTAGGCTTTCTGGGTGAGAGAAGCAATGAACTGCTTGTCAGAATTACTTCATTTATTTGTGTGGATGGGTGACCACAGGACAGCCTGGAGTGTTCCCGCCATTTGGGTTCCACCATTTGGGTCCTAAGATCAAACTCAAGTTGGCAGGATTTGTGGCAAGCACCTTCATCAACTGACCTATCCTCTGTTCCCCCCACCCTTTTTTTGAAATAGAATTTCACTAGGTGGGCTGGCTTCAAACTCTCCATCCTCCTACCTCAGCCTCTCAGGTAACAGGGATTACAGATGGGTACCACCCAGCCTGCTAAGCAGCTGCTTTTTATTATGTATTTAGTTGTTTACTGTGTCAGGCTATTCACTGGGCTAAAGAATGTATGTCTTTCTTTCAATGTTGACAAATCTTAAGAGGTGTTAGCCTAGCTTGGCAGGCATACCTGGGATCACAGTGCTCAGAAGACTGAGGTAGGAAGAATCTAAATCTAGGGCAGCTTGGGACATAGGAGACCCTGTCTCAAAACAAAAACAAAGTAGCAATTGACATCACTTTACACACATAGAAACTGCAGCCCAGAAAGCTCAGGCCCAAGACCTAGCATCTTGTCCATGGAGTTGTTTGTACCTGTACATATCCATGATGATAGTCTTCAGTTGTGGAGTGGGGTGGGGATGCAGGGGTGTGTTAATCTATATTCTCATGTCCCCTGATGCTTCCCTTGTTAGCCAGGCAGCTACCTGACTTCTAAGTTAGGAGGCTTCATGGAAGAGACAAGGTTCAGAGCCCTAATGTTTCCTCATGAAATGAGACCTCACTCCATCTTGTTCCCTTCTTCCCAGGTGGAATTCCCAGAGGCCCGAATATATGAGGAGACACTCAACGTCCTACTCTATGAGACCCCTCGAGTCCCTGACAATTCCTTGCTGGAGGCCACAAGTCGGAGCCGCAGCCAAGCTTCCCCCAGTGAAGATGAGGATACCTTTGAACTGCGGGACCGTGTCCGTCGCATTCACGTCAAGCGCTATAGCACTTATGATGACCGGCAACTTGGCCACCAGTCTGCTCATCGAGACTAATGAGACCTTAGGAAGTCAGAGCACAAGAAGCCATGTCTGCTATCCTGTGGAACATAGCCCATTGGCCATCCTATGCTGCTCCTACGAGCTGGGAGCCTGCTCTAGCATGTAGTGGTGCTGGGCCCTGCTTGGGAGGTCAAGGAGCCTGGCAGAGGAAAGGTCACACTGTCACTTTCAGATACCACCCCACTTCCTACCTGACAGGGAGCTACTTCTGCTTTAGGGTGAGTGTACTGACTTCCACCTCCTGTGGAGAACATTCCCCAGGTCCTTGGCTTAGTGCCCTTCTCTCTACTGAAGAGCTCCTTCAGTTCCTCAGCTGAGGCCCACAGGAACAGCTCTGTTCTATGGGAAAGGAGGCTTCTGGTGCTGCAAGGACCCAATTTTGAATAGAAAGAGCAGCCTTCTTTTTTTAAGGTGTTTAAGCATAGGTATGACCTGATTATTTGTTTGTTTTTAAATCTAGATGTTAGCATGGTAGCCTTGTCTATAATCCCAGCTATGGAGAAGCTGACGCAGGATAACAAATTATAGTCTAGCCTGGACAATTTAGCAAGATGCTGTCTCAATACAAAGTTTTAAAAGGGCTACTGGCATAGCTTACTGGTAGAGTACTTACCTAGTATGAGTGAGGTCCTGGGTTCAATCCCCAGTACTGCCACACACACAATGACTAGTTTCTAGTCTGATGAGGGAGAACCTAGTACTAAAAACATTTGCTCTACCCCTTTAAATGCCCTAGGACCCATCTTTAAAGCACTTTGTCTGTCATTCAGGAGTCTGACATGTGCTATAATGCCAGCACTCAGAGGCTGAAGCAGGAGGATCATAAGTTTGAGACCAGTCTGTGCTATGTAGTTAAAAGTTCTAGGCTAGCCTGGGAGAGACTCTTGTCTCAAGAAAAAAGCAAACTGACTAGCTTTGGCTTTGTCAACCTGACTGGGCAGCCCAAAGAACACCAGGAGGGGAAGGATACCCAAGCAGAGCCTGTGATTTTAATAGCGCCCTATGGGAAAAGATACCTCACCCCTGTAGGGTTATATCACTGACTCAGACCTAACACAGTTGTTTCATTTGGATCTTATACTTGGGTATGCTCAGCTGTCACCATAAAGCCAGAGGCTGTCATGCAGGCTGGAAACACAGCAGCAGCAGAAGGCTATGGAACCATCAGCTAAAGAGAACATATTCTTGGAGCCACATGCTGCCAGGAATGCCCACAGATGTGGTCCAGGCTTGGCCATACTTTTGCCCAGCTCCTGACATCATGTCTTGGTTTATGGTTTGGCTCTAGGCAGTGATTCCGTTTAGTGATGACTCTCCAAATACATACTAGCCTTTTGAAAGGCCTTTATTTCCTTTGGGTCACTTGACCATGGAAGTACCAAGGTCTGGACTAGTTGTGAATTATTCCTCTGGGCTTTGGTTTTCCTCCCCTTTTTGCTGGTCTTGGCCCCCTTAACTAGATTCTTTCCAGAGGAATATTGTCACTGGAGGGAGCTGTTTGCAAGCCTGACAAAGTGTGTGGCCATCAACAGTGCTCAGGACGGAACACAGGTTGTTAGCTTCATCCCTTGACCACTCTTACAACTGCCAAATGGCTGCACATAGCTCACCTCTCAGAGCCTATAGGCAGATGCCAGGGTTAGGGTTGGGCTCTCACAAGGCCCTGACATGACATGATAGAGCAAGGGAAATGTGACTTAGTAATCAGGCATTTGATGTTAATCACAGTCTTGAATGTATAAACAGCTCTAAGATGCTCGGGTCAAGCACCTTGGTGATCAGCAGCTACTAGTTCTTCCAGATCTCACTGGAGGTGAGATCTTTTTTTTTGGGGGGGGCAGGTTTAGGCTTTAGCTTTGATGCTTTCCCACAGACTTTGGAATGTTGTGGTATGAGGCCACTGGTCTATTTTTCTCAGCTGTCCCCAAGAAGCCCTTTAATAGTCAGAGTCCCAACTCCCTGCTACATACTTCCACATCCCCTTTAGCCTCTACTTGGTGCTTTGACACCTGTATTAGTGGTGTCTAGTCCTTGGGCCTGCACAGTAGCAAGAGTCCAGGGCTGGGTATTGTCTTTGACTGAAAAACATCTCCTTGGTTTAAGGAAAACACTAACACTGAAGTGATCTGAGCGTTTTTGCTTGGACTTTATGGCTTAGGGGTTTGTGGGATTTCCCAGTCCTATTCCTACAGTAGCTCTTGGCGGGATGAATCTACAGGCTCTGCTGAACTTGGGATTGATGTGACTGGTCTGCCTAAAGGGTAACACAGGTTCTGGCATGAAAGACTGTCTTTTACTGCATACCTGCAATCCTTGGTTGCTTCCTCTAAGCGATAGAAGTAAACACTAACTTGTAATAAACTTCTGTTACACTGCCATGGTGCAGAGCCATGTTTCTAGTGAGTAGAGCCTGGCCAGCTTACAGCTGTGGGCTCAGGGCTTATATTTCTGTTCCCTCCATGACCTTGTATTCTAGAAAGGTCAGAAGACTCATTCCCTCTGTTGTCCTACAAACCCACTTCCCTCTGGTGGAAGATTAAGAACAATACTCACAAGGACTAGAACTGAGATTTAATAATGCAAGAACGAAAGGACCTCTAGCAGTGACAGTGGTGAAGGAACCCTGAGAACCGGGGCAGTGCAGCCCAACTCTGCCTCCTGTTGATCTGACAGAAGCTAGGAAAGCAGCTTGACTTGGTCACTGTCCATAACTTAAGCTGCTTCTTGGCTGAATTCCTGTACTTGTGGTCTGGATGTCTGACAGACTTTTGCTCAGTGCTCAGAAGCTCACAGCTCCAGGAAACCTGACTGGTTTTGTCTCACTCTTCTCCAGGCCTAGTAAAGCCAGAGATGCTGGTGGCTAATCAGTGTTTACAGTCAGGTCACCCAAATCCTAAATGCTGGCCTCCTGGCCTCCTCTGTACTGGGCGGAGGGTAAAGAAGAGACTGAGAACTTAGTCCTGTGCAGCATAGCCCACTGTTAGCCTGGAGATGTCCAGCCTCTGAGGAAGACACACCTTAGCAGACAGAGGCAGCAGCTCCCTAGAAGAGACTTTGCAGGAAAGCAACCAAGAGTTCCCACAGGGTCAACAACAGAGCCTGAGACCCTGGGGACAAAATGGCCAGCGTGGCCAAATGAGCACTGGTTTATTGACCACGGTTCACATTCCAGACAACCTGTGACAACTGAACATGGTTCCCTGACAGCTTTGCTGGAACATGATGTAGGCAGGGCCTGGGCAGGGACTGACCTTGGAGGAGTCTTATGTGGGTCTTCCAAGAAAAGTTACAATCTCCCTCCAAACAAAGAATCCCAAAATTAAGAGGCCCATAATAGGGAGAGACTTAGAGTTCTGCAGCAATTATGGGTTAAGAGCTGTTCTGAGGGGCCCAACCTGGGCACTCAAGGACCTCAGCTGGCCTACCAGTGAAGGCCTGAGGGTGGTGTCTTCTCATCTTTATTGCTTTCCAAGGAGAATGGTGGGATCCGGACATCAAAGTGGGAGCCATCGGGTCTCTCAAAACGAAATGTGCCCCTAAGGATTGGAGAAGCCGCTTTAGAGGGAGAAAGGGCTGCACTGAAAGCCATCTTGATCTGTGTGCCCCCGTGTCCTCTAATCCAGAGCCACAGCACATGAGGAATGTGGCCTTGTCATCTGCCTAGCTCATGACAGGAAAAGCAAAGATCCAAGAGCCCTGTGTGCCCATGTGCAGAAGCACAACTATTCAGATTCTGCCACTTGGATACGTGCTATATGAGCAGCACACCTTACTTAAGATTAAGAGGGAAACCCAACTACATGAGCACAGTCCCAAGTCTTGGGACCTAATTCCTTAGCTCACAAATTATAAGGAACTCATAGCCATAAAAGCCAGACAGTCCCACAGCAATGAATAACACCTATCGGTGCCCATCTCAGGACCTCCCGCTGCTGAACTGACCACAAGCTTAGCTTGTTCAGGGTTCTCACTTTGTTATTGTTGGCATGAATGGAAATAGTTGCGTAAACCTGCCTCAGTCTCCCAAGTGCTATGATTACAGGTGTGCAACTCCACCCTGAGCCCCAGTTCTCACTGGCAGCTGTCTGTGGAGTTGAGCAGCATATACTCTATACTCCAGCATACACTCACTCACCACATGTGCCCACTGGAAGCTTGCAGGGAGACATGGCTGCTATACTGGAATGCAGGCTGCTCCTTGGATAACACTGGTTCCTAAAAGAATTCAGGCAAAATGGGTCAGGCCAAGTCCCAGAAATACATTCCTTCCATCCGGGGGGCTGCCAAATACTGACTGGATGATTCCTTTCACCTACGCAGCTGCAACAGCAGACACATCTACAATGACCATCTTTCAGCCAGGTGTTGGTGGCACACGCCTTTAATCCCAGCACTCGGGAGGCAGAGGCAGGCAGATCTCTGTGAGTTTGAGACAAGCCTGGTCTACAAGAGCTAGTTCCAGGACAGCCTCCAAAGTCACAGAGAAACCCTGTCTCGGGGGAAAAAAAACCAAAACAACCAAACAAAAAATAACAAATGACCATCTTTCAGTAATTCCTCCCACATCATGGGCAGTGGCCTGAGCCTCTTATTTTTCTATCTCTAGGAAAAACAAACTGGGTGGGGGCACTGAGGAAAGGGTGCTAGGCAGACTTTTCTCTGAAAACATCTCTCCCTGCATTTACTCACATGAACAAGTACCATGCCCAACAGCAGGGCTTCTGCCTGCAGGGTTTATTCTCTTGGTGACTGTGAAGTACTATGTGTGATCCCTACTTTAGCAGCAAGTAACATATTTGGGTTACATAATTTGCCCAAGCCAAGCATGGAGACACACACTTTTGAACCCAGCACTAAGAAGGCAGAGGCAGGTGGATCTCTGAATTAGAGGCCAGCTTGGCCTACAAAGTTGAGTTCCAGAATAGCCAGGGATACACAGAGAAACTGGTCTACAAAAACAACAAAAATTGCCCCTAAGTTATATAGTATATAGCTGGAATTTGAAGGTAAGCCCTTCTTTAGGATTTTTTGTTTTTCAAAAATGTACCATGTAGCCCAACTTGGCCTCAAACTCACAATTACCCTGCCTCAACTCCCAGGGCACTAGACTACAGGTGTGTGCCACATACAGCCCAAGCCCTGTTTACTTGGACCCCATTTTCCCAAGTGTCTTCTAACAGTGGTGCTGGATGACACTAGCACTGTTTGTGACTTAATCTCTCAAGAAACAAGGTAGGATAGGCAGGGAACATAAAATCAAATCTCTTTAAGACACTAGATGGAATAATACAAAAAGAGACACGACACAGTTGGTACATGTCCCAAAATCAGAAAGTGCTTCTTTTGTTTGTTATTGGGGGGAGGTGTTTAATTTGTGTATTTGTGTATGTGTGTGTGTGTGTGTGCAAATTGTCTTATGTTTGGAAGTCAGAAGATACCATGAGGGAGTCAGTGCATACTTTCCACCATATGAGTTCCAGGGTTCAAACTCAGTTCATCAGGCTTGGTTGGCATCGAGCACCTTTACCCACTGAGCCATCTTATCAGCCCATTTTTTTTTCTAACAGGGTCTCATATAACCCAGGCTAGCTTCACACTTTCTTTCTTTTTCTTTTTTTTTAAAGATTTATTTATTTATCACATATACAGTATTCTGCCTACATGCCAGAAGAGGGCACCAGATTGAATTGTAGATGGTTGTGAGCCACCATGTGGTTGCTGGGAATTGAACTCAGGACCTCTGGAAAAGCAGTCACTGCTCTTAACCTCTGAGCCATCTCTCCAGCCCGCTTCACACTTTCTATGTAGCCCAAATATAGCCTTAAATTCTGATCTTTCTGACTCCATTTCCCACAAATTCAGGATTTTAAAAGACATGCCATCTGGGTCTGATGTAACTAGAGTGTTTGCCTAACATGCACAAAGCTGAGTTTGACCTCAAGTGTTGGAGCAGGGTGGGAAGACTAATGAGACATGCTGCTCAACAGTAAGTACATGAGCTTTGGGACTAGAAAGAGAGCTCAGCAGTTACTTGCTGTTCTTGTAGAGGACCAGGTTTCCAGAGGTATGTGTTTCAAGACAGGAATTCGTGTATCCCAGGCAGTCAAGGAAGACCCTAAACTTCCCAAGGGTAAGATTATAGGCACATAAAACCATGCTTAGTCTATGCAGTGTTGGGGTCAAATTCATGATGCCAGGCAGGCACTCTATCAAGAGCTACTTCCCCCATCCCTTATTAATTACCATCTAAGCCTCATTCCTCATCTGTGAAACAGATTACAGACAAGCTACCCACAGGGCTGTTGTAAGATTTCTAGTCATAGACAACCCATTGTGTCACTCTGTCCATAACCAAAAATGAAGAAAACATACCCAAAGTTCCTAGGCCTGCTAACAGAACCAACAACTAGGCCACAGTGGCCCAATGATGCTCACCCTGCCGACCACTCCTCGTCCTCGAACTGTCTCCAAGGTGCCTGAGAGACTGAATATCCTCCAGTGCCGCTCCCGAAGCTGTACCACATCACTGTCCAGGTTCTCCAAGCGTATACAGTAGCGCCACTGTGATGGAAAGAGGTCATGTTTGAGGAAGAACAACACTTGGGCCAGCACAACCAGAATTCCACAGAGAGTAAACAGCAACAAATGTTGACATCTACATTTTACAATGTGGATGGCTGCATCCACCCTGGTCAAAAGACATACACTGTATCCACACCCCCAGGCTCTTCCTGAGCCCCCACCAAGGGGAACACTCACCCAATAGACGTGAGAATTCTGGGCTTCCTGGAGGGAAAAAGAGTTGAGGATGAGACTAAGTCTGTTCCAGTCAACACATCTCAAATGAAGTATTCCTGGAACACGGCAGAGACTGATCAAGCTGTGATGTCTGGGAGCCAATGATGAATGGGATAGAACTATGGCCAGCAGCCTCCCACATCCTTCCTGCTCTGCCCCTTCTCCAATCCTGTTAAAACCAACAGAGCTGAATGCCAACAGAAATGCACTACAGCGCTCTGTTCTCACTAGCCTTCCTGCCAGCCCTGACCCCATCACTGCCACCTGGGCCTCTGTCATTCTTATAGCCCTCTGACGACCATGCTTGATGGATGCTGGCCTCCCCTATGACTGAGTCCTAATAGGCAAGAAATCTTCCATTTATACTTGAATCTGCAGGCCTAGCTTGGAGTGAGGCAAGACACAGATCAATAAATACTTGATTACTAAACACAAAGTGTGATAGTCAGCCCACACTGATTTATACAAGTATATGTATATATTTTTCACAAGGAGTCTATACCAGAAGAGAGAATGAGGAGCTGGCATGGAGGACTACTTCCTGATCTGTGGGTTTGCTGTTCTAAATCATAGTGTTGGCCATTATCAAGAGGCTACTCAACCCCACCCCGTATATGAGCAATTGACAGCAGAACCACAGGGTAGGGTTTAGGATTAGATACACTCCCACCCCCATCCCAACACTCACATCAGGGATACCACACTGAATCTGGGGCCTAGTCTTGGCAGGAAGAAGACCAGACTAGCACATACCCTCATGCCCATATAGAAAGGGATGACTGTGACACGGATGTTCTCAGTTGTTTCCCGGTGGACATCAGAGAGCTCTAGCCAAGGGTGGTTCTTCTCCTGCCAGGCCCGTAGAGTTTCTCGAGCCACAAAAGGGGGTGCTAGAAGAGACAACAGGTTAGTGCAGACCGGAGTCCTAGGCACAGCACCCATTCTCCAACTGTCCCTCCCAGAAACCATTCCCAGTTATGCCCAAGGGAATGAGACCTACACATACAGTAAAAGCAAGGCTGGAGGAAGATGCTGAGCTGCTACTGAGATTAAAGTCCTAAGGGCACAGTGCTATGGAAAAGGACTGGGGGCTAAGAGCCCTGGTTTTCAGACCTCTAGTTGTTCCTACCTAGCAACTGTAATTGTTTCTCATCACCCCAGTCTCTGTTTCTACTGGTATAAGGAAACGGTAGACATCAGCCATACTGGATAAGGGGAAATAGAGAAGGGCTATGGGACTAGATCTAGCTGTCAGTTATTTCTGATACTCTGCTTCAAGAAAGGGCCTTCCTTCCTCTTCCTACCTCCTTTCCTAAGAGATTACCTTTTGTCTGGTCATAGAGAAGAAATCTTTCAAAGAGCTCGTGTTGGATGGGAACCTGATCCGTGGAGGTATAGGGGAGGATGTCTTCATGACTGACATAGTCCAAGCCTGGCACAGGAAGGCAGAGCTAGTAAGACTCACAGAGCAGAGGAACGAGACGGAGAGGAAATACCTTCTGGCCCTGCCCAAGGTAGGCAACCCTGGCACCACAGCTCTAGGTACCATGATCCCTCCCAGCAGATGACAAGACATCAGATTCCTCTCCCTGGGACATACCAGACTCCTGCTCCTCAGGAACCATTTGGATGCTAACTCCTCACCTGGGATGGCATAGAGAGCCCGGCTGTCATCATGGTTAGCCAAGAAGGTCACAGCTTCTGTCTGAGATCTCTGAGACTAAAGCAGAAGGTGATTCAAAGGTTTATTGGCCACTACCCAATCCAGAGGCCTTGAGGTTCAGGGCTGACCTGAGCTCTCTCTGACCCCTCTCTGTCCTTAAATGAGTGAAAACCTTTCCCATGGAGAGGACCCCAGGCCCAGGCACTTTGCTTACTTACTATGTGTGGGCAGTCTCGGGCATCAATCAGCACCTGATAGTAAGTGTGAGTTTTGCCTTTCACCTCCTTAGAGCCATGGCCAGCAGGGTTCTCTGCTCTGTGGGGTAGGAGAAGCAGCCCAGATCACCCCAGAGAAGTGGAAGCTGTACTTTGCTCAGCTAACTACTACCTCCTCTCCTAAATGTGCTGGTTTGTGATCTGAAGGGGCCTTGGACAGGTTGGTACCTGCTCAACACTACCTCTAACTAGCCTCTCCCCAGTGAGGGCAAACAATGGAGCCTGCAGGGCCCATGCAGTTACCACTCTCTAGACACCTCCTAGATGAGGGTCATGACAAGAGTCCAGTTGCTACCTGAGTCCCCAAGGGCACAAGGACCTGGTGCTTCTCCCACCCCGGGGTTGTCTATGATCATTCCGTGGAGCTTCCTTCTTGTAATGTGCTCCAATGATGATGCGAGATTAATGGAGACTCTGAGTGGACATCAAGAAACCATCAAGAGGGGCTTAGTGGGTGACAGCACTGGCTGCTCTTCCAGAGAACCATGGTTTGGTTTCCAGCACCCACATGAAGTTCACACTGTCTGTACCTCCATTTCCAAAGGATCCTACACCATCTTCTGGCCTCCAGAGCACTGCATGATCAATGTGGTACACAGACATGCATGCAGGCAGAACACACATATACATTATATACAAATAAAATCTTAAAAACAAAACAAACACACAAACAAAAAACTCCAGTGGTGATGGTGCTCGCCTTTAATCCCAGCACTTAGGAGGTAGAGACAGGCAGATCTCTGTGAGTTTGAGGTCAGCCTGGTCTACAGAGTGAATTCCAGGTCAGGTAGGGCTGTTAACAGAGAAACCCTATCTCAAAAAACCAAAACTAATAAATAAAATAAAATCTTGTCAGGCATTGGTGGCACATGCCTTTAATCCCAGCACTTAGGAGGTAGAGACAGAAAGATCTCTGTGAATTTGAGGCCAGCCTGATCTACAGAGAAAGTTCTGGGATAGCCAAGGTTACACAAGAAACCATGTCTCAAAAACCAAATATAAACAAACAAATAAATAATAAAAAGAAAGAGCAGTAGGAGTCCATTTTGGGAGGCTGAAGGAGACCCAATATACTTAGTATTAAGCACTTTTGTCTCCATGGGTATGAGTGCCAAGAAATATTCTGGGGTTATTTCTTTTATTTTGTTGTTTGTTTGTTTGTTTTTTGAAACAAGGTCTCTCTACATAACCCTGGATGTCCTGGAACTCACTATATAGACTATGCTGGCCTTGAACTCATAGAGATCCTCCTGCCTCTGTATCCTGACTGCTGGGACTATCGTGCCTGTTTGGGTTTATTGTTTTTGTTTTGTTTTTTTTTTGAGACAGGGTTTCTGTGTTGCCCTGGCTGTCCTGGAACTCACTATGTAGACCAGGTTGGCCTCAAAGTTGGAGAGCCACCTGCCTCTGCCACCTGAGTGCTGGGATTAAAGGCATGTGCCACCACCACCTGGCCATGGTTAGGATGGTTTCTAAAGTCCAAGAGGATGCTGTTTTCACCTGAGGCCCCAGCTGAGTTTGTCTACAACAAGTCATGCCACCCAAGAACACCATAAGACATGATGGGGAAACTTACTTTTCTGGAGCCGCAGAAGCTACATCCCGGTCATACAGTCTGGCCTGCCAGGGAAACAGGACGACCCCTCGGTAGCCAAAAATGCTATGAAGGAACAGCTAGGAGGAAAAAGAGACCTCACTGAGTCTGTTGTCCAGCAAATCCATCCAGGTGAGGCCTGACCATGAAGCAGCATGGGTGCAGGCAACTTCAGCACAATCTTGCCAGCTTTCCCCTCAAACTCTGTACTTAACACAAACAACTGCAGTATGCTCACGAATCATCACTGAGCTGACCCCACTCACCCTTCACGTCACCTTTGACCTTTAGGGAACTTTCCTTAACCTGCCCCGCTCTTAGTCCAGTACAGAACCACTGATTATATTTCTTTATCTCTTTTGGTTTTTCAAGACAGGGTTTCTCTGTATTGCTTGGGAGGCTGTCCTGGAACTCGCTCTGAAGACCAGGCTGGCCTTGAACTCAACAGAGATCCGCCTGCCTCTGCCTCCCAAGTGCTGTGATTAAAGGCGTGTGCCACCAATGCCCTGCTTCTTTGTCTTTTTTAAAGATATACTTTTTGTGAGTCTGTGCATGTGAGTGCAGGGACCCAAGGAAGCTAGAGGCATTGAAGTCCCTGGAGCAGGAGCTACAGGCAGGTCCTCTGGAAAAACAATAAATGCTCTTAACTGCTAAGCCATCTCTCCAGCCCCTCCAAACCATATTTCTATCATTTTCTTGGAGCGGTAAACTCCAGAACAGAAAGAACACTAATGCATACCACCTGGTAAATTTTAGGCATATAAATAAATAAATAGCTTCCACTATTTACAATGGGCCTTTGTTTCAAAGGGTTTTGAATATTTGTATGCTAGTCTGGCCTCGATTTTGTTAGGCAGCTGACAATGACCTCCAAGTCTTGCTCCTCCTACGTCCACTTCCCAAGTGCTAGGGTCATAACAGTGTGCCACCACATTCAGTTTGTGTAGGGCTGCACGCATGCTGGGCTGCACTCTACCAGCTAAACAGCGTCCCTAGCCTATTTGTATTTTTAACAAGAATCTTTTTCAATAATAGTACTAGTAATAATTACTACTATTATTTTGGGGAGGTGTAAATGGGGACAAGCCATGGTGTGTGAAAGTCAAAGGATAACTGTGGAATCAGTTCTCTCTTCCTCTAGGCTGCCTGTACCAGTTGAGCAGTATCACTGACCTCTTAGTGAATTTTCAAGTAGTATCACTATATTAGACCTCAATTGAAGTGATCCTGTTCCTCCTGCTTCTGGAGCAATGGGATTTGATGCTACTGTACACCTATCTCCAGAAATCTCATCTTTAAAAAAAATCTGTGATCCTAATGCACACATGGTATGCATTAGGCATGCACACTAAATAAATAAATGTAAAATATATTTTGGGCCAGTTAGATGGTTCGCTGGATAAGGCATCTGCTACCAAACCTAATGTCCAGAGTTTAATCCAAGGCCCACATGGCAGCAGAGAACCAGTTTTCAGAATTTCAGAAGCTGTCCTTTGATCTCTATACAATGGTGCGGTCTCTCTCTCTCTATCTATCTATCTATCTCTCTGTGAATCAATATAATGTAAAAACATTTTTATTTATAGCCGGGCGTTGGTGGCGCACGCCTTTAATCCCAGCGCTCGGGAGGCAGAGGCAGGCGGATCTCTGTGAGTTCGAGGCCAGCCTGGTCTACAGAGCGAGTTCCAGGACAGCCTCCAAAGCCACAGAGAAACCCTGTCTCAAAAAACCAAAAAAAATTTTTTTATTTATTTATTTTGGTTTTTCGAGACAGGGTTTCTCTGTAACTTTGGAGCCTGTCCTGGCACTCACTATATAGACCAGGGGCTGGCCTCAAACTCACAGAGATCCATCTGCCTCTACCTCTGCCTCTGCCTCCTGAGCGCTGGGATTAAAGGGAGTGTGCCACCAATGCTCGGCTCTTTTTTTTTTTAATTTGTGATTCTGAGCTGAGCACGGTTTCATACACCTGTAACCCCAGGATTCCATAAATTAAGATAGGGTTCAAGGTCAGCCTGGGTTATAGAATGATGAGCCTCAAAACATGATCTTGGTTTACCACCAAACATGAAGATGGATGGGAGCTTGGGGGAGGGACTCAGCTGTACAGCATCCATCTCTAGCACTATGGGGAAGGAAATGTGGAATGAAAAGAAAAAAAATATCACTGAGATTCAGTATTGTGGCAAAATTTGGCTTCACTCAGAAAGAGAATATTCCATGAAAATGAGAGCTGACCCAGCATAACACCTACCTGCCCAGTATCATATTTTCCATTTTGTTTTGGCACCTCAAACACACCAACTGTCTCCAACACTTTGCCCTCTGCACGATTTCTAGTTGGGAAGGAAAAGAATAAGCAAGTGAAATGCTGAGAAGGTAACAGTCCTTCTCCATCAGAAAACAAACAAACAAACATAAAGCCCCTATCATACCGAGGTGCCAGGGCAAAGAGGGGTCAGGGCAATGACAGCAAGAGCCAAGGATGCTGCTTTTCCTCCTTGGAGACGCAGCCATAGGCCTCTCTCTGGTGAAGACTTCTCCAGTCTTCTAGTGTTAGATCTAGCTGCTCCAAGTTTACTTCTCGTGTCTTTACTTAGCATTTCCAAGGTCATGCTGCACATCCTGTCTAAATGTATATCTTCACCCACCCCCTGGCCTCCCACAGCATTTTTAACAGTCCTTCCAGCTCTGCACTTCAGTTACGGGTGTCCATTAGAGACTATTTGTTCCAAGAGCAATGCCTAGCATGTAAGAGGTGCTCAAACGGCGTTTGTCCATGTCAAGCAGTTCTGTTTCTGCTCTTACCCACTGCTTCCTTGCAGTACACTTAATAAACCTGTCATTTGCTACTTTGAAAAACTGTTCTGAATCGAACATGGTTCTGCAAAGTCTGTATAATCTTAGAACCCTTGAGGCTGAAGCTGAAAAATCACAAGTTCTGGGTCAACCAGGCTACATAGTATGACTCTCCCCATTCTACACATCCATCTACCCTCTAAACTGTAAAAAAGTCTTTACCATGACCTCAAGACTTAACATCTCCAGATTCCCAAAGGAACAGCATGCAGTACACTTAGTACTGCAGTCTCTTTACATACGGCCCTCCCAGAATTATTTAAGTCTTAAATAGCAAATACTTCCCTCAGCCACAGTTCCATCAGTTACCTTTTTATTTTTTTCATCACATTAGTCTTTAAATTATAGGATAGTTAGAACCAACCTCACCATACCATAATCCCTTTGTGCTGTCTTACATCCTTTCTTGTATGGATCGAAACTCATACTGAACATTGAGTTCTGGGTTGCAAAAGAGGGTTTATTTTTGCACCTGTCAATTACCTTTTAAATAGGACTAGTTTTTCTACATACACATCAAAGCACTGTGATTTTATTTTGGAAATGTTAACCTCATACCCAACTCGATCAATCCTGCCTGGTTCCTAAAATGCTTTGTTTACACCATCCCCAAGCCTGGAACCCTCTTTCCCAAGTCACATGAGCAAAATCAGTCTCCCCAAGGATACACGGAAACCCAGGACCCACAAAGGTAGACACTTAAGTAGACGTGTTTCCCACTTAATAGCATCTTTCTGAGAGAAGCCATGACCCACTAGGGACTGGGGATCAAAGTCAAAATCCCTGTAGCTGTGTTAAATGGCAGCCCACTACAGGTGCTAGGGACCCTAGCAAGGGAAACAGATTCTTTGAAGAAGCGTTACTTGTTTTCCCTCGGAGTAGCCCTGCACAGCCAGGGCCCTGGGTCGTGCTCCCTTCTCTGCTCCTGGCACATGTCCCAAGCAGCGCATGTTGGCTTCCTACTTGGAACCCTTTCTCAGGTGACACTCCGGTTGCCCACAGACAGTCAGGCCTCCCGGTCTCCTTAGTGGCTAGGAACGTGCTCCCCAAATTCTGGGCCCGGCCCCCTGGTCCCCTGGCTCCGTCCCTCACCGGGACGACAGATGCCTTCGCGTCGTCGCTGTGGCCACCAGTGGAAGGGCCCCTGCTCCACCGACCGCGCACAGCGGCCTCAACCCTCGGGCCGTGGCCAGCGACCGACACCACCAGCGGCTGCCCACGGCCAGGGCCCGACGGGCCGCACAGCCTGCCATGTCCCGCCCGAGCGCCCGCTCGGCTGCTGACACAGGGCCCGACCCGCGGCGGGGCGGTGTCCCGCCCCCGCCCCACACTGCCCCGCGCCTAAGCCCCGCCCCTGGTTCTCGGGCCCGCCCCCCACGTCCGCGCGGACTCCTCCAGCTACATCCGGCGCAGGTGAACGGAAGTCCTAGTCTGGGATCACCTGACCAGAGCGTGAGTTAGAAATGGCGTCTTCCTTGCTTGGTGGTGAACGACTGGTCCGCGCTTTGGGCCCTGGCGGAGAACTGGAACGGGAGCAGCTGCCTCGGAAGCTGCGTGCCCAGCTCGAGGCTGCTCTTGGGAAGAAACACACGAGCAGTGATAGCGCCACGGGCCCTCTTCGCCTGATTCCCTTCCGTCTGATCCGAGAACTACATCAGCACCTGAGGGAAAGAAGTGAGCGTCCCCCAGTCAAGAGTCGCCGCCTAATTTTCACAGCTAATCCCTCCCGAGGCCTTCTTTTCGCCTGTCACTCTCGCGTACCTACCAAGTTCTCATTTAGCCAATCCAGAACCCTCCTCATAAACTCCAGGTTCACCACTTCCATCTTAAGTTCCGTGGAATTCTTCGTGTGTGACAAAACGTATTTGTGCAGATTTTGTTGAGTGTCCTCTTTTATGCCCACCTAAGTTTACCTGACTTTTAAAGAATTCGGAATTCTAGCCCAGTATTATCTACCATGTTGAACTTCTCCATTTGGGGGCCATTTAATGTAGTGAGTTCCTTTTTGCGAATAGTTACTTTCCTTACATCTCAAAGGCAAGGGTAGAGAATTCTGATCCCTGCCCCAGATCCTGTTTAGAGGTGAGGGTAGAGAAATAGAATAACAGAAAGAGAGAAAGAAAGAAAGAAAGAAAGAAAGAAAGAAAGAAAGAAAGAACAACTCTATTGAAAGTTCTGAACTGAGAGCCTCATCTAGTCCTAGTCCTTTCAAAGAAGTCATTTCTCCTCCTTGAACCCGTTTCCTTGTCTATTAAAAAGAAGGAATAGGGTAAATTGGCAAGTAAGATGTATTGTCATAGCCGGGTGGTGGTGGCACACGCCTTTAATCCCAGCACTTGGGAGGCAGAGGCAGGTGGATCTCCCTGTGAGTTCGAGCCCAGGCTGAACCGACAGCCTCCAAAACAATACAGAGAAACCCTGTCTCGTAAAACAAACAAAAAAGATGTATTGTCAGAATTAACATATTCTAGCCAGAAGTGCAAAGAGTAGATATTCAACTATTAGGACTTTAAGAGGGTCTTAGAAAAAGATCCTCTAATACAGTGTCCTCTGATGTTTAGCATCACAGCAAACCAATCCTATCTAGGACAGATCTATTATTTTCACAGAAATAACCTCCCATTGGCGGAGTAATTGAAGACTGACAGTTAAAGTCAACTTTGTAGCACTAGGAAATACTTAGGTGGAATTGTACTATATGTTTCATGGTTGGAAATAATCTTGAGTAAAAAGAAAAGTAGATGAATGGAGAGAAAGAAAATGATGACGAGGCTGGTCATGGCACACACCTGAAATCCTAGCACTTGAGGGGCTGGCTGGAGAATTGTGAGTTTAGGTCTAGATGAGGTACATAAGACCCTGTTCAATAAGAAGAAAAAAGGTGGCTAGGTGTGGTAGTGCAACCTGGTTTATACAATTATACAAGGGAGTGTGTGTGTGTGTGTGTGTGTGTGTGTGTGTGTGTGTGTGTGTGTGTGTGTGTTGGGATGTATATCCTAGGGATGGCCATGTTTTATTTAGGTAAAAACTAGGGCTACCCTCTTCTATGAACTTAGTCTTACAGCCTCTGCATCATGGGTCATTATGTGGAACCTTTTTCTTCCCAGATTCCAGCCTATATCTTCATGAACTCCTCAAAGGCAGTGAAATCTACCTTCCAGAGGTTGTGAAGCCTCCTCGGGTATGTAAGGGATATATTTGTGAGAGTAGGTACATTCTGAGTTGGGTGTGGATTTTATTCATCAACTTTCAGGTTTGAAATCTTATATTTTAATTATTTGGAATGGCTGGGATGTGACTCAGTGGAAGAATGCTTGACAGGTTCATTTCCTAACACCAAGAAATGAATAAATAAAATTTTGGGGCCAGTGAGATAGCTTAAAGAGTTGGTATGGCAGCCTGGCTTCAGCCCTCAGGACCGGCATGGTGGAGGGAAAGAGCTAACTCCTAAAGGTCGTCCTTTACCTCCACATATGCACTGCAGCTTGTTTGTGCACATGTACAAAAGATTTAAAAATTGGAGGATGAGTGGTGGTGGTGCACGCCTTAAACCCCAGCACTGTGGAAGCAGAGGTAGGCAGGCTTCTGAATTCAAGGCCAGTGTAGTCTACAGAGTTACTTCTAGGACAGCCAGGCTACACAGAAAGAAAAAACCTGCCTTGAAAAAAAATAAAACAGAAAAATATCTTTGGAATCTAAAATGAGGGAAGGAAGCCTTGTCTTGGAAAACTGAGACCCAGTGACCCATTTTTCAGAGCAGTGAAAGTAAAACCAGTATGCACATTTTGCTGTACATTGCACTTTGGAACCAATGATTAGGACATACTTTGTAGCAAGACATATGTAGAAGAATGTCGTTCTGTCATGTGTTTTTTTTTTTTTTTCCCGCTTTAGAATCCAGAGCTAGTTGCCAGACTAGAGAAGATTAAGATACAGCTAGCTAATGAGGAATACAAGCGGATCACTCGAAATGTCACTTGTCAGGTAAGAGCCTACTCCTTGATATATGACTTGCATCAGAGTTTTAATTTTAAAAACAACAGTAGCAGAGTATAGTGGCACATACCTTTAATTCTAGTACTCCTGATTTAGGGGCATGTGACTCTCTGAGTTCGAAGCTAGCCAGAACTATATAGTGAGACCCTGTGTCAAAAAGAAGAGAAAAGCATGGGAAATCAAACTCAATTTATATACCGTTCTAGAACTGTAAGACCTCTGTGTTCTGGCTTGTGGCACAGTGGGGCTTACCTTTAATCCCAGTCAGGGCTGTTGCCCAGAGAAACCCTGTCTCAAAAACAAAAACAAGCAGCAACAACAAAAAGACCTCTGTGTTCTCTCCAGATAAAACATAATCTTCAGTGTGTTCACTGAGACTCTGGGCTTAGATGATAGCTGATTTTGTTTTGGTTTCGGTTTTTTGGTCTTCGAGACAGGGTTTCTCTGTGTAGCCTTGGCTGTCCTGGAACTCACTCTGTAGACTAGGCTGGCGTCGAACTCACAGAAACCCTCCTGCCTCTGCCTCCCGAGCCCTGGGATTAAAGACGTGTGCCGCTGCCACCTGGCCTGAAGGTAACTGATTCTTAAATATAGAAGTGGAGGTGAGCCTTGGAGATTTTTCTTTTTTCAGGGAAGAATCTCTGTACCCCAGACAAGCCTTGAATTCTGGATTCTCTTGTCTAACCTCCCAGATGTTGGGATTACTGGTATACCTGTAGCCTTTTTTTCCTGACAGGACTCCCTTGGCATGTTTCTGCTATCAAGTTGGGAAGTAGATGGGTCCTGGGAGCCTGGATCCTCCTTTTTATGATCTAGAAGGCATCATACAAGTCCAGGCAAAAGAATCCCTGGAGAGGGTGGAATTAATCTGTTGAGTAGAAAGGACTGAGGCCAGACTGGCAAAGGGGGATTGATTTCTGAACTGTTTTCATTCTGAAACCATGTGGACTTTGTTTCTTTTGTTTACCCAGGATGCACAGCATGGGGGGACGCTCAGTGACCTGGGAAAACAAGGTGAGGTACTAGGAACCCAGGCTGCTCATAGTCATAGCCTTCCTTCCTACTGCACTATTCTTGGATCACGGTTAAGATATCCAGTCTTGGTCTCTGAGGATAACCCAGTAGATGGTGGAGGCAGCTATGAGGTAATAGGGGCTCCCTGAGAATGCTAACCTGAATGTTTCTTCTCTGAACTGCTTTCCAAAGTGAGATCGGTGAAAGCTCTGGTCATTACCATCTTCAACTTCATTGTCACAGTGGCAGCTGCCTTTGTCTGTACTTACCTAGGAAGCCAGTATATCTTCACAGAAATGGCCTCGGTGAGTGGGCACTGAGCAGAACAAAGTGTCCCTTGTGGTTAATGGGAAAAGGGGGATGTGTGTGAAACTGCCCAGGTTATCATATATTTATGCAATAAGCAGGGAACACATTTAGCTTTCTAGCAGTCATGGGGGTGAGTAGTAATCCAAGAGCTACCTTTTCCCAACAACTTAAAGGAAGTGGTTCTCAACCTTCCTAATGCTGAGACCTGTTAATACAGTTCCTCATGTTGTGGTGACCCCCAATCACAAAATTATTTTCATTGCTACTTCATAACTATACTGTTGCTACTGTTATGAATCATAATGTAAATATCTGATATGCAAGATATCTGATATGCACCCCCTGTGAAAGGGTCATTCGACACCCCACAGGTGGGGGCTCTTAACTGACAGGTTGAGAACCGCTGACTTATGGACTGGAGTAGGGAGTCTCCATCCTCATTAGAGGTACTAAGGGCTGCATTGGGAGTTGTCCTACATCCCCTACACTTGGTTCTTCCCATTGGCAGAGAGTGCTGGCTGCATTGATCGTCGCCTCGGTGGTAGGTTTGGCAGAGTTGTACATCATGGTGAGAGTGATGGAAGGTGAACTGGGTGAGCTGTAACTGGTGCTTCACCATCAAAGTCTGGAAGAAGCTTGGGGAGCCCCAGACTCTCCATTCCTCATCACTGACTCTCGGTCAACCCCTGAAGCTTTGTACTTGGCTCCAGTTAGTCAGAGGACCAGGTCACGTTCTTCTTTGGAAAGCCGTGTCTGCTGTCAGTCTCCTTAGAGAGGAAAAGAGGAAATTCAGACAGCAGTGTTTCTTTAAAACTGAAAGAACTGGTCTCAGTAGCTACTCCTGAATCCATCGCACATTTGCCTTCTGTGGTCCATTCTGAGGTCTGCTGAGTCTGGGGTTTTCCCATCAGAAGTAAATAGAACCCAGACCTTCCCCCCCAAAATGGGCCGTATTGCCTTGAACTGGCTCAAGTGCATAAATCAATCACCATCCTTCATCCGCATATCTTGGCACTGAGAGCAGAAGATCCTAAGGAAGCAGAAGACGTGAACCTGAGAAGAACCAGTCAGAAAACAGGCATCAAATGAGAGAAAAACTAGTTGATACAGGATGTTGGAACTAGAATCCAGGCAGCTAACTTTTTCTAGAAAAGGAAATGGTATCAGGCCGTTTTCCAGAAGTCAAAACATACTGAAAGAAACCAGATGATCAGCTGTGGTCCTTCTGTTAAATGGAGCCAAAGATGTCTACATTGTCCTCTTGTCTCTGTGGTATGTTACACTTTTCCGAATTTAGATAAGTTAGAGGATCTATTTAAGGCACTTGAAAAATGTTATTTATCCAATAAATGTTTCTTGTTTTCGGTGTATTTTTAGTTTAGGTCCTATAAGAGCACAAAGCACAAAACTTAAGTAATTCTGAGAATTCCTCAATATCTGCCCTTTCTTCTGTTTGTGACAGGGTCTTGCTGTATGGCTCTGGCTGACCTCGAACTCATGGCAGTTCCACCTCTGCCTCTTGAGTCCTAGAATTCAGGCATATGCCATCATGAGGTCTACTTGGCCTGCCAGATTTCCTTCCTTCCTTTCTGCGCATCAGGCTTGGGCAGCAGATGCTTTTATCTACTGAGCCATCTGTCTTTTCCAAGCTTGTCTCATATATTCTACCCAGATTGGTAGACATTTTGTCAATTGTGTTTACCAGTTCCTGTTTGTAGGGAGAAGTATCAAATGCAAGAAAACATAAGTGATATTTTACAGTGTTTCTGATAACCAGAACTGATAAAGGTTGAGTTATGGGACACGGGGGTGGGAGACATGATGGTGACGACAGGAAGCAATTCATGGTTCACTTCCCTGCGTTCTCTATGCCAGGCTATCTAGATATCCTTAAGCCTGAATTTAAGCTGAACGTCTTCCAAATGTTAGAGGTTTGACTTAAACAGAATCTCTTCCAACAGACTTCGACCAGTCTAGGATATCTCACAGTAAACTTGGGGTGCATTGTTGGGAGGAATTCTCCACTAGATCCCATTTTCCTCCACACAGGCCAATAAGCTTCAGTGGCATCAAGCTTTTATGAACAGTAGTTCTCTGGGCCGGGCTCCATGCTAACATCTGGAGACAATAAAGTCGGAACTAGCACATGCCTTGTGTGTAATTAAGCAAGAGGCAAGTTTCAAGGACCTTTCCATCTACACAGGCAGAGAGAATGTAGGGAATTGGGTGGTCAGTTTACAGCACAGGAAAGGGAACTCTCAGCCACTTCCTCTCTCTGCCACATTTTATCCAAAGTACTCAGGGTCCAGGAGGTGGTTGGCAGAGGGACAGGAAGTTGGTCCTTACCGGTTTCTCATGATTTCCTATATGGAACAGGGGCAACTAGCATTTACTGAGTTTTTATCATGCGTCATCACATAAAGTTCTTTACCGACATTTTCCCAAGACAAAGTATTTCCACACCTGCTTTGCAGACAGAGTTTCAGAGTTATAGTCACACAGCAGAACTAGGGTTTGAATCCAACACAGACTGATCGCAGACTCCATGCTTTTTTCTCTAAAGTAGCTCAGAGGTGGAGGTAACTAGAACATCCTGGAGTGCAAGCTAGCTACTGTGTCCCCAGAGCCTGTGAGAATGCTGAGCCTTTAATTAACCACTCTAATCCCAGCAGAATCCTGGACGTGATTCCTACCCAGAGTCTGTGGCACCTGGCCCTATTTAGGGATTTGATAGTGGGAGATAAACTTACCAGGCAGGCAAGCCTCATCCCCATTCCTTTGCAATACAACAATCCAGATTAAAGAGCTTTGTTTTATTTGGAGATCAGTTGGTATTACAGATGACAGTGATACAAAAACCCAAAGCTTTACTATAACCCCTCCCCCCAGATCACATCAGAGGACAGCCAATCTGATCTTTGGGGAAATTCAATCAATGTAAGACCGTGCTTCTATTTATGTAATTTTAATATCACTCCCTCTTCAAATCCACAGTTCTGATTAATTTGTCCAGGTGGCAGGAAGTCGGGCAATGGGGCCCTGAACCATGAAAGGGTGTGTCTTCCAGCAGTCCAGCAGAGAAGCAGTGCCCTTCCCCTGGCACATAAGCAAGGTCCTGGCAAGGCCCTCAGACTGGTGGCTGCCCCTTCAGAGGAAGGAGATCATCAACTAATAGGAGTGGGGGACCCAAGCCTGGCAATAGAGGTGGACAACATGGTCCCTTACTTTGACAGTACTCCTGATGAGACAATGGCCATGTACCCTAAAAATGACTAGTGTGCCAGGTAGTAGGAACTAAGCTCCAGTCACTGCACAGGACCTTCAAAATTAGGTTGCTGGATGTTGGGAGTGCAGGGATGGGTCTCTGAGCTAAACTCTGTTAGAGAACACTCCCAATGTAAAAAGCAGTGGTTCTCTCCATCCCAAGAGAGACAGAGTGGCTTACAAGAACCAGAGCCAAACTCTTAGAAGCTCTACACCTAAATTAGGAGTGATCTAGCCGGTCGATGGTGGCACACTCCTTTAATCCCAGCACTTGGGAAGCAGAGGCAGGCGTATCTCTATGAGTTCAAGACCAACCTGGTCTACAAGAGCTAGTTCCATGACAGACTTCAAAGCTACACAGAGAAACCCTCTGGCGGGGGTGGGGGAGGTGGGGGGTGGTATTACAAGTGATCTACATTGGTGACAATGGCTGAGGTATAGATAAGGTCAGAGAGGCTGCCCAGTGAAGTCTGAGGAACAGTTTGCTCCAAAGAAGAGTAACCCCCTGGAGCCCCACTTGGCCCCCATGGGCCTGCGGCTTTAGCCCCTGCCCAGCTCTGCCCTGGACCCAAGCTGAAAGTTACACAGGAGGTCTGTGGGCATGCTGAAGCATGCTGAGCTGAGCCAGTGGACTGTAGAGACTGGCCTGGTGTTCCAGAGGGTTGTTGGGGAGCGTCTGGAAGAGAGCAGGAGTTAGGAGGAAGGTCCATCCTAGGGTTCAAGGTTCCTGGCTTTCTGTTCTTGATTCTCTTGGCTCGGCGGTTCTGGAACCACACCTGATAGGGAAGATGAAGGGATATGTCTTGTCACCAGCACACTCATGGGACAGAAATTAGAATATGAAGTCAGGATTCCCAGAGAGAAGTGCTGTGTCAAGCCCAGAAGTTAGCTATTGCAGCTCACCTGGATTTTGGCTTCAGGCAGGTGAGTTACCTGGGCCAGGTGCTCACGGGTACTGATGTCAGGATAGGGTCTAGCTGCAAATACCCGTTCCAGCTCCAGCAACTGCCCAACACTGAAGGTGGTCCTCTTTCTCCGATAGGGACCCAACCCACTGGCACAGCCTGTGGGCCGGGATGGGAATAAAACCAGGACTCCTTTGCAAGAGTCTCAACCCAGTTTCAAAGTCTTGATCACCCTCTGCAGCCCCTACTCCCTGCACGCCTCACCCGTCACCATCTCACCTCGATACTCTTCCTCACCCTACCCGCCCTAACCCACCAGATCACCTGGAGATGCCGCCACAGGACTGGCCATGGAGCTGGCACAGGGAGAGGAGCCAGAGGGCTATGCCAGGGCTGTTGCCCACACCAGATGCAGGCCTTAGGGTTTTAAGCTGTTCAGAGTGGCTGGCTCCGCCTCCAGAGAGAAGAGGCTTAGCTTTCACTCAAGGGAGGTTGAGAAGGGGAAGCAAGGCGGGATTGGGGCTGGTAGAGGTCTAGATTGGACCAGATTGATACACATCCCAGCTTTTACACCTCCCTCCTCAAACCTCAGCCTTTCTTCAGCAGTCTGCCTTCAGACCTGTACTGTGTGAAACCTTCCCCCAAACCACAGAAGTCTACCTCCCCAAAGCTCTCAGGGCTTCAGCTGCCCCCCTAAAATCCCTCAGCACCCTGGTCTTGGCTTCCTTCAGGTAAGTGGATTCCTGCCCCACAATCTGAGGACTGGGCAATGAAACTGGATGGGATGAGGGATGCCACCTACTGTTAGCAGGGCTAAGGAGTAGTTGCCAACACCAACTTGCCCTCAGGGCTGCTATACAACTCTCTGGCTCCTCAAAAAGCCAGACAGAGGCTGGGTGGTGGTGGCACATACCTTTAATCCCAGCACTTGGAAAGTAGGCAAATCTCGAAGTTTGAGGCCAGCCTGGTCTACAGAGCTAGTTCCAGGACAGCTAGGGCTACACAGAGAAACCATGTCTCGAAAAAACCAAAAATAAATTATTAAAAAAAAAGAAAGGCTGGGCGTTGGTGCTGCATGACTTTAATCCCAGCACTCGGGAGGCAGAGGCAGGCGGATCTCTGTGAGTTCGAGGCCAGCCTGGTCTACAAAGCAAGTTCCAGGACAGCCTCCAAAACAATACAGAGAAACCCTGTCTCGAAAAGCTGAAAAAAAAAAAAAAAGATAAAAGCCAAAAGGCCAGACAGGCTTCCTGAAACCCAGGATCCTGGAAACAGGGAACTTTCATGTGTGAGCCATGGGTTCACAACAACTTTCACTTTTAGAGCATTTCCTCCTGGGAGGGTCCTCTGAGCTTCTTTACTATGAGAAAGGGAATGTATGGCAATGTTCTTCCCAGACAGATGCCTCAGAGAAAAGCCCCGTTAGGTGTGTGTTGTGGGAGTCTGTCCCTCTGTTGCTTGGGAATTAACTATATTCTCCATTGGACAGCAAATCTGAGTTGAATTCCACCCTCTTGCTCTTCATCTTCTCTGGGGCCCTGGTTAACTCCATGGTCAAAGAAGCCTCACCTGGAGAGGGTGACTGGGTAACTGCAGTCATCACCACAAGGGCTGGAGTTCCATGTTCTACTGTGGAGCGGGATGAGGGGTCTAGAGGTTGGGGGGTGGACTTGGAAGGGTAGCTCTCACAAGCTCCCAGTGTTTCTGGTTTAGGAAGAGCACCTGAGCCCAGTGGGATCTTCTCTGTCCCTCCTCAATCAGTCCCGAGAGCCCCACTTGTCCTCATTTGCCCAGGGGACCCACCCTAATCAGGACAGTAGTCTTAAACTCAGGGCCAACAGACTTTATTGGGCTGGGAGGAAAAGGCTGGAGGATGGGTTTCCTGAAGTTCGGCTGTGTGGGCTGACTCCTACTTTTCAGTTACTGGGCAGCCCAGCCAATACTGAGCAATAGAGCGTGGGTAGGGAGGGTTCACAGAGTCCACTCGCCGCGTTTTAAGGTTGACTCGGTAGTAATTGTCTGAAAGAGAGAACAGAAAGGTGTGTAAGATCCTGCCTGGTCCTGTCGCTGGTCCCAAGAAGGAAAACAAGGATTTCTCTCAAGTGACAGTGAACATCCACCATGCAGATAAGGTCAACACCCAGGGACCAGAGCCTGCAGGAGAGGCCCAAGCAAAACCAGCCTCAGGGGTAGCAGGGGCTCACACCTCCAGAGAAGAAATAGACGCTCTGAATGGGCTCGCAGGTGGCAGGTACGAGCCAGTTCATATCATAATCATAGTTGTAGTCTCCTAGCCCGCTCTCCTCACTAGAGAACAAAGAGAACCAGACTGAACGCGATGAGCGACGAGAGTTCAAACTGTGGCTGCTGCTGGGGCTGCGGCCACGCCCACGCCCACGGCGTGAACGGTAGCGTTTTCGGCTGCGACGCCTAGACTTCTGTTTTTTGGCCTGGAAGGAGTGGGATGTGGAGCCCGAGATGTAGATGCGGCCAGCCATAGCAGCGTCCACTTTCCCTGGCACACCATGCCAGTCCCGGCTGATGAACTGGGGTTCTCTGACACCGCCTGTAGCAGGGAAGGGGTTAAAGTACTTTGAGGATCCAGGCTGTGGTTTCTCCAGCAGGACATTTATTTGTTTGTTTGTTTATTATTATTTTTTAAACAAGGACTCTCAATGTACCCATGGCTGGTCTGGAACTCACTATGAAGACCAGGCTGGTCTCTTAACTCACAGAGATCGTCCTGTCTCTGCCTCAGAGTGCTGGGATTAAAGGTGCGTGCCAATACAGCTAGCCCCAGCAGGACCTTTAGAGTTCGTTTTGCCCAAGACACACAAGCTTCATGATAGAACTCAGTACCCAGCACCCAGGTCTCACTCTCCCTGTCCAATGCCTTTTCCTGTGTCCTCTCTCCACTGTATCCCTTGTGTCTCTGTCCCCTCCTAAACCCCTCATCCACTGCCCCTCCTTCTGCTGTGTTAGGCAAAGTCCAAGGTATGGGGTCCAAATGGAGTCCAGCCTCACCCCCCCAAAGTCAACAGAAGCAAAGTCTAGCCAGAGTAAACAGCTCTTGATCGATGATCCCAGTTCTAGTCCCCTCCCCCTGAAGCCCCCACCGCCAATCTGGTCCTACTCCAAACCCACTTTCTGGAGAGCTCTCGCTCCATACCAGTGGATCTGCGCCAGAAGAGGAGTTCAAAGATGTCCTCCCAGCTGTCCCGCTGAAGCAAGGCATAGTGCTCAAACACGGCCGACAGAGAGCTGCCTTCACAGTCCTCCTGGCTGGGCTGCTGCTGGAATTCATACTCCCAGTACTGTTTCCCTGAGGAGCAGGACAGCTGGCATCAGAAGGGCAGATCTGACTAAGACTGGGGAGCTTCAAGGCAGGGTGGGAGCATATCCCAATTCCCGACCCAGGGCAGCATAGGAGAGAGCAGGGACTCCTCCACCCCCTGCCCCTTCTCCTCCCACCCCGAGTACCCTTGAAGAAGTAGACTCTCTCCCGGCCACTGTAGCGATGAGCAGGAAGGGCTAAAGCTGCATCTACATTGTCTGGTATGCCACTGAAGCCTTCAGAGATGTTTCGGGGATAACCAGGGTCCAAAACACCATCCTCAAAGCGCCAGTACTGACTGCCCTGAGGGGCAGGGAAGATGAAAAGGGTGAGGACATACTGCTGGGCAAAGAGGCGGTCCTAGATCCTAGACTGGCTCTCACCAGCTCCTGGAACCCCTACTACCTTGTTCTCACATCTCCCAGCAGCACCTTCCATGATACCCTTTACCTTGACTCATGGACTTGGGTCTGGTACCTTGAAAAAGTAGGTCTTCCCCTGACAGTTGATTCGAGTGAAGGCAGCATCAATGGGACCCTCGATGCCCCAGACATCTCGGATGAGTTTGGGGTACCCAGGCCTCACTGCTGTTTCATCTAACTCATAGCAGTACTGCCCTAGAGTAGGGGAAGCTGTGTGAGAAGCAGATGCTCCCAGGGCACCCCTCCCCCATACACACCAGACCTGTCCATAGAGGCACCTCGGAAGGCAAAGAGAGAACCATTCTTGAGGTCTGTGAAGGCGTCAAAGGGCTTCCCACTACACAGCTCTTCCTCTGGGAAGTCAGAGGTCCCTTGAGCAGTGGTGTCAGGCCTTGAAGTCACCTCCAGGTGTCCCACTTCAGGCCCTGAGGTGCTTGCCTCCAGTATAGGAGCCTGTTCCTCAGGCTTTAGGAAAGATGGTGGCTCTGGGGTGTCTTCAGGTTGGGGCTGCTGGTCAGGGGGTAAAGAAGTGTTTTCCGGTTGTACAGGGATGCTGGTGCCATTCTTGGCCTCGTCCGGGTAGTCGTAGGACCAGTACTCATCTTCCGGCATAGTAAACACATCTCCCCGAGTCACTGCAGGGAGAGCGGGCAGTGGTGAGTTTCTGCTCACACAGGAGATGCCCTGCCCACCCACCAGGGCTCTGAACACACCTTGGGGCTTGCACTGTGCCACATAGTCAACACAGCAGCTCTGATAGTAACTGCAAAGCTCATCACACTGACACTTCCTGTTGGCCACAAACCCCTGGTCGCAGCGGCCCTTGCATGACTCTGCGGGAGGGAAGATTAGTCTTTACAACCCAGGCCAGGCCACCTGCCCACCCTGCATTGCCCTAGATCACCACCAATCACCCCCACACCTTGGTCAGCCAGAGAAACCCATGCCAGCAGGGTTAGCAGCAGAAAGGGCCTCAGAGGTGCCATGGCAGGCCTCTAGCTGAGGGTCTGGCAAGCTGGGCTCGGAGCTTCCAGAGTCTCACCGTCCAGCCTGGGAAAAGCAACTGAAGAGAAGTTGCTATTTTACTGGGTTTCCGCCTGTATTTGCTCATCCTCTGGCCCAACCCTATTTCCCTCCTCCAAACACAGCTGTAGCAAAGGGTCACATTCCCAGAACCCCAGCCCTAGGAGAGCTGAAAAATAGAAGCCTTGCCAAGACCAGAGTCAGAAGGGTCATGGGCAGCTGGGATAGCACGGTGGGTTGAGAAGGCAGAAAGAAAGCATGTGTTATCACCCTGTGCGCCAGTTATGTTAATCTCTCTGAGACTTTCCTTTTATAAAATGGGACCATGGTACCTGACCTCATCAGGTGTTGAGAAATTACATGAACCAGAACAGACAAAATGCTCGGTGCCTGGAGTAGCTTCCAGCTCATTCCCATAAGCAGGTATTGATCCGTTGTTTGATCAGGCCCATCCCCGATAGGTGTTTGTCCCATCCCCCCCCCACTTCCCAGTTTGATATTTAGGGCAGTGGAGTGGAAGGAGGGGTGGATGAGAACTGCCAGGCACTCTGGGGGAGGCTTCTTATCGTAAAAGAACAAAGCTTCATTTCTAGCCTCTCCTTGTGGAAGCATGGCTCCCTCCACGCTGGGCCTCACAGCATGGGAAGCAGTGGCTCCTAACGCTTTGGCCCACAGTCCATTCCTTTCTTTAATTTTGGATTTTTATTTTGCGTATATAAGTGTCCATGCCTGGGGTCTGTGGAGGTCACAAGAGGGCTTTGGACACCCTGGAACTGGAGTTTGAACAGTTGTGAGCTGCCATATGAGTGCTGGGATTCAAATCCAGGACCTCTGGGGGAAAAAAAGAGCGCTCTTAAAGACTAAGCCGTCTCTCCACTCCCAGAGCCCTGAATCCACCTTCAGTGACCCCATCTATAAATAATAAACTCAATGGGCATATTCTTAGACATACTATGAAGTGTGATCCCACTATGAAGAAAATGATCACTGTTACAGAATGCCAGGTTTCAGGCACCGGTGTGCTTCTGAAGCCCCTAAGTTTTCTGTTCTGTAACCTGTCTCTTTTCTATGGGCCTCAGGGGCAAAATGAAGCACTAAATCTTACTCCCTACAGACTTGTGAAGCCTAAGTGAAAACAGGCATTAAAGGGCCTTAAGAAGGTCACTGCTGCCGGGAGTTGGTGGTGCGCTGGGGAGGCAGAGGCAGGCGGATCTCCGCGAGTTCGAGACCAGCCTGGTCTACAGAGTGAGTGCTAGGATAGGCTCCAAAGAGACACAGAGAAACCCTGTCACGAAAAACCAAAAACAACAAAGAAAAAAAAAAGAAGCTCACTGCGATTCTTTAACCACCCGAAGGGGATGTGGATACATGCAGTTAGTTTGCTTCCACAGCACCCGGGACAGGACGAGCAGTGGGAATCGAGGATCTCTCTTCCCAGCCCTTTACATTATCTGGCACTCCGAAAAGGGGAGATGACTAGAGAAAGGAGGCGGGGCCAAGTGAGGCTTGGGGTGGAGCTTGCGCCAGCGGCAGAGGCGGAGCCTGCGAGACCTAGAGGCGGGGCGTCAAATTCTTGACTCTGCTACTCAGAGGCGTGGTTGCTGCTGAGCATCTCAGCTCCTCTTAAGGCTGGAGCGGCGCTTTGTTCCGGGCGCCGGCGTCTCTACCCTCCCGTGTCGCGTCCATCCTTTGCTTCCCTCTCCCTGTATCGCCTTCCCGAGACTGTATCCCCGAGCTGCTCTTCTCTCTTTGCTTCTAAACTTGTGGCCCTTGCCAGGTCCTGCTTTTTGCTTTTTCCTCCCAAGGCCGGGGTCGCTCCGTCAGGCCCCACCCCCCCCAGGCGCGGTATGCCCCCAGCTGCCCAGCGCCCATGGTCCTGACGCTGCTCTTCTCCGCCTACAAACTGTGCCGCTTCTTCACCATGTCGGGCCCACGGGCGGGCGCAGATAGGCTGACAGTGCCGGGGCAGGATAGGAATGGCAGTACCAGCCCATGGTGGGCTGCCGGCCGCGGGTCCCGCGAAGTGTCGCCCGGGGTGGGCACCGAGGTGCAAGGCGCCCTGGAGCGTTCTCTGCCGGAGCTGCAGCAGGCGCTGTCCGAACTGAAGCAGGCAAGCGCGGCGCGGGCGGTGGGCGCGGGCCTCGCCGAGGTCTTCCAGCTGGTAGAGGAGGCCTGGCTGCTGCCGGCCGTGGGCCGCGAGGTGGCCCAGGGTCTGTGCGATGCAATACGCTTGGACGGTGGCCTCGACTTGCTATTGCGGTTGCTGCAGGCACCGGAGCTAGAGACCCGCGTGCAGGCCGCACGCCTGCTGGAGCAGATCCTGGTGGCTGAGAACCGGTGAGGGAGAGCGCCATGAGGTGGTGGGGAGGCCAGGGCAGCGGAGGTGGTTGGAGATGGCATCCCATTGCTGATAGCCCCCTGAGCCCATAGTTCTCCCCTGCATCGGGTTGTCCTTCTATGCTACCCTCTCACCAGACCAGCCATGACCTCATTCTGCAGCATCTGATCAGTAACAAAAAGTTTTCTACTGGTTTGAGAGGATAAGGGCAGAGGAAACTGAGGCGCTTCTCTTTCTCCGTATGTGGGAACAAACTAAGCCTGGCTGCCTGTCCTTCACCTACTTCCTGGGGCCTTCTCTGAACTATGAAGCCTTCAGAGAGCCCACTTTCCCAGTTCTCTGGTGCCCGAACAAAACAGGCTGTCATCTTCCTAATTCTCGCCAAAATCTCAGGCTCTCAGTTCAGAATTTTTGGAAAAGTCATTTTCAGCACGCTGACCTTACAAGAATTATGAAAAGATCCAGAGGCATTTTCTCTGGGTTTTCAATAACATGGAAATAATACAACTGTCAAAAATGCACAAACAGAACAGTCTAGGTTGGGCGACCCAAAGTAAGGTTCTACTTGCCCTACCTCTCTCATCTAACATCTGGTGCTCTGATGGGGATGGGGCATGAATATGGAGAACCCGAAGAGTGTGGAGTAGATGCTTGCTGAGTGCGTTGAGACCCAGTTTGGCTGGTGTGAATTTGGTATGTGGTTCAAGAACCTGTGGAAAGTGGGTTCAGGGAGTACTCTAGGAGCATCAGGACTACATGATGCAAACATACTGATATATTTTCAAGAATGAAAATGACACTGGGCATTGGTGGTGCACGCCTTTAATTCCAGCACTTGGGAGGCAGAGGCAGGTGGATCTCTATGAGTTCGAGGCCAGCCTGGTCTACAGAGTGAGTTCTAGGGCAGCCATGGTGGTTAGACAGAAAAAAGAAAAGGAAATGACTATCCTCACCTTTTGAGAGTTCTGAGAGAGTAACCACTAACTGGTGTGTGCCACTCCCCAAACACAGGCAGATGTTGCTTCAGGACCAAGGACAGGGCACAAATCCTTGTAGTCTTCATGCTCTTTCCCCAGAAACCCAGGGGCTCTGCATTCTTTCAGAGTATGCAAGGATAAGACTAGAAGGGAAAACGGGGGTGGGGAGGCACACTGAGGGTTTCCGCTTACGAGTATTTTCCCTCCTCCATCAATCAACCTCCTCACTGACTCTTTTTGCCATTCTATTCTGGCCGCTTTAGTCTTCCCCAGGGTATTGCTGCAGCCACTTCCCAGAATTCTAACTCACTTTCTCTCACCCCTGAACTGTCAACAATGCAGGGCTCTTCAAACCTGGTCCCATAACACCCAACGAGGGCACCATCTAACAGCCCTCTAAATCACAGGCCACCCTACCAGGGGAGCAGAATTAATATAATGGAAGCTAAATGGCCTCCCCCAGAATGTTGAATGAATAATAGAGGATACTGTTTTAATAAAAGGAAAGAAAATTATTGCACACAAATTTTAAAACTGCAAAGGTGTGCAAAAAGGAAGGAATGCTAAAAGTTCTCAACAAAACCACTGAGCTAACTTTTTGTACATCCTTCCAGAGAGGGGCAAGGAATATACAAGCATCTGTGTATATAGGTATTGTCACATAGAAATGACTGTCCCCTACTTGGCAGTTGAGATTTGAAACTAGAACTGTGTACCTCCAAAAATTATGGCCACTTCATCAGACCCACAGTCTCAGACAATAGAACTGGGAAGTAAATGAACACTTTTCACAACCAGCACACAGCTTTAACTTCAGGGGGGTGTCTAGGCATAGGGAAAAGCTAGGGCTGTAGGCTAAGATTTAGAGGTTGGAATATAGTTCCAGATGTGAATGGGGATGTTGGGTACCCAGAGAAATGTGATCAACCAGGTGCTCTGGGAGAGCAGTGGTGCTCTTAACTGCTGAGCTAACTCCCCAGTCCTGTGATGATTTCTTAGGCATATCTAGCCCTGATAGCCTAAGAGTATATCTAGTTCAAAGTCAAGATAAAGGATCTTGAGTTTTGGAGACAAACAGACCTCTCAGAAACTCTGTGACCTTGGGTTTGGCATGACCTCTCTCTGACCTTAGCTTTCCTCACTGGTGAAAGGAATGCCTGAGTTCCAGATTCCAGGATGGAGAGTAAGGACCCATTTGTCCCTTTGGGGGTGGGCTGTAGAGAGGCTTTGCTGAACTTATGGCGTGCCCAGGACTGAGCCAGGTCACATAAAGTGTGCAATGCCCTATACACTGTGCTTATGGTCCTGGTGGCACCCACAGAGCAAGAATTCTGTTGCACCTTAAGTCTTTGGAAGCCATTTGACTAGGGAACATCATCTGTGGAGGTAGTTGAGACAGGAAGTCACTTGACTAGGGAACATCATCTGTGGAGGTAGGTGAGACAGGAAGTCACCTGACTAGGGGACAACATCATCTGTGGAGGTGGGTGAGACAGGAAGTCTTCACCTCTGCCTGCACAGTGGCAGCTGTTTGCTATTCTGGCAGCCTTTAGAATCTGCCCTGGGTGTACCTCCCTGCAGCAGCCAGTTCCTTAAAGCCTAAACACAAACTGGGCACTCCTTCCCCAAGCTCTTCAGTGCTTCCTGTTTGTCACAAAGACAAAGTACAGATGCCTTGAGGAAGCTGAAGAGACTGTCAGGACTGATTTCTTCCCCACTCTCTCTGGACCCTCTGCTTTAGCATGTGGGGTGTGGTTATCTCCTGGGGGTACCAGTTCTCCAAAAGCTGCAAGCCTATGCATGCGCCTGTGACTGCAATGCAAGATCGCCTTCTCCTGGCTCACTTCCCCACCATCCTCCTGACCCAGTCCCTAAGCAACCACTGAATATGTCTCGTGTATCCGGTGAGATCTTTTCTCCTCTTTTGTGATGCTAGGCATTGGATTCAGGACCTTGTACATATTATGCATGTACTTTGCCACTGAGCTACATCGTCTGTCTGTCTGTCTGTCTGAGATGGGTCTCCCTAAGTTCCCTAAGCTTGTCACCAACTCACTATGTAGTTCTGACCTTGGACTTTCAATTCTCAACTTCTTTTTTTTTGTCTTGTTTATTTGTTTGGTTTTCTAAGATAGGGTTTCTCTGTGTAACAAATAGTCCTGGCTGTCCTAGAACTCACATTGTAGGCCAGACTGGCCTCAGACCCAAAGAGATCCACCTACCTCTGCCTCGTGAGTGCTGGGATTAAAGGTGTGTTCCAGAACATCTGGTTTGTAACCTGAAGGATCTTATGACTCTAACATAGAGTTGGAAAAAGAAACATAGCATGCTGTATAACTTAGCACCATTTGTGTAAACTAAAAATGCCTGCTCTCAAAACAAACCTAGAGGTTTTACCAGGTTTTACAGGCAGATCTCTGTGAGTTGAGGCAAGCCTGCTCTACCTAGTGAGTTCTAGGATGGCCAAAACTATGTAATGAGACCCCATCTGGAAAGAACAAAAATTTAAAAAAAAAGATCCTTCATGTTACAGTGACATAAATCTGCTCAGTCATTTGTTAGAGCAGATGAGCCCCTGTCCAGTTACCCTTGGGCTTGGTTTTGATGGCTCCAACTCCTTTGCTTCACAAATAGGACCATGTCAAGCTACACGTGTGCCCTCAGTTGGGCTCTTTAGGAGAGATTGCCTGCTTCCCAGATTAACTGACCCAGCTGGCACCCTTCCCAGAGTCCTCAGGACCTTTGAAGCCCTCCCGCCCTCTGTGTTTGCCCACCTGTCAGGCAATCTTTATCCTTCTGACCACCCAGAAGGTTGCAGTGTCTCCTTATGTTTGCTAATATTTTAGGTTTTCTCCTTCATATATTGTCTACAACCACCCATTTTTCTATTGAATTCCTGCATTTTGTTGGTTTGAATATTTACTTACATGCTCTATGTGTAAGTAAATCCCTTTTTGATTTTCTCTTTTTTCCTGGTTAATGTTAGACACTATTTATCTCTGGCCTTCTTTCTCTTCCTCAAACATGCTAGCTCATCCATGGCAGGGCCTTTGTCCTGACTTGTCTCTGTCTCTCATTAGGCTCTTTTAGCTATTTGCAGGCAGCTTTCTCAATATCATTTCCCAGATAAAATCTCCTTAGACCCATCCCACCTCCATGACATCATCCAGTTTGCTAGCATAGTGCCTTACTACAGAGCTTGAGCCCTCATTGGTTACTTGTCCACAGCTGGCCTTGTTTGCTGGGGCTAAAAAGACACAGGCTTACCCACTGCTTAACATCAGCCTCTCTAGTGCCAAGGCAAGCTCACAGTTGGTCCTCAAACAATATCGACCAAGTGAATGAATAAGCACACACCAGTCATGGGATATGAAGGGAGGAATCGTTCAAGGACAGGCTTAAGAGTGTTGTACTTGCGGTGACACATCAAACGACAAATTCACATTTATTAAGTTTTGTGGATTGTCTTTTTTGTTGTTGTTTTCATTTTTTTTATTGTGCCTCTGTGCTTGTATGTGCATGTGTGTGCAGGTGCACTCCAAGACCAGAAGAAAGCAAAGGTTCCCCAGAAGTGGAGTTTCAGGCCGTTGTGAGCCACCTGACATAGGTGCTGGGAATTGAACTCTAGACCTCTCTGCAAGAGCAGAAAGCACTCAACGGCTGAGCCATCTCTCCATCCTCTGTGTGGATTGTCTTGTTAGTCCTGATGCCTTTTTATAAGATAGGTATTATTTTCCCGTTGGTGAGGGGAGGAAACTGAAGTCGAGAAAAGAGGTATCAGGTGTTTGCAAACACAAAACAGCAAAGAAGAACCCGGAGGGCCCAGGAATCGGCCATAGAGTTGGAAGCATTCAGCCGGCTTTGGGGAGATGGTACGCAGGAGGTGGCTGTGGCCGAGATAGAGCTCCCTGCTAACCAGAGACAGAAGTTAGGGTCTGAACAGAAAGGGTAATAATCCTGCCCGCCATGTCTTTTACGACGCTAGTGAGGCCCATGAGAAAGCCAAGCTCCGGAGACTGCAGCTACATCACGTTCTTCTTTTCCTGTCGCCCGGCAGGGACCGTGTGGCGCGGATCGGCCTGGGAGTGATCTTGAACCTGGCGAAGGAGCGAGAACCGGTGGAGCTTGCACGGAGCGTGGCAGGCATCTTGGAGCACATGTTCAAGCACTCGGAGGAGACGTGCCAGCGGCTGGTGGGGGCCGGCGGTCTGGACGCAGTGCTGTACTGGTGCCGCCGCACAGACCCGGCACTACTGCGCCACTGCGCCCTGGCGCTGGCGAATTGCGCGCTGCACGGGGGTCAGGCGGTGCAGAGATGCATGGTGGAGAAGCGCGCCGCCGAGTGGCTCTTCCCTCTCGCCTTCTCCAAGGAGGACGAGCTGCTTCGGCTGCATGCCTGCCTGGCGGTGGCGGTGTTGGCTACCAACAAGGAGGTGGAGCGCGAGGTCGAGCACTCTGGCACGCTAGCGCTCGTCGAGCCGCTCGTGGCATCGCTGGACCCCGGTCGCTTTGCCCGCTGCCTGGTGGACGCCAGTGACACACGCCAGGGTCGCGGACCGGATGACCTGCAAAGCCTGGTGCTGCTGCTCGATTCGTCACGTTTGGAGGCTCAGTGCATTGGGGCTTTCTATCTGTGCGCCGAGGCTGCCATCAAGAGCCTACAGGGCAAGACAAAGGTACTGGTGTAGGGGAAGGTGGCTCAAGGGTTAGAGAACATCTGGGAATGTTTCTCAGAGGAAGCGATCTGAAACTGGGATTTGGAGACAACGGTGGTAGAGCTTGTCTTCAGAGGCAGACAGACCTCAGTGACTTCGAGGCTAGCCTGGCTTACATACCGTGTTCCAGGCCAGCCAGACTTTTAAAAAAGTATAAGGACTTAGGTGAAGCAGTCGGAAGGTAGAGGGACCCGTCATTTTGACCTTCAAGGCGAGACTCAAAGTTGCACTTGGGCTTTCGAGACAAGAGGAGGATACCGAGACGTTTAGAATAGGAGACCCTCGATTTTTTACAAAGATCAACCTGGTCGCTGTGGAAGTGGGGGTGACAAGGGTAACTCCAGGTTGCTGTGTTGGGGAGAGAAACTTAAAAAGTGGAGGAAGGGAGGAGTGGGGACAGTAGCAGAGAGAAGTAGACAGATTAGGGGTTTATGCTTGGGGAGGGGGCAAGAAGGTGCTTCTTGCCATGAATATGAGGAGGCAAACTGAGAAAGAGATCACAGTGGAAGAGGGGAAGACCCTGCTGAGTTTGGGGTGCCCCCAGATGCTCAGCTGGGAAGCCTCATTGGGCACTAAGTCACCTACATCTAGAGTCTGGAAAAGAGAAGGCAGCTGGAGAAAGGGTCTTGGGGTAGGACCTCAGTGTAAATGACGAATACCTGAGTCACAAAGGGTCCCCATGGCCAAAATCTAAACCACAGCCTTTGCCCACTTCCCGACTTACTGTGACCTTGGGCAGTTAGCTTTCCCGTTCAGGGCCACGTTTTCACTTTTTGGAAAATTGAAGGAGTTAATGAAATGCATGGAGGAGTCGCTGATCCATCTGGGGTCCCATGAATTAGTGGGGTTCCAACCAGACTAGAAACACTAAAGGTTTAGGAACACCACTTATGTGGAAACTGCGAGTGTGAGGCTTTTTTGCCCCCCCCCCCGCTGTCTGCTGCCACCTGGCGGTAATACTGAGAACTACAAACTTAATCCCAGGGCTGATGGGCAAGGAAGTTGGAGGTCCTAATTAAGAATGGATGAGTTTCAGGAGGGAAAAATGCATGGTGGACAGAGAGGGTGGGGGCAGGCACAGGTGACTTAGTGATGATGGCTAGAACAGTTAGTGAGCCTTTCCTCATTGAGAATAGAAATGGGACTGGGCAAGTCTGGTTGCAGGGAATCTTAGACTCCCTCATCCATCCTCTTTCCTAAGGTGTTCAGCGACATCGGTGCCATCCAGAGCCTGAAACGCCTCGTTTCTTACTCCACCAATGGCACCACGTCGGCGCTGGCCAAGCGCGCGCTGCGCCTGTTGGGCGAGGAGGTACCCCGGCGCATCCTGCCTTGTGTGGCCAGCTGGAAGGAGGCCGAGGTCCAGACCTGGCTGCAACAGATTGGCTTCTCCCAGTACTGCGAGAATTTCCGGGTAAAGCCGCGGGCAGCCACCCCCCCTCTACACTAACTCTGGGCACGTCCTGAGGGTGTGCTGGGGGTGTCCTGCGGTCCATGTGCCCTGTAGGCCTCACACCAGAAGCGCCAACGTGGCCTTTTAGGGGTGGGAATCTAGCAGTCAGCCACCATCAGAATCCCATTGGCTTCCACTGCCACCTTCTGTTCCTTTCCCTTGCATCTTGTGCTGGGGGTGGGCGGAGGGAGGGGAAGGAGAGCCTTCCTCACACCTCCCCCTCCCCCAGGATCAGCAGGTAGACGGTGACCTGCTTCTACGGCTCACAGAGGAAGAACTCCAGACAGACTTGGGCATGAAATCAAGCATCACCCGCAAGAGGCAAGGAGCCCCCAGCCAGTCCAACCCATCTGGGTGTTAACTAGCCCCCCCCTCTGCCACCAGCCCCTCCTTAGCACCCTTAGCACCAGAACTGTAATATCCTCCATTTCCTACCTCCCTGGCAGGTTCTTTAGAGAGCTCACAGAGCTCAAGACCTTTGCCAACTATGCTACGTGCGACCGCAGCAACCTAGCAGACTGGCTAGGCAGCCTGGACCCTCGCTTCCGCCAGTACACCTATGGCCTGGTCAGCTGCGGCCTGGACCGCTCCCTGCTGCACCGCGTGTCAGAGCAGCAGCTCCTGGAGGACTGTGGCATCCGCCTGGGGGTGCATCGCTCACGCATCCTCACTGCAGCCCGAGGTAAGTGCACCCACCTGGGAACCCAACTCCATCTCCAGTCCTGAAAGCGAGGGGCCGCTTAGGCTGGAGACAGCCTCCCAGAGGAGTCAGTGCCTGGCTGGGTTAGACGGCTTTGAGGATGTAAAGATGAATCTGCTGCATTATGCCCTTAAGAAGTCCTCCACCTGAGATGGGTCCCAGGGTGGGAATAAGTAGGTATACAATCAGCAGTTGGCCATGGTAGGAAGCATTCAGGACTCCTGGGGATATCTTGGTCACCTAGGTTCAGACTTAGAGAGGAGGAGATGTTGTTCAGGTTTTGAGGGATGTGTGGAGGCAGGGAGAACAGGAAGGGCAACCAGGCAGGGGTAGCTTTAGCAAGGATAAGGATGGGTGCCGTTGGAGGACACTGGTGGTTTTGGGTGGGGATGTGGGGACTAGGGGGTAGGCTTATCCTAGCATCCAGCAGCTTAGAGTCTGGGTTCTGGCAGTATGTCCCAGCAGAGCCTAGGGCACTGGCAGCCTCCCCCCCCTTTTTTTAAATTTTTCGAGACAGGGTTTCTCTGTGGCTTTGGGGGCTGTCCTGGAACTAGCTCTTATAGACCAGGCTGGCCTCAAACTCACAGTGACCCGCCTGCTTCCAAGTGCTGGGATTAAAGGTGTGCACCACCACTGCCCGGCTGAGCCTCCCTTTTCTTACTGACTTATTTTCATTGCACAATTCACTCTTGCTAGCTCTTACATGTCAATAACTATGCATCCCAGGTGCACCAGTCAGTTTTTTTAAGACTGATTTTTATTTGATGTGTATGAGTGTTTGTCTGTATGTTTGTGTACCCCCCCCCATGAGCTCTGGTTCTCATAGAAACCAGAAGAGGACATCAGAGCCCCTATAACTGGAGTCACAAATGATTGTGAGCCCCCATGTGGTGCTGGGAAATGCACCTGGGCCCTCTAGAAGAGCAGTAAGCGCTGTTAGCTTCTTACTCATCTCTCCAGCCCTTGTGGTAAGTTTTTGATATACAATCTCATAGCTGAGTGTGGAGGTATGTACCCCTCTGAACTCCAGAACTTGGGAGGCAGAGGCAGGGGAATTGCAGAAATCTCAAGACCAGCTTGGTCTACATATGGGGTCCAAGGCCATCCAGGACTATGTAAGGCAATCCTGTCTCAAAAAATAAAGCAAACGAAAAGAAAACCTATTTATTTCTATAACCATTCTATGTAGTAGGAGTTCAGAATTTTAAATCAACTTTTAAAAACTTTTAAAGAATCAAAAGAGACTCTTAGGGCTGGTGGGATGGCTCAGTGGGCAACGGTTCTTGTTGCCAAGCCTTATGCCCTGCGATCAATCTCCATGACTCAGTAGGGGAGAACACACTCCCCCAAGTTGCCCTCTGACCTACACAGGCACTCTGTGACACCCCACCCCGTGAATATATAAATGTAAGAAAGCATTTTTCTTTCAAAAGAGACTTTAACTTGAAAAATAAACATGCTAGTGTCCAGCTTGAGGTATTTTGAAAAGTGTACCCTATGTAATCAAACGTTTCCACCATAGGTTTTAATTTCAGAGATAATAAAATGAAGATAAAAGAATTTAAAAACATCTCCCGAGGTTATAAAGCCATTAAATGACAACTGGGATTTGAGCCCACTGGTTTTTTTCCTGCACCATAAACAAACAAGTGTGTGTGTGTGTGTGTGTGTGTGTGTGTGTGTGTGTGTGTGTGTGTGTGTGGTGTTAACTATGAATATTATTAGAAGATGAGTTCATTTCATATTTCATTTTATTCTTCCATTCAGCAAGACTGTGCTAAGCACCCACATGGCACTGGGGACTGTTTCTTTCTTTTTTTTTTTAATTTTATTTTCCAGTTTAAATTTGGATAAGAAACAAGGTTGCTTCACAAGTCAGTTCCAGGTCCCTCTCCCATTCCCTCCCCCCTCCCGAGCCCTCCCTCCCCCCTCCCGAGCCCTCCCTCCCCCCTCCCGAGCCCTCCCTCCCCCCGGGGACTGTTTCTTCTGCCTTAAGAAAAGAAGGTCAGCTTTTATCTTTAAGCTCCCAATGAAAGTCCAAGATTTCTTTTGCTGATATTGTCTGTTTTGTTTTGTTTCAATTTTTGAGACAGAATCTCTCTCTATGTAGCCTTGGAACAGGCTGCCCCTGCTCCTTCAGAGATTCCTTTGCCTCTGCCTCTGCCTCTGCCTCCCAAGTGCTGAGATTAAAGGTATGCGCCCATTGAGGAGGCTGGTGCTGGACAACTGCAACAGGGAGGACTTTGGGGCTAGGGTCCCAGAAGTTGGATAGATAGAAGGGAGACTTCAGACAGCAAGGTGCCTGGTGCTGAGCACTGCACAGCAGCTCCATGAGGGTGAAGTTTGCTATTTTGTTTACTGCTGTATCCCTAGCACTGAGGCTGGCAGCCAGCATCCTGTACAAACTTAGTGAATTAGATGATTCCCCACTTACAGCAATGTGACTCTCTCCCTCCCTCATTTGTATGTGTATCAATTTGTGTATGTACGATCGGGCAGGGTCTCATGTAGTTCAGTCTGGTCTTAAACTTGTTATGCAGTTGAGACTAACCTTGAACTTGTGATCTTTCTGCTTCCACTTCCTGTGCCATTTTCAGTCTCCCCCCTTCATGGTGATATGCTTTTCACTTTCATCAGTTTTCAGAAAACTAGATTTTTGTGAGGTAGGCTCTGTATTGGATGTTTTGCTTGGCTGCAGGTTGATGTGGCTGTTCTGAGTCCCTGTGAGGTATGCCAGGCTAAGCCACGATGTCCAGGAGATGTATTCATTACACCTCCCCTTGCAGTAGTTTATAGTCATCGTGGGTTTGTCAGGACATTGGCACCATTTTTAACTGTGGTCACCATCTTTTACTGACTAAGATGTTAGGTGGAAGTTGAGGCAGAAGCCTGGGTTCCGGGTGGAAATGATGACGGGCCAAGGGAAAGGGCTTAACCTGGGCTCGTTTTGGAGTGCTTGTGGGTAACTGGCTAAGCTAGTCTGCTGTTCAAAAGGAAGGTAAAGCTAAGTTTCATGGCAGTGCTCCTAAAGCACAGACTCTTCCTGCCCAGGACTATCCAAGGTGACTTTCCTTCCCGAAGGATCCACCTCTCCATTTCAGTGACCCTCAGTGACCCTTTTCGGGCACTGGCCTGAGAAGTTTGAGTAGACAGGGTACTGAGATGATAGACCTCATGATGAGTAGTGGGGAGAGGCCACACTCACCTGGATGTCTCTTTTCTTGGCCCCAGAAATGCTACACTCACCACTGCCCTGTTCTGGTGGCAAGACCAGTGGAGACACCCCTGATGTCTTTATCAGCTACCGGAGAAGCTCGGGTTCCCAGCTGGCCAGGTGAGGGGGGTGGGCAGGTGGCTGGGGTTTGGGACCAGGCCACGGTGTTTACCCTATTCCTGCAGCCTCCTAAAGGTGCACCTGCAGCTGCACGGCTTCAGCGTCTTCATCGATGTGGAGAAGCTGGAAGCCGGCAAGTTCGAGGACAAGCTCATCCAGAGCGTCATGGCGGCGCGAAACTTTGTCCTGGTGCTGTCTGCTGGGGCGCTGGACAAATGCATGCAGGACCATGACTGCAAGGACTGGGTACACAAGGTGGGTGCTGGCCTGCGCCTCTGGTGGGGCATCGCATGGGTGGAGGGGGAGACCTCCCCTCGTCCCTTGTTTCCTGCACACCCCAGCTACCCTCAGTCCCAGATCATCTTCTGCCTCAGCTAGAAGTTGGGAGCCATTGCTCCAGATGGGGTAGCACTTCAGCAAGCGACTTTGGCTCCCGCAGTCTCCGTTTTCTCGTCTGTAGGAATGACTTAGTCATGTGTAAGGCTGTACAGTGAGATCAGGGAGGGAGACGAATGCATGCCAAATGTAAGATCTGTGAGCTGGATATAGTGGTGCATCCTGTAATCCCAGCTCTTGCAAGGCGGAGGCAAGGAGATCACCTCAAGTTCAGAATGAGCCATGTCTATTTATCAATTTCTGGACAAGCCAGGGCTATCCTGTCTCAAAACCCAAAGAAAACCCCAAAACAAGACCTTTCACAGGGGTTACCCGAGACCATCAGAAAACACAGATATTGCCGGGTGGTGGTGACACACACCTTTAATCCCAGCACTCAGGAGGCAGAGGCGGGTGGATCTCTGTGAGTTCGAGACCAACTTGTTCTACAAGAGCTAGTTCCAGGACAGTCTCTAAAGCCATAGAGAAATCTCAAACACACACACGAGAGAGAGAGAGAGAGAGAGAGAGAGAGAGAGAGAGAGAGAGAGAGAGAGAGAGAGAGAGAAAACACAGATATTTACATTATGATTCAAATGGTAGCAAGATTATAGTTATGAAGTAGTAATAGAAATAATTTTATGGTTTGGGGTCACCAAAACATAGGAACTGAATTAAAAGGTTTCAGCATTAGGAAGGTTGAAAACCACTGATCTAGGATATTGTTAAAAGGACTCAAAGGGCTAAATTGGGAAGCCTTCAGTAGAATGCCTGGCACATAGTGGTAGTAATTATTATTATTACTTTATTTTTTGTGAATACAGCTGTTTAATTCACCATTGTACCTCCAGTGCATGGTAGGATGATATAGCCCCTTGCAGAAGGCATACAGAATAGATCCATAGCACATCTATAGATTACCAGTCATGCATCAGTCAATAGGGATTGGAGCTTGGGCTAAAGGATGCGGTAGTCAACTGAGGTGAGGTTTTGTGCCTCCATGCATCTGAGGACAAGACTATGCCCACAGTGAGCCTGAGCCTCCTACTCAGGAGGCTGCAGCTGGATGAGACCTACTCTGGCCACACAGCAAGACCTTGTCTCTTAGAAACAAGACAATGAGGCTGCAGAAAATGCTCAGTGGTTATTGAGGAGGACCAGAGTTTAGTTCCCAGTGCTTATAACCTCCTGTAATTCTAGGTCCAGGCCATCTGATGATCTCTTCTGGCCTTCCTGGACACTGCACTTATGTTCACATCACACAGGCACACACACATGCGCCTCACACACACAAACATACATATGCACTTCACATTACACAAGCACACACACATGTGCCTCACACATGCACACAAGCATACATATGCACACAGCATACACACAAATACACATAATTTAAAATGAAAAAGAGCATTGGGTGTGTTGGCACTTGGGAGGCAGAAGCAGATGGATCTCTTTGAGTTTGAACCTGGACTACATAGCAAGATCCAGGCCAGCTAGTTTCAGCTATACAGTAAGACCTGGTCTCAATAAAATCAAATCAAGTAAAAAATGAACACTGTAAAAATATGCCCACAATGACTCATGTAAACACTAAGCCCGGGCTGGGCAGTGGTGCCGCACGCCTTTAATCCCAGCACTCGGGAGGCAGAGGCAGGCGGATCTCTGTGAGTTCGAGGCCAGGCTGGACCGACAATACAGAGAAATCTTGTCTTGTAAAACCAAAAAAAAAAAAAAAAAAAAAACACTAAGCCAGGGCTGGAATGATCAGGGGAGGCTTCACGGAAGAAGCAGAACTTGAGAAGTGTCCTAAGGATGCTGGTGAGGGGCTGGAGATTAAAAGCACATGCTGCTCTCACAGAGGACTGGAGATCAGTTCCAAGCACCCACATCCTCCTATAACTTCAGCTCTAAAGGATCCAACACCCTCTTCTAGCCTCTGAGGATACCTGCAACTATCCATACACAAACACGTACATGTAGTTAAAATAAAGTACATACCTTAAAAAAGAAGAATGCCGGTGGATGGAAGAGAAGGTGCTCCAGGCAGGGGACAGCATGGGTGAAGGAGAAGAGTTGGGACGAGATGTCACGCTCTCACAGGCTTCAGCTTGATGACCTGAGTTTAAACTGAGGCTCAGAGACACAGTGTAGCTGTGGTGTGAAAATCAGAAAGGCTGGGCTTTGAGTTCTGTCTGACTTCAAAGCTCGTGCTCTTCCTCAGGACCTGTACATGTTCCGTGACAGAAATGAGATCGTGTGGGGACTCAGTTGACCTGAGTGTCTTAGTTAGGGTTTCTTCCTTCCTTCCTTCCTTCCTTCTTTTTTTTTTTTTTTTTTTTTTTTTTTGGTTTTTTGAGACAGGGTTTCTCTGTATTGTTTTGGAGCCTGTCCTGGAACTCACTCGGTAGACCAGGCTGGTCTCGAACTCACAGAGATCCACCTGTCTCTGCCTCCTGAGTGCTGGGATTAAAGGCGTGCGCCACCAACGTCTGGCTTCTTTCTTTCTTTCTTTCATTTGTTTTTGTTTTTCGAGACAGGGTTTCTCTGTGTAGTCTTGGAGCCTATCCTAGCACTCGCTCTGTAGACCAGGCTGGCCTCAAACTCACAGAGATCCACCTGCCTCTGTCTCCTGAGTGCTGGGATTAAAGGTGTGCACCACCAACACCCGGCTAGGGTTTCTTATTGATGTGAAGATACACCATGATCGTGACAACTCTTTTGTTTTTTTTAAAAACATTTTATTTATTTATTGTGTATACAGTCTTCTGACTGAATGCCAGCAGAGGGCACCAGATCTCATTCAAGGTGGTTGCTGGAAATTGAACTCAGGACCTCTGGAAGAACAGTCAGTGCTCTTAACTGCTGAGCCATCTCTCCAGCCCTGTCATGACAACTCTTATAAGGGAGAACATTTAATTGGGGTGGCTCACTTACAGTTCAGAGGTTTAATCCATTATCGTCAGGGCAGGAAGCAAGGCAGCATGTGGGCAGACAGGGCGCTGAAGAAGGAACTGAGGGTTCTTACATCTTGACCCACAGGCAACAGGAAGTGGTCTGTCTCACTGGGTGTAGCTTGAGCATAGGAGACCTCAAAGTTCTCCCCATAGTGCACACTCTCCAACAAAGCCACACCTACTCCCATTAGTGCCACTCCCTCTGGGCACCACACAGGGAGATAGTTGAGAGAACTTCACATCCAGTTTTATGTTGGTGGCTTAAAATCAGTCATGGTGAGAGTACTTACACCAAAGAAATCAGTAACCACTGGGTAGTGGTGGTACACACCTTTAATCCCAGCACTTGAAAAGCAGAGAGAGGCAGACAGATCTCAGTGAGTTCAAGGTCAGCCTGGTCTACAAAGCAAGTTCCAGGACAGCCAGGACTGTTACACAGAGAGACCCTGTGTAACAGGTTTTTAAAAAAATCAAACCTTGAAAGACAAAACAACAACAACAAAAATAGCAGTCATTACAAAGTGGGGCTTGGAAGTTTTTATTTGTGTGGTTGGTTAGTTGGGGCTTTTTCCCTATGGAGAGCTCATTATTACACATTCACTTGCTAGGTAAGAACTATAGAGCCAGGTTATAGAGTGTCTAAAGGAGAGAGAAGGGGCCTGAGAGCTGACTCAGCAGGTTAAGACACTGGCTGCCAAGCCTGACAATCTGAGTTCGAGTCCTGGCTCCTACATCTTTCTTTCCTTCTTTCTTTCTTTCTTTCTTTCTTTCTCTCAATTTCATTTATTTTTATTTCATGTGCATTGGTGTTTTTGCCTGCATGTATGTCTGTGTAAGGATGTCAGGTCCCCTGGAACTGGAGTTACAGACAGTAGTGAGCTGCCATGTGGGTACTGGGGATTGAACCTGGGTCCTCTGGATAAACATCCAGTGCTCTTAACCACTGAGCCATCTCCCTGGCCCCAGCAACTCTTATGAAAACATTTAATTGAAATGATAGCTTACAATTTCAGAGGTTTAGCCCATAATCATCATGGCAGAGAGCATGGTAGCTGGGAGCATGGCAGTGTGCCGGTAGACATGGTGCTGGAGAATTCTATATCTTGATCCAAAGGCAACAGGAAGTGGTCTGTCTCGCTGGGTGTGATTTGAGCATAGGAGACCTCAAAGCCCATCTCCAAAGTGACACTCTTCCTCCAACAAGGCCACTTCTCCTAACAGTGCCACTCCCCTTGGGGGCCATTCTCTTTCAAACCACCACACTGTCACTGAGCTACACCATGACTTTAACCTTTTATTGGTCAAGCTGTAAGTCTGGGCAGTGACCAATGGCACTGCCTTTGGTTCTGTGTAGTTCTGGGTAGAGCAAATATCTAAAAGTTCCTCCAACAAGTGGCAAAGCCAGGACTCACCCAGATGTTTAGCAGAGGCAGCAAGGCTTGGATGACACAGCCCTGGATGAACTTGGACTCTGAAGGCTTAGCCTGGAGTACCCCATAGGCTGCATGCTTGAGGGGCTTGAGAGGAAACACCTTCCACTCTTTGGCTCCCCTTGCAAGGTTCCAGGAGACCAGTCTATGTGAAAACTCCATCCAGTCTCTTCCCAGACTCCACCACTGAGTCTGGTGAGGGAGGAGCATCCAGGCGGGTGGCATGGCTTGCTCCTTGGATTTCATCCCAAAGACTCTGTCATCCTCTTTGGTTGTTTGCAGTGCCTAATTGTCTCTGGTTTTCATACTCCCTTCCCGGAAGCCACATTTAGTGGCTAATCAATATACAAACCCACAAGTGAACTGCACTTAAAAGAGTTCCATCCCTGATGGGACTTGAAAGGCAAAACCCATTTGGTAAGTGCTTACCAGATCTCTATTAACAGTGAATAATGCCCCCAGAACCGTCTGAGGGGCAGGCTTTGCACAGAAAGACCCCTTTAAAAACTTGTTTTTCCTTTTTAGAGATAGGGTATAGCTATGTATACCCCAGGCTAGCCCCAAGCTCACCCCTCCCGCCCTGCCTTAGCCTTCCCTTGTGCTAGAATTGGTCCTGAGCCACCACACCCCACTGCTCCTCAAATATTTTTTAAAGTGCTACACTCCTGCTCTAGTCACTCGCTGTGGAATGTTGCCATTATTCCACCCAATAATCCTGTAATATCATTAACTGTCATTAACCTTAGTCTACATATTAGAAAACAAACTTTGAAAGCCCATTATTATTGCCTTGGGTCACAGAATCTTTGCCTGAGACCCCACATAGTCCTTACTTTTTTCAAAGTTGTAACCAAATCCTGGACAAGAAGAAACTCCAGGAAGGGCCTATTGTGGCTCATGATGCAGGGGCAAGGAAGACGAGAGGCAAGATCACTCTTGTCAGCGGCAGGAGGCTGCTCACTGTCACCTTTGACTCAGGAAGCACAGGGGTGCCATTCAGATGGCTTTGACCTCAGCTCACGGAATGGTGCCAGCTACATTCAGGGCAGTTAATCTCCCCTTAGTCCCCCCCAACACCATAATAGATACACCCAATGGCATGGGTCTCACTGATGCCCTGGTGTTGGCAGTTTTTAGAAATGCATTGCTTTAGTGCGCGCATGAGGAAGTGGGGAACCCACAAGAGTCAGTGTCGTGTGTTGTCGTCTCCCCTCCCGTGAAGGGATGAACTCAGGTTGTCAGGCTCTGTGGCAAGCACCTTTACCTGCTGAACCATCTCTTGGCCCTCTGGGGCTTTTCTGTTTTGTTTTGTTTGTTGTTTCTCTGTGTTAACAGCTCTGGCTATTCTGGAACTCACTCTGTAGAACAGGCTGGCCTTGCACCCTCTGCAAATTTTTTTTAATCCAACAAAATCAACAATCAAAGTGAGCAATCAAAATGGACCTGGGTCTTTTTATTTCAGAATGCAGCCCCCCACATGTGTTACTTCATTCATTCATTCATTCATTCATTATCTGTCCAGTCAGTATCCAAGGAGGGCTGACTATGGGCAGAGCTTTGTCAAAGATGCTAAGAAGTATGGTTAATGAAAAAACAGGCATGATCCCCTGCCCTTAACCACCTTGTGGCATCACAGAGAAGGAAAATATGAAGTAAGTCACCCCTGAATTAGTTGAAGTTTGCCACAGAGCAGCAGAACCCACCGGGATCCGCATGGGCAAGCTGACTTGATCAGGGAGTGACCACAGATTCCTTGGGGAAGCACTGACTGAGCTCATTCCAAAGCCATGAGTGGATATAGATGAGCGAGCAAGGAACTGTGTTCTAGGCGGAGAGCACAGCGTGTGCAAAGGTCCTGTGCAGGGAGAGGAGATAGGAAAGGAAGGGGCCCAGGCTGGGAGGCCAGGGCAGGAGTGGATTGCAGATGTGGCTGTGGATGGCTACACAGGGCCACATTAAGGGTATAGAACTTTATTCTTAGAGCCATGTCAAGTCCAGAAGTGGGATGTCAGATTTTCCACACAGTGACCCCGGGGCTCACTGGCCAGCCAGCCTAGTCTGCTTGGTGAGTTCCAGGTCAGTGAGTGATCTCGTATAAATTAGGAGCGGTGGCATTTGTCTTTGTTTGCTGTCTGTTGCTGGGACAAAATATCATATACTCCAATGCAACTTGGGGAGGGAAGGGTTTACTTGGCTTACAAGTTAAAGTCCATTGTCAGGGGAAACCAAGGCAAGACCTGAGGCAGCGACCATGGAAGAATGCTGCCTACTGCCTGCATTCTTTTACCATCCAGGACTCCTTACCCAGGGGCGGCACTGTCTTCAGTGGTCTGGGCCTTCCCAAGTCAATCACTAGTCAAGAAAATGCCCTACAGACTTGTCTACAGCCAAGCTTAGTTGAAGTCCCTCTTCCCAAGTGACTCTAAGTTGTGTGAAGTTAACAAAAAACTAACTGGGGCCGGGCGTTGGTGGCACACGCCTTTAATCCCAGCACTCGGGAGGCAGAGACAGGCGGATCACTGTGAGTTCGAGACCAGCCTGGTCTACCAAGTGAGTTCCAGGACAGGCTCCAAGACAATAAGAGAAACCCTGTCTCGAAAAACCAAAAAAAAAAAACAAAAACAAAAACAAAAAAAAAACTAACTGGGACAATTGGCCTCTTGTCAGCTTTACACAGTAACACATCACTACTAAACCATAGCTTTTTTGTTTATCTCCAAGATCTCATTAATATCATTATCACAATACAAAGCAAATTCCAGCTTTTAAAATCCTAGTGCCTAAAAATTCAAAACTTAAGCCCAATCTCTTTGAAAACATCCAGTATCTCTTTAGAAGTCCAAAGTCTTTCAACTAAGGGCTCCTGTAAAATAAAATGCAAGTTAAACGTTTTTATTCTAAGAGGGAACCCGTCACAGCCGAATCAGAGCAAAACTAAAAACCCAACAGTGTAAATAGCTCAGTGTTCAACATCTTGGACTCATGATTTCTGGGCTCTACACACAATAGATGAGCAATGAACAAATCCATCTCCGCAGTGGTCTGAGGAAGAGAGGCAAGATGAGAGATGGGGTGGTAGAGCTTTGATACTTGCTGGACTCCACCTCCATGGTCTATGGACCACCCTGGAAGACCCCATTGCTGAGGGGATCTTGTGCAGGTTGTAGACATAGGCACAACTGAGGAAATTGTGGCTACTGGCACTGACTCATTCTGCAGCCCCTCCTGAAAAGTGAATATGCCTCAAAAGTCCTAAGCCCCATGCTGCATTTGGTCTTTATGATACCCAGCCCTCATCAGGAATTTTCTAGGCCACTTCCCCCAGCTGACCTCTGGCTAGGATCATTGCAATAGTAAAAAGACACCCAGAAGACTCCAGTAGTTTTAGGTGCTCTAAGCCTGCCTGTTCTAGGGTAAAGACTAAAGGTTTATAAAATACCGTGAAAGCTGAAAGAAGTCAGGGTATATTCCAGAACCAGTGTCTTGCCCCACACTCAGTCTCAAGCTAGGGATCCTCTCATGCATGGTGGCCCTACGGCCATTGGGTGGGATGAAGGTCTTGTGTCAATCAGATCTCCATCACATGACAAAACACCCAAGAAAGTCAACAGAAGAGTGAGGAATTGCAGTGGTGACACACATCTTTAATCCCAGCACTCAGGAGACAGGCAGAAGGGTTTCTGTGAGTTCGAGACCAGCCTGGTCTACAAAGCGAATTCCAGGACAGCCAGGACTGTTGCACAAAGAAACCTTGCTGGTCGGTGGTGGCACACGCCTTTAATCCCAGCACTCCGGAGGCAGAGGCAGGCGGATCTCTGTGGGTTCGAGGCCAACCTGGTCTACAGAGTGAGTTCTAGGACAGCCTCCAAAGCCACAAAGAAACCCTCTCTCGAAAAACAGGAAAAAAAAGAAAAGAAACCCTGTCTCAGGATAAAAAAAAGAAAGAAACAAAGAAAAGAAAGGAAGAAAAGAAAGAAAGAAGGAAAGAAAGAAAGAAAGGAAAGAGAGAAAAAGGAGAAAGATTTACGTTGGCCCATGGTTTCTGATTTTTTTTATTCATGGTCACTTGGCCCTGTAGCCTTGAGTCCTGCTGTGAAGCAGGACATTCAATGTGGCCAGGAGGCACAGAATGGGGGAGGGGCAGGGTCCTGCCATACCTTTCCAGGGAAGCCCCTCCTGCCCCCCATGACCTACTTCCTGAAGTATCTTCCACTTTCCAACAGCACTGTCTGCTGGGGACTGAGCATCCAAGACATGAGCTTTCACAGGGGTTATTCAAGATCAAACCATAACAGTTTGTTTCTCTTTCTTTTCCCAGGAGATTGTGACTGCTTTAAACTGTGGCAAGAACATTGTGCCCATCATTGATGGCTTCGAGTGGCCCGAGCCTCAGGCACTGCCTGAGGATATGCAAGCTGTACTTACCTTCAATGGCATCAAGTAAGCTGGAGCCCTAGGGAGTTAAGGAAGGAGCTGTGTGTGTGTGTGTGTGTGTGTGTGTGTGTGTGTGTGTGTGTGTGTGTGTGTGTGTGTACTCTCTGTATGTGTATATTGTGTATACACCATGTGTGTATGTATATATATTCTCTGTATGTGTATATTGCCTGTGTGTGTGTGTGTGTGTGTACTCTCTGTATGTGTATATTGTGTGTACACCATGTGTGTATGTATATATATTCTCTGTATGTGTATATTGCCTGTGTGTGTGTGTGTGTGTGTGTGTGTACTCTCTGTATGTGTATATTGTGTGTACACCATGTGTGTATGTATATATATTCTCTGTATGTGTATATTGCCTGTGTGTGTGTGTGTGTGTGTGTGTACTCTCTGTATGTGTATATTGTGTGTACACCATGTGTGTATGTATATATATTCTCTGTATGTGTATATTGCCTGTGTGTGTGTGTGTGTGTGTGTGTACAGCGCCCCCCCAAACCAAAAGCGCTGGCTCACAGCAGCCTCTGCCCACCCTCTGACCCATTTGGCCTCTGCATCCATAGATGGTCCCACGAGTACCAAGAAGCCACCATCGAGAAGATCACCCGCTTCCTGCAGGGCCGCCCCTCTCAGGACTCCTCTGCCGGTTCTGATACCAGTTTGGAGGGATCTGCACCGATGGGCCTGCCTTAACTTGTCCCCAGTTCCCATGTACTGCTGTGACTCCTGGTCCCATCATTTCCCCACCCTTAAAGGAATAGCTCCTCTAGAGCCGCCCTGGGCTGAGACAGACCAGACTTTTCTCAGGAAATGGCTTTCCCTGCTGCCACCCTGTGGCCCACCTCTAACCCAGAGATGCCAGGCATGGGGTTAGATGAGAGGACACTCCTCTGTCAGACCCTGCTTCAGGCTCCAACTCATATCCAGAGCCACGGCCCTGCTTAGTTATGGACACTCAAGCTAGGGGAAGGACATTCTCCCATCTCCTGCCCCGAGAGCAGCCAGCTGAAGTCGGATGAGGTTGGCAGACTCTGGCAGGAGTAAGGACAATGCCTAAGCCCTTTACCTGGGCCTAGGAGGCATCTAGGGTTGAAGATCCCCCAACGGCTGTCCACTCACACTGTGCCTGGCCCCTCCCTGGCTCACCTGGCTTCCTGCTGCCTCATGGCCTTGTCTGTAACTACCTGGCATCTCCTGCCAGATTTCTTTAGGCAGCCTCCTTTTCCGTGTCAGGAGTCAGGGTGCATCCGAGTCGGTCCTCTGCCTGGCTTTGCTGACCTTTCTGGTGCAGGGAGACCTTAAGAACCCACCCTAGCCCAAACTCCTGTGCTGTACCTAAGGCTCCTGCCTAGCGTGCTCCACCTGGCTTCCTCAGCTCCTCACCCACACAGGGCTTGTCACCCTCTTGCTCAGAAGAGAGCAGGGAAGCGCCAGCCCAATCGCTGAGCAGGACCTGCACCATGGGAAAGAGGCAGGACCTCCGCCGGCAAGGGGCAGTTTCTCCCACAGAAGTGTGTCCACATTCACTGTGAATCTTGTCAAAACACAGAGCAGGCCATGTGGGAAGCACCTGAGCTGCTGCTGTCTTCAGATTCCAAGTGAGCTAAGGCTCTCGCCAGCCCCTGCCATGTTCCAAATACCCCAACCCTGGTCCCTAACCCTCACAGCAGCCTCTTCCAGTCCTGTCACCTCAGTTTTACAGAGAAGAGTGGTTGAATGATGGACCCAGGTCCCCAAATAATTGGTGGCGGCCCCAGGATTCTGCCCTAGTTCCGGCACCCAGCACCAGTGTCCAGACCTGTTTTCCCGAGACTTTTCCTAGAGACTGTGGCCCAAGCTGGGTAGCGGCCTCTCCCTGGCCCCAAAGAACTGGGCTGTATGGGGTGGGTCCTAGCCAAAAGGCCAAGCCAGGGGCATACTGAAATAGCTGGGCAGGACTGTCCCATACCCCTTTCCACTGGACAAGAGGGCAAAATTGGCTCTCCCCACTCAGGTTCCTGCTTGGAGTCAGCTGGCACCATCCTGCTGCTGACTCCTGGGGGCAGTGGGGTAGCACCTCTTCAGGAGCTGGTCAGGGTACTTGCCCTCAGTCCCCACTGTCACAGAGCCAAAGGGTTCTCTCTCCAGGTTTAGGGACACCTCCCTTCTACTGTCCTTCCTGCCAAAGACCCCATCTTCCAAGGATCATGGCTAGCCTCTGGCTATGACTATCTGTAGTTCTGATCCCGTCACCAGTCCAACCCTACATCCTGTTCTGAGGTGAGGCAGATGGAATGGTGCCCTTGATGACAACATCAATGACAATATAGTGTATGAGTTCCCCTTGGGGAAATGTTGTCTATCTTCAGTCCACACTCTCCAGAGGTTCCCGTGGGCAGTACTCAAGAAGTTTCTGGGGTTTTTTTGTTTGCGACACGTCACTACTACCTCCCACTGTCTGGCCTTCTGTTGACCTGTCCCCTCCTGTCTTCTCCAGGACGGCCTTGTGTCCCAGCCAGGATCTTAGTGTCAAGCCTCTTCTAGCACGGCACTATGCTCTGTGGTAGCACACACCTCAGGCTGCAGGCAGAGCCAGCAGCTGGGCTGGGCCTTGACTTCTACCAAGCATGGCTGACCACAGTGACCTCAAGACAAGCTCATCAGTAACCCTTCAAGCTGCCCAGGCTTGTATGGTCTGTGAGTTCAGGGGTTTGTGCCTGGCTGGGCTATGTAGCTGCTGCTCCTAGGCTGGGGCTGAGTCAGGGTAGTGGGCACTGAACTGTTCAGGGACATTAAGAGGGTGACGATCGAGCCAGTTTGTTCATCCCTTTACTAGGCATCACATCCCAGGGTATATGAAGATGGAGGGATCCAGGGCATCCGGTCACTGTGCTCCCTAACGCATGCAGTTAGGTGTGGTCCTTGTAACCAGACAGTTTGGGCGGAGTGCTGACCCAATTTTCACTAGGTTTATTCAAGATCAAGGTGCCAGAGTGGAGCCTTTCCCGCCTCACAGCGGTAAGGTCAGGGAAGGCCATGTCTTGCTTTGTTCCAGTCTCCAGAGGGGCAGCGAGGCAGGGGTGTGGCAGCAGGATGGAGCCTGCTGCCTTTGTTTTCCCTGGGAGACTTCTGTTGCACCTACATGGTTTCCAGCCGGGAGACTGCCCTGCAGAGTAGGTGCAGATGCAGGGTCTAGCTCTCCCAGACAGTTTGAAGAATCACAAAGCTCCCACTGTGGGTCGGACTGGAGAGGGCTGCTCACAATAGGTCAGGCCTGCCTTTGAGCTCTAGGCCCAGGCCTTTCCAACCTCCATTCACTCACGGAAGCAGGGAGGATGGTCTCAGTGCATGGCCCTGCTCAGCAGCAAGTTTCGTGGGAGGACCAAATGGCAGCCAAAAGAGATCCCACAGGAAGGAGCCGCCAGAGCTTGGGCCTAAGTGTCTCCACTGCTCTGATGAGGACTCACAGCCTTTCACCCCTCAGCAGCTTAGACAGTTGGAGTTTGGAGGGACAAGCTGGGTTCCAACCCCACAGGCAACTTAAGAACTCCAGATGAGTGGTGCTGGTGTCTGACTGTGCCAAACAGGCCAAGAGCAAGAAGACAGAAAGACCCAAAGTCCAGTGACTCTTCAGTCTAACTCAAATGATTTACTGTGACAAATGACACGGCTGAGGTCAAGGGTGTGTAGGCTGAGTGGATAGGCTGCTGGGCGGTGGTGGCACATGCCTTTAATCCCAACACTCGGGAGGCAGAGACAGGAGGATCTCTGTGAGTTTGAGACCAGCCTGGTCTACAGGAGCTAGTTCCAGGACAGCCTCCAAAGTCACAGAGAAGCCCTGTCTTGAAAGACAAAACAAAACAAAAAGAATGCATAGACTGAGGTTAAGCGCTGACTCCCAGCCACAGACAGTGCTGCTCCCTCTGGGGCAATACTCCCCCTGGTATCATACCTATCATTAGGGGCGACTGGAGACCATCGGGGACCTAGTACCATGGGCTTAAAGGAGAGGTCAGGTCTCATGCTTCACTTGGTCCCTGACGTACCATCTCTGTCACTCTGGAGGCTTCTGAATGATGAATGGCTTAAAGGGCGAAGAAACCCTTGCCTCAGATGGCCCCCTGCAGCCTGCCCTGAGTGTGCCTGTCCTGGTTAGACTACAGATCCCATGCAGGGACTGGCTCAGTGGGAGAACAGGTGGTGTCCATAACTGGCTTGACAACCCTGTCAAAAGCGAGTACTGCCTTCAGAAGGCCGGCTGGTGTGGGTCCACTCTTGCTCATAGCCTCTGGCAGATCAGGAACTCTGAGGAAACTGCTGGAATTCAGGGTGTGGACTAGCCTTCTCCAGTACCCTGTGAGAGACCAGAGAGATGGTTCAGAATTGACATGGGGAGCCCACAAGCCCAGTCTGGAGAGGTGACATGGGACTGACTTGGGTGGGTGACTTGCGGGTGTCTCCCCTTAAGCCGAGAGGAGAACTCTTAAGACTTGGTTCAGTGGGTCAGTCTAGCTGGGGCTCAGCCACAAGTAGCCAAGTAAGCTCTCTTTCTATTAACACAGTTTGGCCGCTGTGATCCTGTCTGCCAACATGGGGATGGGGCAGGCTGAGGGGGCCTGATGGAAAGGACAGGACACAGCCTTGTCTAGTAATGTTAGGTTGACCCTGGCCACATGTCCTTCGACCTCACTCTGGATATAGGTCCTAAAAACACAGGCAGCCACCTGCATGGGGTAGGGTCAGTCCTGGATGACATACCTAAAGGACAAGGGTTCCAGGAGGGAAACTGCCATTTTTAGTTAGGAACAGGGGAAAGAGGAAGCCTCTAGGAAAGTTAAGATACCATGAAGAGCAAGCAAGGTCAGGGCCCTCTATTACCCAATCAGAATGGCCGGGATGAAGAGGAGGCCAGCTCCCAGGAGGAAGGGGAAACCCTTCATGAAATTCAGAGTGGCTGGGTAGAGTGAGTTGAAGATGCCGGAGGCCATCAACATGGCCAAGCTATTCACACAGGCCACCGCGGAAAAGAGAGCTCCTGTGAGGGAATAAATACCATGCTTCAGAGTTGGAAAAACCCAGGGTCAAATGAGGACAGTGCCACCTCATAGCTTCATGACCCGGGGCAAGCCATTTGGCCATCCTTACCTGTAAAGACTCAGTGAAATTATATATGGGAAGCACCTGGCAGAGGGGCTACTAAATACATAGCTGTTAACTGTTATTAAATTCACACAAAGGCCTGTGTGGTACCCTTACTTTCAAAGCATTATTACTTTATTTAATGTATATGGGTGCTTTGCCTGCATTCAGGCCTCTGTGCCACGGGCATGCCTGGTGCCCTTGGAAACAAGAGGGCGTCAGAATCTCTGGAACTGGAATTACAGATGGGTGTGAGTCACCGCCTGGTGCTGGGGCTCGAACCCAGGTCCTCTGGAAGAGCAGCTAGTGCTCTAAACTGCAGAGCCATCTCTGCAGCCCCAGTTTGGTTTGTTTTAAGAAATGTTCTCCCTATGTGGCTCAGGTGACCCTTACACTGCAATCCTCCTGCCTCAGCCTCAAGTGCTAGGATCACAAGGATTACTGCATTCATTCTTGTGCATGTGTGTCGATTGTGCCAGGCACGTGTGTGGAGGTCAGAGGACAACTTTCCTCCCATGTGGGTCCTAGATATGGAACTCGGATCGTCAGGCTCGGTGGCAAGTGCTTTTGCCTGCCAAGAGTCTGGCCAGTACTACCATGGTGATGTCTAGTGGAAGCTTGATGGGATTCCCCTCTTTGGAAGCATCATTTGATCCCAAGATCCAGCACTCACAGCTGTGTGCTCACTGAGGAGCTCATCTTTGTAGGCCGCTGCCCCTCCTTCTGTGGATGAAGGACAACAGCTATTGCATGGACTGCCAGTAATCTCAGAATGGAGAGTACCTATCACAGGCGACCTCCTAGAGGGGGCTGCATAATAAGGGGTGCTACTTTCCCTTGGGTACAGTGGGTACAGTGAAATGTGCTGGGTGAAAAAAGTCCACTGCCTGCATACATGGTGAAACACAACTGTAATCCCAGATCTCGGGAAACTGAGGAGGAGGGTTTTGAGTTCAAGGCCAGCTTGGGCTACTTAGCAAGACCTTGTTTCAAAATAAACAAAAACAAAAGTATATTGAATGAACAAATGAGGCATTTAGCAGACACCTGGGCCTGTGCCAGAACCTAGCTTTGTAACCCAGTTGTTGCAAATTGAGCAATAACCCAATATGAGCAGAAACTCAACTCTCAGACTACCAGGGTCTGCGAGTGTCCTGGGGAACAAAGGCCATGTGTAACGGATGAAGAAACAGGTCCAGTGTGTGTGTGTGTGTGTGTAGCCAGATGAAGGGCTGAAGCAGAAGCACTTGCTATGCTACCATGAGGACCAGAGTTCAGATGCTCTGTACCCACATAAAACCTAGGTAGGTGTGGTGGGCACCTGTAATCCCAGTGCTGGAGAGGTGGAGACAGGAAATCCACAAGTGGTTAGCTAGACTGCTCAAGTCAAAGACTCCATGTTCCTCAAGCCACTGAAGTCACATACATGTGAACACACATACATATGCATTCACGAATCCCCATTCCATTATTTACTGAGCAACCTAGAAGAACTCAATTTAACCCTCTAGGCCTCTGCTTCTTCATCTGACAACTGGGAACAACGAGGCCTCTGGGCCTGTATACTCTGACCCCAGCAAAGCAGGAAACACTGGTATCATCACACCCACTTTACAGATGGGAGAGAGGAGGTCTGAAGAGATAAACTCTGCTGTTACTCAGAAAGAACTTGATCATGCTTTACTGATAGCAACCTTAGTTCTGTGGTACAAACCCCACAGCATCGGTCTCTAGCCAGCTCTGAGCACAGTCTTGGCTACTTACTCCTCCAAGTGAGAGGGTAGAAGGCAGGCCATCCTTGACCAGAGCTGCCCATGCAGGCAACATCCGACATGAGGGACCAGGTACAGACTGACCCTGATACTCACCCTGCTCTGACTGGCTCACCAGCTTGGACAGCTTGGCCCGGATGACAGGTGTAGTGACCAAAGACAGTAAAAGCAGCCCATACCCTGCAGAGAGAAACACTGGTCAGGAAAGAGATGGAGGAGGGCACTCTGACAGCAGCAGAGCTCCTACGCACATCCCAGAGGGACAGCAGAGCTCCTACACACATCCCAGAGGGGCAGCAGAGCTCCTGTATATCCCAGAGGGACAGCAGAGCTCCTACACACATCCCAGAGGGACAGCAGAGCTCCTACACATCCCAGAGGGGCAGCAGAGCTCCTACACATCCCAGAGGGACAGCAGAGCTCCTACACATCCCAGAGGGACAGATGCTGGGCCCAAGAGGAAAGGACAGCAGCTTTCTCCAGGCTTGCCTATCTGCTCACTCTTCCGAAACGAAAGGCAAGCTTTATCAGAATACCCCTGGTGGACACTTGGCACTAGAAGGGAGATACCAGGACCCAGAAAATGAGCATGGGCTTTGAAGCTGGCCCTGAGTTCAAAACCCAGTACCATTGCTTACTGGGTGTGTGTGAGACCTTGTTTAATGAACTTCTTTGAACCCATCTCCTAGCTGAAACAAGAAGACCAGAGGCCTCTATCAGAGGATAGTTCTACAGTGTCGGGGGTTGACTGACAGCCTCAAAGACAGACTCTAAACCTGTGAACTGTCTTCTATGGAAAATGAGTCTTTACAGGTTTAATCAGGAAGGACCGTAAGAGAGGGGACCAGTCTCAGAGAAAGCCTGCCACTGCAGCCTCAAGCAGATGGGATACAGCTTCCCTCCCAGTCCCCCTGAGGGAGCATTGCCCCTGGGTCCTTCCGATTTCAGCCCAGTAACTCTGATCCTGGACTTCTAGCCTGTAACACTGAGAGAATACCTCTCTGTTGTTTAAGCTACATGGTGTGTGGCAATTTGCTTCAGCCACCTTGGGATGGGGGGGTGACATCTGTGCAGCAGGGCGTGTGTTGAGACCATGTCATGTGAGTTCCTTTGCTCCTGGCATCCGGCTACCTCCAGGCCTACAATGTTTGCAATTCTGCCAAGGCTCTGGCTCAGCATTTTATCTTAGCACTTCCTTCGGTTTCACTGTCAGTCCAGCAGGGGAGTTAACACAGCTGCTGCTATCAAATAGATGACTGCGAAATGCAGTTGCAGGCGACAGCAGAATATTCACTTTCTTTTAGAAAGTTAACTTCTTCATTCTCTAGCCAGCGAGTAGGGAAGGGAGCAACAGCAAGGGAAGGGAAGGGAAGGAAGAGGAAATGAATCAGCAGGAATTTTAGAGACTTTTGGGCTTTTTAACAAATGCAAAAGAGAGCCGGGCGTTGGTGGCGCACGACTTTAGTCCCAGCACTTGGGAGGCAGAGGCAGGCGGATCTCTGTGAGTTCAAGGCCAGCCTGGCCTACAGATTGAGTGCCAGGACAGCCTCCAAAACAATACAGAGAAACCCTGTCTCAACAAACAAACAAAACAACAACAACAACAACAACAACAAAAACAAATACAAAAGAAGGTAAAGTTTTTAACGCCTGTGATTCCAGGATCTGGGAGGTAGAGGCAGGAGGATCAGAAATTCAAAGTCATCTTTGGCTACACAGAAAATCACTTGGCCAAGGCTGAGCCTGCCTCTAAACAAATAAATAAGATCCCTGAGGGAGAGAGGCCCTGTGATTCTTATCCAAGAGCCAAGGAACAAGATATTAATAGCATGGACTTTGCTTAAGAACACCGTAAATAAGGTTATAGGAGGCCAAGGGGTGAAGCAATTAGCTTATGAGCTATGCTTCTGTCTTTTGCTCTACATTCCTAACAACATTTATGGTTGATAACCTGCATTAATTACTTTGGCCACTGAAGCTCTATATTTTCTGTGTACCACTCGTGGTATTTTTCTGGGGTTTCTCGGTTGTCTGTCCTCTGCACAGGCTGAGAGTATAACTCTAGGTCCAGAGACACAGGCTTAGAGCTCATTTGGGGCAATGAGAGGATGGCCCTGTTTTCATTTTACCTGTGAACATGAGGGGTGTGGTGGCAGCAAATGCAAAGACTACCATGCCCAGGATATTGAAGGACAGGCCAATCTCAGCCACCCAGGTGTCTGCCAGGCAGTACTGCAGAAGTTTTAGGCCCACCAGGCTGGTGAGGTAGGGTAGGTGCTGGGCTGCGGAGCCATAGCCAATCAGCTTGGAGTCCCAGCAGAGGGGCGTGCTCAGCTCATAGAGTGTCAGGATGTCTTGAGCCCCAAAGTGCACAGTGATCACGACGAAGATGGCCAGCGAGTACAGTGCTATATGCTTCCTGGACTTCTCTGGTGCTGGGACCGCATACAGCTTGACAATGGCTCGGTGATGTTGGAGCGTGAAAAGCCTGGTGGACTTTGGCTCCTTCACTGTTTCACCAAAACAGAATGCTGCATACAGAGTCATGACGATCAGCAGGGCCAAAGCCAGCCAGAAGGGGTTGGCATAACCCTGGGCCCGGAGCCAATGACCCCCGAGAAGGCTTGCCAGGGTCCCAGCCACACCAATGCATGCTTCCAGCAGAGCCATGCGGAAGGTGCGACTGTGGTTAGAGCTGACATCCGCCACAGAGGCAAAGCTAGCGGCCAGGAGGCCATTGAAGTCTCCTAGAAGGGCACAGAGGACTCGGCCAAGCACGAAGAAGCCGACGTGCAGTTGTAGCTGCACCACAAAGATGTACACCACAACCTGGAGCAGCAGGCCAAGAGAGGACAGCACCAGCAGCGGGCGGCGACCCACGCGGTCACTCCAGGCTCCCAGAAGGGTGGACCAGAAAAGTCCCACCAGAAAGCCTCCCAAGTTCATGTAGAGGGTCCAGTGGGAAGTCAGGGTTTCCACTTCCTGTAAAGACAGAATCGCCAGGGCTCAGGCCCTCACTTTGGTTAGCTAACATCATCATCCTGGGAGCTACAGGGTTGAGACCTTACTTTGGAGCCCTACGCCTCTTGGAATGTCCATTGAACTTGTAAAATCAGACCCTAGAGAAGCATTCCCTCTGTCTCCACACTTAGGTTAACGCTCCAGGCTAGCCATTCTTTAGGCCCACTACCTGCACCCCAATGCTGTCGTCAGCCTGGGCAGGGCCCCTTTGCTCAGGCTCCGCCCACCACGCCACGTGCGTCCCCTCTCAGCGACCCCATCTTCCGCAGGCCCCGCCCCGTGCCGTGCTCCACGTTCGCAGCTGCTGTGGTCCCCGCTACCTGCATGATGGGATCCGCGCTTTGGTTCCCGCAGTTCCCCCGGTGGCGGGTGCCATTGTACCCGAGCTCGGTGCTGAACCGGTGCCACAGGTACTGCGTGGTGAGCGGGCCTTGCAGGACCAGAGCAAAGTTGGCCAGGAAGACGACAGGCTCCACAGGGCCGCGGAACAGCACGGCCGCGGCGGGGATTCTGTGGGACGAGCCCACGGGGCTCACGCGCCCCTCCATGAACTAACGCCGAGGGGCTGGCACCTCGGAACCAGCTGCGGAAGGCCCAGGCCAGTCTGCGTTATCTGCGCCGGCGCGGGGCTCCTGCTCTCCCTGTTAAAGTCTGGAGGGGCGGGGCATGAGATTTCAGTCTCCAAAACTTTGGCCTGCCGCTGTTCTCTAGGCTGGGTGTAGTCGAGCTAGAATCTCTATGGAGTGACCTCACTTCAAATAGCTCAAAGATACCAGCTTGCAGCAGCCCTCCCTCCTGGGCCCAGGAACACTCAAAAGAATAATTAGAGTATCAATAATTAACATTGATTGAACATTTACTTTGTTCTGGGGCCAGAAACTCTTGAGTGTATTATCTCGTGGCAACCTTATAGACTAGTCATTTAATGATCTGAATCCAGAGATGTGAAAGTCAGATCAATGGGTACGCAGGGCTAGAAGACAGGACTGGGTATGCCTGCTGTATGGTGTCTGCAGCCGTACAAGGACAGACAGAGCCTGATGGCCTACGCTGGATCACTTCGTCTGGAAGAAAAGCTGTGTGCAGGCTGGGCCTATTGGCATACTTAATCCCAGCACTCAGGAGGCAGAGGCAGCTTGGTTCTCGCAGGAAATCCCAGGCCAACCAAGTCTATATAGTGAGATCTTGTCTTGGAAAAGAACAAGATCTGGTACCTTAAAAGTGCTACATACTTTCAGACCAGGCCAGTCTCAAACTCATAGAGATCCTCCTGCCTCAGGCTCCTGGGTGCTGGAATTAAAGGCGTGCCCACTTGCTATTATACTTAGTAGCTATTGGCTATTGTTAATAACTAATAGGTTGTCCCTGCTCCGGGAGCCTTTCCTGGAGTTAGTTTCACTTCTCAGATTGGGATCTGATTCTGCAGTTCTCTTAGAAGAGCAGAGACAAGATGAGACCGTTGAGGCCCCTGGGTATGGTCCTGTGCTCTTGCGTGCTCGAGGTTGCAGAAACTGGGCCAAATAGCAGACACCTGCAACTGTTGCTGAGCGCTCGACTTCCTATCTCTGGGCTTTGTTTTATTGCCCGTGAGAAAGGAATCCACAGTAACAGCCGTCCTCCACCATTCCTTCATTCATTCATCTGGTGCTTTTACTGAGTGCCCTGGAGGTCTGAGAACACAACATTGAAGGAAACAGAAAAGCCCCCCCACACACACACTTGGTAGCTTCTAGATTAGGGACCAGAGACAAAGACCGACTGAATAATCAGTGGAGTCCAACTATGACAGACGCTTTAAAGGATAGGAATAGAGGCTCCTGGTGCTCATATGGAGGGCAAAGTCAGCAAAGTCCCCAAGAACTAACATGGCTGTGCCTGTGACCCACGGGGCCCTGGTTCTTGGAGTAGAGACTGGCTTCATTTCTGCCTGGGCTTGCAGAGAGTCAGTGACTCTCATGAGTCTAAGGCTCAGAATAGGTGGGTGCCAAAAAAACCCTCACACGGGCTTCCAGAGAGACGATTTTACTTCAAATAATCAGGTCTGTGTGCACACCGCCATCCCATCTGTCCCTGCCCATACCAGGGGGATCAGGGATCAGCGCAAGAAAAAAGAGCCTGGCTAAAACAGTGGTTCTCAACCTGTGGGTCATGACCCCACAGGGATCTCATCTCAGATAGTTATGATTCATAACAGTAGCAAAATTACACTTACGAAGTAGCAATGGAAATAATTTTTTGTTTGGGGTCCTGCAGCCTGAGGTAAGTTGAGAACCACTGAGCTAAACCTTGCAACTATTTCCTAGATAGGAGCTAAGGTCAGGAGAGGTCAGGGTCTCTCAGTGGAGAGTGGGACAGGGTGTGTCTGGGTCTATGCGTCCATTAACTAGAGCCCTCTTCTCACTCTGTTGACTTCACTTGGTAAACAATTCTACCCAAGTCTGGCTTGGTGAACTGGCGAGTTTATTGGACTTTTCTACAGGAGCATGGGGGACATCATCAAAAAGTCTCACTCTGCATAGCCAGAGTTCCCCTTTCAGGTAGCCTTCACCCTGTACTGTCTTGCATGCCCAGAGGCATCCTACTGCAGTAGAAGGATTACAAACAGCTGGGAGCAGGCAGGCACAGAGGGAGGGAGAACCGGGAACCTCCCCACTCCCTCCTATTATGAGGAATGGTCAACATTCCTTGAACACAGCGCAGCCCATCCAGTGGTTTCCATTTCACCAGTGAAAGCCAAGTCATCCTGCAAGCCACAGCCACCTCGGCCAACTCACCCTGTCCCTGCTCGCCCCCACTCAGCCTCGATTCACTCTGGCTTCACCGGTCTCCTCGGTGCCCATCAGTCTTATTTCGGCACCTGCCATTTCTTCTACCTGGAATGCTGCTCTCCCAGATGTCCATGCTACTGGCTGCCCCACCTCTGCTAAAAATGTAAGCTGACCCCATGATTTATGGCAGCCACTCCCTCCCTCTCCTCCCGTCACTCCCTCACCACAGGACTGTTATGACTCCCTTGTCTGTTGTTGTCTCCCTCTCCTAGACACACCAAGGATCTTGGCTCCTTCAGTCCTGTCTCCCCAGCCACCAGAATGGCACCTCTCACAGTAGGTGCTCTAAAGCTGTCGAATAGAAAGGGCTCCCCAACTGGATCCCATGGCCGTGTCAGTGGGGAGCTGTGCTGGGGAGGGCAGAGTCCAAGAATCTATTATTTAGAAGGAAGCCAAGAAATCACCCGTCACCCACTTGGAAGACAGGGAGAATAAAATGACCCTGTCTTTCAAATCCCCAGAGCAGGGACAATGTGACCACAAAGCAGAAGGTCTACATATTGACTCCACAGTCAAAGGCACAAACAGAGCAGTTGGAAAATGTCCATCCCCCACCTCACCATTATCGTGTGCCAGGGACCTCGCACTAGCTAAGCAAGCACCTTACCACTGAGCTAAGTCCTCAGACCCACAAAATGTTCCTTATAAAGTGTCTGGAGGGGTCTGGAGAGTTAGCTCAGCAATCAAGAGCACTTGTTGCTCTTGCAAAAAGACCCAGGTTCAGTTCCCAGCACCCACCTGGCCCACCAACGCCCGGCTCACACACTCTTATTCTTGATCAATCCCGCCTTTAATCCCAGCACTCGGGAGGTAGAGGCAGGCGGATCTCTGTGAGTTCGAGGCCAGCCTGGTCTACAGAGCGAGTTCCAGGACAGCCTCCAAAGCCACAGAGAAACCCTGTCTCAAAAAATAAAATAAAATAAAATAAAATGGATGCTTTCTTTGAGCCAAGAGACCGGCAGGTTTTAACAGCAGACAGAGAAGGGCACAGGGGATGCTGCTGGTACAGGAGTGCTTCAGCTAAAATGCTGCCCTGTGAGCCAACTTAAATATTATACCTACTTACTCATCGTACCTGTGTAGCTGAGGTATCACAGATCCTGGTTCCTAAGTGGCCTGTTTGGCCAGGCTCTGCTCACTTCCATGTGTAGTACCCAAGTTATCATTGTTTAACTTCATTAATACATACAATCTAACTCATTTCTCTCAACTCAGGATCCAGAAAACCCACTGGGACCCCTCTCCATTAGCTTCATTTGTCTTTGCCTTAATAAAACCCTCATTCTTTAATCACTCCTCCCAAGCTCCATTCCCATTCGAGCGACTTCTGCAATGCAGTGATTTTTAGTTACTCTGAGTACAGTTGCAGCCTCCCTGTAAGCATTGCAGCTCAGATGGAAAAGTATTCTGACACTCAGGAGCCAAGGAATACCACAGGTCACAGTAAGTGTAGCAGCTTATAGCCCTGCTCTGGGCAAAGGCTTCCCCAATGTAACAGCTCAGCTCCGGCTATTACAGTTCAGCTCCAGTCTCCCAGAGTGTAACAAACTCCACTCCACTGTGCTAGGAAGTGTCATAGCCCTGCTCCTGCTCTGCTCCGCTCTGCCCAGGCTCCATCTCTGCTCTAGCAAACCTAGAGGTCTCACCCAAACCTCATTTAAGAGATTTGTTGGAAGGGAAGAATCCAGGAGAGTGGCTGTTCCTGCCAGAGTGGAAAAGGCAGCCACAAACTGAACAGGCCCAGGGCTTATATAGGGATTCTTAGGAGCAGAGTTTTTCCAGGGAGAAGATTTCCAGGGTGGCCATTGATCAGATTTCAGTCCCTTGAGCTCAGATTGGCTAGATCTCGTGCTCATCGATTAGTTGGATTTCTGCTCAGGGATGGGTTTGTTTTCCCTGTTCAGGGATTGGGTGGTTTCCCCTGCTCAGAGATTGGTTGGCCTGTTTCACACTTTTATAGTAACAGAACTAAGACAGTCAAGATATATTTTTTTTAAATACACTGGTGGAAACATCAGAGAGATTGGGTCCAACAAAGATGGGGGCATTCTCTGTTGCAGTTCTCAGATGCTGTGTGATGACATCTTAGCTTTGGGGTTGTTGAAGCCAGTGGTCTGCTAAGTTATTATACTTTAAAAGGTTTGATCTGATAGTCATGAGATGTGTTAGATCAAACACAGAGGTGGGAAAGGAACGGCTAATAATTGGGGGTCGTGGATAGCTGAAGATAAATTATAATGAGACTCTGGACCTGCAACATTCCAGCTGCTCAACAGTCTTTAATCAGCAGGTGGCTCTACTCCAGAACTTTTGTTACATCATAGTATTTCAAAAGTGCACACAGGTGAGGAAGTTCCACCCAAGCCCCTCCCCCATTCCCTCCAAACCCTGCTATATTTCAGAAAGCCTGCCAAATGATGGCCCCTCCCCCAGAGATGCTCAAGACCACTCCCACAGGGTATTTAAACTGCCCCCCCAGAAACCAGATGTGGTTTTTCTGGTCTCCCTTTCCCATCTCCTCTCTAGGGGGCTGGAAGGCCATCCGGGAGCCCTGTATCCATTAAATGTGGGCTTTTTCTAGTTCAATTTGATTTGGTCTGATTTGGATTGCTGCATCAGTGGAGAGGCTTATCAGGGTCTAGAAACTTTATAATTAACACCAGGGTACAGTGAGGCTGGAGAACTCAGAGGTCAGGGCCCAGAAGACGCCTTTAGAATCAATTTGTTAGTGATAGGTGGAGGGTCTGTGTCCTGATGGAGGGGCTCCTGTCAGCTGTGCCCAGAGCTCAAAGGGCAGGGCAGGCATTATCTATACACACCGGCACAGCTGTGGCACTGCGCCGAGAGCCCTATAAGGATATGATACGTGGCAAGGAACCTGGCCAGGGGTCATTTCAGGATGGACGGAGTGGAGGAAGATAACAAAAAGAGGAAGAAAGATCCCAGCACTCGGGAGGCAGAGGCAGGCGGATCTCTGTGAGTTCGAGACCAGCCTGGACTACCAAGCGAGTTCCAGGACAGCCTCCAAAGCCACAGAGAAACCCTGTCTTGAAAAACAAAAACAAAAAACAAAAACAAAAAAAAAAAGAGGAAGAAAGAAAAATTGTCAAAGGAGCCACAAGGAAAGGATTTACTGGTGAGGGTAGTGACAGACTAGGTCCCAGAGAGGCCCAGGGAAACTTAACAATTAGTGGTCAACAGTGAAGAGAGGTATCAGCAACTGTGCTAAGGAAGGGAGGAGCAGAAACTAGATTACAGTGGGTTGGACATCCCACCCTTACCCCACATAAGGTCAGCCTTAGAGCATCCAGCAGGCGAGCCACAGCCCAGCCTAAGCTGAGATCAGCACCTCTGCCAGAGGCAGGCCTAACCCACCCATGCCACCTCAGGATGAGTATCTGAGGCTGAGACTTAGCCAGAGGTAGCAAGAAGGCAAAGGACACAAACCCAGCTCTCAAGTGGGCAGCAAGTGCATAATCCCTACACCAGCCTCTCTGGGCCTCAGCTCCCTACGTCGGTTTTACAGATTGACTGGAAACAAATTTATGATAAGCATATGGGGGGATGGGGTGCTGGAAAATTCCTGACCTCACAGATAGTACAAAGATCACCAGGCTTGAAAGCATGACATCCACCCCAGCCTTGTGGGAGGAAAACGGGCTTTGCATTCCTTCCCTTGAGGAAACAACCCCGTGTGCCTCACATTCCAGGTCCCCCTAGTGTATGTCTGTGAGCACAGAGACCTCCATGCCATGCCCCCTACCCTAACCAAAGTAAGGATTTCACCCAGGTCTAGCTTGATGAACCATAATAGAACCATGCTGAGTGGTTGCTTGAGTGACCCACCCCGAAACAGCTGCGTCACACAAAACCTCACCCCCTAGTGAACGATGACTCCCCATCACTGCACAGGTAGAGTCCCTGTCTTAGGGTCTCTATTGCTGTGAAAAGACACCATGACCACAACAAATTTTTTTTTGGTTTTATGAGACAGGGTTTCTCTGTATTGTTTTGGAGGCTGTCCTGGAGCTCGCTCTGTAGACCAGGCTGGTCTCGAACTCACAGAGATCCACCTGCCTCTGCCTCCTGAGTACTGGGATTAAAGGCGTGCGCCGCCGCCGCCGCTGCCGCCACCACCACCTGGCGACCACAGCAACTCTTATAAAGGAAAACATTTAATTGGGTGGCTTACAGTTCAGAGGTTCAGTCCATTATTGCCATGGTGGGACATGGAGGTGTTCAGGCAGACATGGTGCTGGAGAAGGAGCTAAGAATTAATACGGTTTTGGTTTTTTGTTTTTGTTTTTTTTTGGTTTTCAAGACAGGGTTTCTCTATAGCTTTGGAGCCTGTCCTGGAACTCACTCTGTAGACCAGGCTGGCCTCAAACTCACAGAGATCTGCCTGCATGTGCCTCCTGAGTGCTGGAATTAAGGGTGTGCACTACCACTGCCTGGCTGGGAATTCTACATCTTTGATCCAAGGGCAACAGGAAGTGGACTGAGACACTGAGTGTTGTGTCTTGAGCATATATGAGACCTCAAAGCCTACCCCCACAGTGACACACTTCTTCCAACAAGACCACACCTCCAAATAGTGCCACTCCCTATAAATTTATGGGGACCAATTACATTCAAACTACCATAGTCCCCTATTCACTTAATCTGCTATATATTATCAACGGACCAGATGTTTCCAGGTTCTTGGTGTATCATGTAAAGAATTCACACACACAAAAACACACGCGCGCGCACGCACGCACGCACGCACACACACACACACAGAGTAAAGCAGCAAGGGAAAGTGCAGGCCTGGTATGCTGTCAGAGAGCAAAAGGCTCTGGTTATTCCTGGGGCTTCCTTTAGTGAGTGTGGAGAAGGTTATTAAGGGGCTGATGGCAGGTGGTTTTCAGTTCTGATTGACAGGCATGGGATATATAAGCCTTTGTTGACTGTACATGCCCTTGTGGTGCATCTGATTGCAATCACATATGTGTTCAATTATGCAGAGGCATAAGACAGTAAGAGTTTTTTCTCTAAAAGCTGATTTTGACAGAGTCCACCTTGCTATATATGTACCCATAACCAGTCTGAGCTGGACTGACCCACAAAACCCCTTCTCTAAGGATACATTTCAGGATGCTTGGCCACAAAGGTGGAGTTACTAAGGGTTGATAGTGAGCTACAGGTGTGAGTGACCACAATGCAGTTTGGAGAGGGATTTGCAGGCAGCTCAGGACAGGTAGGGTCCTAAGAAGCTAAGTGCATTGCTGGGAAAGGGGAATGTGTATAGACCAAGCCATGCATGGTCCCTGGTTGCTAAGTGATCACTGTGCTTGCTGGTGTCATATATACTGTAATACTGCCCAAGACCATACACAGTTGGGAAGTGTGCAGGAGCCTCCAATTATTCTCCTGACCCTTCCTTCTGGGAAAGACAGTCAACAGCCCCAATCTGTCTGTGGGGTGACTGTGGGTACTCAGAGCTGCTCTGATAAAGACAGCAATTGCTGCTGTGATGGGAAGACAGTATTCCACAACAACCATTCCAAGTGGGTGTGGCCAGACCCCTCCTGGATGGTTGGCTCTCTGGGGGAGATGTGTCTTCTCTTGTGACCCTGGCATGCTGTGAACAAAGGGATGTGTTAAGTCAGTGTGAATGCTGGGTTCACTCTCCAGCACCGTGCTAACTGGGTGTGATGGCACACTCCTGTCATCCCAGCACTGGAGAGATGCAAGCAGGAGGATCAAGAGTTCAAGGTCACCTTCTGCTATATGGTGAGTTCGAGGACAGCTTAGGCTATAGAAAGCCTGTCTCAAAATTTAAAAACCATTTTTTTTAAAGAAAAAGCATACCGTCAGGCATGGTGATTCACACCTGTAATCTTAGCACGTGGGAAACTGAGACAGGAGAATTGCAGTGAGTCTGAGAAAACCAAATCAATCAAACAAGAATGGTAGTACGGCGTCTGTGTTCCAGGCTAGAGAACGGAGGCTTCAGATTACTGCATCTTTCATGGGGTTCCCAGACTCCTCCCAGTGGTGGCCCCTTTGCAGAATGCAGCAGGAGTGTCACCTGGCTCATCTGGATCCTGGACAAGCCATAGACGAATGTGTAACTTCGGTAGGAGAGATGCTTTCCCCCACCACGCTGGCTTTGGCTGGGGAATCCCTGGCCCAGGTTTCACCCTCTGCTCTTGGGCTCACTTCACCATCTAGCCAGATGCAGGCAGGTTTAAACCTGTTTCCTTATGTATGATGTCACCTGCTCCGATTCAGCCCAACTGAAGAGCGTTCTCTATTCACAAGGAACTGAAATAAATTTTGGCTGTAATTTTTTCCTCTTTGAGGGGGCACTGCTTTGCAGAATATATAGTATAGTTTGTTTGTTTTTTAAACATTGAAAATGCTCTATATCCTGAAGTATTTAAAATATTTAGCTAATATTTAATTTAATTTAAAAGATTTTATTTTATTTTTTAAAGATTTATTTATTACATATACGCTGTTCTGCCTACATGCCAGAAGAGGGCACCAGATTGAATTGTAGATGGTTGTGAGCCACCACGTGGTTGCTGGGAACTGAACTCAGGACCTCTGGAAGAGCAGTCAGTGCTCTTAACCTTTGAGCCATCTCTCTAGCTCCCAATTTAAAAGATTTTAAAGTGCATTTTTTTGAGACAGTCTCTCTGTGTAGCCCTGGTTGTTCTAGAACTGCTTCTGTAGACCAGGCTGACTCAAGCTCACAGAGATCCACCTGCCTCTGCCTCCTAAGTGCTGGGATTAAGGGTGTGTGTGTGTGTGGTGTGCGTGTGCGTGTGCATGATGCTTGGTACCTGTGGAGATCAGCAGAGGATATCAGATCCCCTGAAACTAATTATAGATGGTTGTGAGTGATCTGGTGGGTCGTGGGAATCAAACCTGGGTCCTCTGCAAGAGCAACAAGTGCTCCTAATGGCTGAATCATCTCTCCAGCCCCATATTTTATTTTTAAAATTAAATTTATTTTGAAGTGATACGTGAAAACATAAACATTGGGCTGAAGCAATGGCTCAGCAGCTCAGAACAAGCAAGAGAACAAGCACTCCCCTTACAGAGGACCCAAGTTCAGTCCCCAGCAGCCACATCAGGCAGCTCACAACAGGAATTCTAGCTCTGGGAGATCCAGTGCCCTCTTCTGGCCTCTTCAAGGCACTCAAATCACACACACATACATATACTTTTTGGGGGGGTTCAAGACAGGGTTTCTCTGTGTAATAGTCCTGGCTGTCCCAGAACTCTGTAGACCAGGCTGGCCTCAAACTCAGAGATCCACCTGCCTCTGTCTCCTGAGTGCTGGGATTACAGGTATGCGCCACCACTGCCCAGCTCCCATACTTTTTTTAAAGATCTATTTATTTATTATGTATACAGTGTTCTACCTCCATGCAGACATGCACACCAGAAAAGAGCACCCGATCTCATTACAGGTAGTTATGAGCCACCATGTGCTGGGAATTGAACTCAGGACCTCTGAAAGAGCAGTCACAGCTCTTAACCTCTGAGACACCTCTCCATCCTTATATACATGCTTTTAAAAAATACATATGCATTTTAAGGAACTAGCTTGAAGTTTCAACACATGTATCTATTATGCAGTGGCTGTATTTTTTTTTTAAGGAATTTATCTGAAGGTTCTGGAAGGGTAACTCTCAGAATATATAAGACAGCTCTGGGAATCCAGGTGACAGAAGCTGGAGCCAGCTGATGCCTCTATCTATGAGACATCAGCAGCTGAGGACATTAGCAGTAATCCTGCCTGTCACTCAGAAACAGCCAGCTAAAATCAATGTCTCAGAGCTGAAGCCACAGGTCATCATTTCTATAAATTGCAAGACTGCCACTGACACGTGAAAAACAAAGTAGGTTCCTTTTCTCTCTGTACAACCCATCTCCCTTTCCCGTTTTTCTCTGTACAACCCGTCTCCTTTTCCCGTTTTCTACCTCCTGAGTTCTTCTGGAATTCAAGGCGATAAGATGGCAGTTACAGAGCAGATCCCAGGAACTCGAGGTTCTAGTCCTCAGGGAACGGAAAGGCTGGCTGACCTCACCGAGTCCCTCGTCAGTCTCCTCACAGCTTCTCCATAGTGGCGGGTGCAGCAAGGCACAGTGTTGAGAAGGTGAGAGGAATATTCGCTGGAGAAAACACTGGTATTCATTTCGCTCTCTTTTAGTTATGACGAGCAAATTCTGGACCTGAAGGAAGTCACAATTTGGAAGATTTAATCACCCACACCCTTCATCCCTGGCCCCGTGGCAGGTGGTGTGTTGAAGGCAGACTCCATCCTGGCACTGGGTGACAGTTGTGGGGTGTACAGGGCTCACCACCCCACAAATAGTTCCAGGACCCAGCTTCTGCTGCAAGACCTGCTTCCTCTGCCTCTGGGTCCTGGGACCTCCCACTTCTCCCCCACCTCCTCCTTTTTGCTTTCCTGCTCCGTGCCCCCCCTCCCCCCGTCCAAGCTGCTCTTGCTTGCTCTCTAGTGGCCATGTTTGCAAGTCCATCTCAGGCGTTCCCACTTAAACTCCTCCAACGAGAGCCAGCGGGGTCAGCCAGGATATCGTCCAAAGAGATGTCAAGAAAGAGACTGTGGACTGATGAGATGACTCGGGGTGTCTGTCTGTCTGTCTGTCTGTCTGTCTGTCTCTGTCTCTCTGTCTCTCTCTCCCTCTCCCTCCCTCCCTCCCTCCCTCCCTCCCTCCCTCCCTCTCTCTCTCTCTCTCTCTCTCTCTCTCTCTCTCTCTCTCTCTGTGTGTGTGTGTGTGTGTGTGTGTGTGTGTGTGTGTGTGTGTAGGCGCTTGTCACCAAGCCTGATGACCTGAGTTGAATCACTGGGAGCCACATGGTAGAAGCAGACTCCTACAAATTGTCCTCTAGCCCCCCCACAAGAATAAGCATAATAAAACACTTTTTAAAGAGAGGTTGATGTGGGGGCTTGAGAGATGGCTCAGAGGTTAAGAGCACTGACTGCTCTTCCAGGGGTCCTGAGTTCATTTCCCAGCAACCACATGGTGGCTCACAACCATCTACAATTCAATCTGGTGCCCTCTTCTGGCATATAGGCAGAACACGGTATATGTAATAAATAAATAAATCTTTTTTTTTTTCTGAGACAGGGTTTCTCTGTATTGTTTTGGAAGCTGTCCTGGAACTCTCTCTGTAGACCAGACTTGCCTCGAACTCACAGAGATCCGCCTGCCTCTGCCTCCCGAGTGCTGGGATTAAAGGCGTGCGCCACCAACGCCCAGCTAAATCTTAAATAATTTAAAAAAAGATTGATGTATATGAGATATAACAAGTTGCTGGGGCCAGGCTCCAACCTGTCAGGGTTTGATTATTAAAGTTTGCAAATTTCTACCCTTGTTTTTGGTCTTTTTTTTTTAAATATCCCACCTCCTACCTTGAAAGAGCTGTAACGAAAGTGTGTTTGTCTTCTGTAGTTGCTACAGAACATGTGAGGTTCCTAGTTTGAATTGATAACCTGCCATAAGGTTGTTAGTCATAAAAAGCTTGCATGGTATTTTGGAGAGGGGAGCGAGGGCATATCTTAAGAGGTTGAAGACAAGACTGACATCAGTCGAAGAGCTCCTAGGGGGTAGGAGATGGGCACCAGTGTTGATGGCCATGGCTGATAGCCCTGAGGACACACCAATCGCATATCTGGAGCTTAATGGCCTGGAAGACACCGAACATGCAGGAAGGACTGGAAGGGAGAATTAGACTCATGAGCTGACCCAGGAGAGGGGGTAACCAGGAAAGCGCTTTTGCTGTAGTGCTCCCTTTCAGGCTTTCTCTTTTCTTAGTCTCTCTCTCTCTCTTTTTTTTTTTTTTTTTTTTTTTTGGTTTTTTGAGACAGGGTTTCTCTGTGGCTTTGGAGGCTGTCCTGGAACTAGCTCTTGTAGACCAGGCTGGCCTCGAACTCACAGAGATCCACCTGCCTCTGCCTCCCAAATGCTGGGTCTTTTCTTAGTCTTTTTGTTTCGTTTTTATTTTTGTTTTTCAAGGCAGGGTTTCTCTGTGTTGTTTTGGAGGATGTCCTGGAACTCGCTCTGTAGACCAGGCTGGCCTCAAACTCACCGAGATCCACCTGCCTCTGCCTCCCGAGTGCTGGAATTACAGGTGTACACCAGTACTGCCTAGCTTTCTTTAGTCTTTTAACTGCAGTTTGTGCTGTGCTAGCTACTTTTTTACTACTGGGATAAGACACCATGACCAAGGCAACTTAACAAGAAAGAGTTTATTGGGTCTTATAGTTTCAGAGGTGAGTCCATGATCATCACTGGGGGAGCATGACAGCAGGCAGTCAGGCATGGTGCTGGAGCAGTAGCTGGGAGCTTTTCTTGAGATACAATCACGAGGCAGGCAGAGAGAGAGCTAACTGGGCACAGCATGGGCTTTTGAAACCTGAAAGCCCATCCCCAGTGACACACTTCCCCCAACAAGGACACACCTCTAAATCCTTCCCAAACAGTTCCACCCACTGGGGACCAAGCATTTAAACATGGGAGCTCACGGGAGCCATTCTCATTCACACTACCACAGCTACTATGTCTTCAGTTGATTGGCATAGGCCTAGCATTCTTCTCCTGGGATTGGGCAGGTACCATATTGTACCACTGTAAGCATGTCAAAAGCACACATGCATTGTGCCACCATAAACATGCCAAAATAACATAATTTTGGAGTATTTCTGAGATAAGAAACCCATCCTTCAAGGGTATTGAAGGCTATTGAGATGTGGTCTAGTTTTAGAGCTAATTGGGCCAATAAGTTTTGATAAGTGTAAGAAGCCAATCTGGGCTGGGCGTTGGTGGTGCACGCCTTTAATCCCAGCACTCGGGAGGCAGAGGCAGGCAGATCTCTGTGAGTTCAAGGCCAGCCTGGTCTACAAAGCGAGTTCCAGGACAGTCTCCAAAACAATACAGAGAAACCCTGTCTCGAAAAAACAAAACAAAACAAAACCAAAAAAGAAGCCAATCTAAAGCCTGGAATTTGGAAGGTAGAGGCAGGTGAATCAGAAGTTCAAGGTCGTCCTTTGCTCTATAGTGAGCTTGAGACAGCCTGGGCTACATGAAACCCTTTCTAAAACAAGCAAAATAATAAAACACTCTGGAAACAACTACCACCACGAAATAAAAACAAAATAAAGCAAAAATCTGAGTCTACTCATTCTGTTATCCATGCCTGCCATGGTGCTCATTCCCACTAGGAGGGTACAGTGGCTAATCCTGGTTGTCAACTTGATACATCTGAGAATACGGAACCTCAACTGAAGAATTGCCTCCATCAGATTGGCCTGTAGGGCATGCCTATGGGAGCATTTACTTGCTTGCTAACTGGTGTAGGAGTGTGAGCCCACTATGAGTGGTACATCCTAGAAGGTGGGCCTGAGCTGTATAAAGAGCTAGCTAGGTCCCAAGGGGGAGCACTAGAAAATCATTCCTCCTTGGTTTCTGCTTCAAGCTTCTGCCTTGGCTTCTGGCATAAGGGACTATAACCTGTGAGCTGAAATAAACCCTTTTCTCCCCAAATTGCTTTTGGTTTTGTGTTTATCATAGCAACAGAAAGCAAGCTAGAATAGAAGGGTATATCAGCTGGACAGCTCTCCCAGGCAGAACGAGACCTAAAAGATACTGGGAGGGGTTGAAAACTTGGATACAGGCAGGGTGGGAAGTAATGGTGTGGTGTCCATCCAATTAGCTGGAAGATCGTGATAGGCATTAATTTCACACAAAATGGAAATCAAGACTTGGGAGACATCTTTGAAAGCGATAACTAATTCCATCTGTATTTATGGTATAGAAATGAATACTTTGTATTGGAAGAGATTTTCATTTATTGTTACAAATTTAAGATCAATTTTGTGATATGTATATTTCTCCTCTTGTTTAGGTATTGTTTGTATAACTCATTTAAAAATGTAATGTATAATTAAATACAGATTTTAGGTAGTTACCGATAATAGTCAAAACTTAGATATTCTTCAAACCTTTCAAAGACCTTGAAAATGGCATTTAAAATGGTTTAGGTTTTTTCATGACAGACACAACTGCTCCTGGCACACCAATTATGTCTGAGAGGAAGATGGGCATCAAAGAAACTCGATATGGAGTTTGCTTTCAACATGGCAAGATTAGCCATTTGGGCAAGAATCTGCTCTTGCCTGGACTGTTTGACTGTTGCTGTATAAAATGGACATGCAGGACCCACAGGAAAGTGACTGCTGAACTCACAAAACAAGATGGACAGTCCTACAGGGTTCTTATTTCATGGAAGAGTCTGCCAGACATTCTGCAGGACACTGAAAAATGACTGGCAAACGTCAGTGCAGATGGACAGTTTAAAATTTCCTGCTTTGCTGAGAAGTCTGCCAGACACACTGTGGCCCATGGGCTGAAGATGGATCCCCCAGTGTTACAGAGGAACTTCGGGTGACTGTCCAAGTAGTGAGATGTCTCTGTCAATTCTAGAGTTTATATATTATCCTTCTGTGGTCTTTGATGGAGTTGAAGACAGATAGTTACAGTTTTCCTTAGCTATGATAAAAGATAAGTTACATATAAGACTTTAGATTCACAAAGATAGGATAGATGATACTTTCTTTAAATCTTACTAAATATTAATGGACTAAATATTGTAATTATAGTTCTTACTCGATAACTGTTCTTTATACAATATGGCTATGTTAAAGTTAAAACCTTTCTTTTTAGTTAGAAAAGATGAGATGACGGGGGAAATCCTTCTGTGTATATGTTGCCTTATTGGTTGATTAAATAAAGCACTGTTGGCCAATAGGGAGGCAAGATAGGTGGACTAGGAGTTGAGGAGGATTCTGCGAAACAGAGGCACAGTGAGTCACGATGTAGGATGTGAAAGAAGTAAGAGGTTCAGAACCTTTTTCTCCAGTAAGAGAAGACCACGTGGAAATACTCAGATTAGCAGTTATGGGTTAATAATTAAGTCAGAGCTAGCCAATAAGAAACAAGCAAACGACCAACAGCTTCATAATAAATATAGTGTTTTGTGTATTATTTGGGGGCTGAGACAGCTCAGGACCCAGGCAGGAAGACTATTCATTACACAATTCTGAAAGGGATAATGCCTATCACTGAATTGATAAGCATAAACTCAAGATGATATTGAAGTGAAATATGTAACAAAGGAAAACATACTGAATCAGAGGGTAACAGTACTAGCCTAACGAAAGGGTTAAAAATCAAATTAGATAAGCCTCAGCAACTCCTCCCTGACCTCTGAGTTACACAGTTCCACCCTGATCCAAGAAATTTAAAAACCAGACCACTTTCAGGAAAAGTGAAAAGGTCATGGTGCATCCCCGAAGCCATAGAATGTTCCCTTCCTGTGACAGCCAATGAAAATATGTAAAATAACAGGTTGTTCTGCCAAAAATATGAATTCCCCTAGCCCTATGTCAATGAATCCAAAGGTCACCTACTCTTACCCAACCCTGCTTGTGGTTTTTCCTTTATAAACCCCTTGCAATTGAGGCCAGGTACCCTTTCCCTGCAGCTGCTGTGCCAGTTTGCTGGACAGGGTCCCTGCCGAGACTTGTAGCTTAACAGTAAACCTTGTGTGTTTGCATTGGTGAGTGGGCTGCTTGGTAGTCTTTTTGGGGTTTCAAGAACTTGGCATACCGCCTAAGTCCCGAAATAATAATAAA